TTACAGTTTTTTCACAAATCTTTCGCTACATTACATCTTTTCCTAAGATATTTGTCACAGGGTACGAGTACTACCAAGAAGGCCAACGCCAGTCCATAGACTGGAAGATCTTCTCGGCCAACGGTGACATTGACCTTGCCAGATGGTCTATCTCCGCCGGAGTCCTCCGAGAACGAGCAAAACCCTCACGAAGATGTTCGAGGTCCAGGTGCGGGCGATGATCTCGTAAGCAAGCCAACACGTGCCCCCCGGCATATCGGCTCGATCAACGACACTCCTGTTTCAAGGCCTCGTCGATACGCTTGCCGATTCCATTGAGTTGGGCACAGGCCCCATTAAGCCACGAGATGTACCCGGCTGCCGACTCCTCGGGATCTCCGCGGACTACTCGAAGCTCCCTGCATACTCTGGCCATGGATGTGTAGCAACTCTTCAAGTACAAGTTAAACCATACCTCACGGCCTCGGAGCGTTTCCACAACCTGCTCTTTCTTCACGGCCAGCATGGTTCTCTCGAGCTCCGCCACTTCAAACTTCGTCTTCCAGTATTGGATACGACGATCTTGGCTAGCAAGGGCACCCTCGAGATCTGCTAAACGTGATAACCACTAAGTCAAGCTATACATCTCTTTCGGGAACATGGCTGACCTAGTCAGGTGGGCATTAAGGGGTGAAGGGACTACTAACCTGAGGAAGTCGTTGCCATCCTTCCCTCTATATCAAGGGGTTGATCCACATGGTCAGGCGAGACGTGTGGTTCAAACTCGAGTACCGGAATTACTGCCAGTGACTCGGGCTGCCCGCGCTGCTGGATATCCTCGTCATCAATATCTCTACAGAGGACAAAAGTTCCCGAGGACAGCATACCAAAGTAAGCCGGGATAGTAATCGCACGCACAAAGGCGGTCAGAGTTCGAGTTTTACACATTATCTAGGAAATACAAGAAGTCCTACTCTTCAAAAAGAGGGAGAACGGACTCCCCCAGATCACCGACTTCTTCCATCACCTCCTTATGCGTGTCGCTAGCCGCTCCCTGGTCCAAGATCTCGCGCAGATCGAGTTCAGGACGCGACAGCCTTACACACGCGAGGACATGACACGCCCCGGTGTAGATTCCGTTTGACGTCTCCTCCGCAATCCTGGCCGCATGCTTGGAGGGATTTCCCCCATCGCCGTCGCCAGTTCCGCGAGAGAGGAGGTCAGCGAAAACTCATCGGGATTCGCCGGGATCGTGGACGTGACGCCGCATTCCCCGGTGAGCTGGTGAAGCCTAGTGTAGGTGACCCTCAACGAGCCCCGGATCTCAGATAGGTTGTTCCCGAGTTCCGACATTCAGTCCTCGAGCCCCTTCCATTGTCGCTCGTTGCCGGCCGCCAACTCCCTCATCTTCGTGAGGTCTTCACGGGCTTCAGCCAACTCGCGCACCAGTCTGTCAGCACGCGCGTTCGCCGTCGCCGCTTCCGACCTCGCCTCCGCAATCTCGCGGCCGATGCCGCGAGCACCGGCTTCGAGGAGGCGCCCCATCTCGACTTGGAGCTCCTCCTAGGTGAGGACTGCAGCTGGCAGGTCACGACCTGCCGCGGGGTCACTGACTGGGCCACTAGGTGTCACCTCCCGGCTCCCGGCTACGGGCACGACATCCGTCGAGGCCACGACGGGCGACGCACTAGAAGCTCCTTCGGACTTGGCTCGCGCAGCCTTTGCCCGCGCCTCCCTACAGGACGACTACGAGTCAGACAACAATCGAATAAGAGGCGCGGGGATTCAAGAATTCATCTACTTACTTCTCGCCGATTGTCACAATGCGTTGTCGTCATGGAGGTGGGGGAGACGCGTCCGAGGCCTAGAAGACAATCAACGCAAAGTAAGGAAAAATCCTTCTTGCTGCACGATTTAACGATAAAATAAATTACCGAGGGGGTCGACGCCTTGCGACGTTGTCCGATTACAGACGAGAGTTTCCTCGGCTTTGTCAGAACATTGCCACCGCTAGTGGTGGCAGCATCAGACGCCTCCTTGACGACCTTCACTTTCAGAGATGACGCCACCTGATGGTCCGCGAGCGGTCCGATGATATCAGTCAAAGGAAGGGCCTACGCTCAATCAAGTCATAAAGTGATTTCGAAAGGAGAATGCGGGATGTTCATCGAATATACTTACGTTGATGGCTTCATCACGTTCCGCCGCCCCCTTTTCACAAAGGGACATAGGGATGTCACTCGCCGTGGTCGGGCCACTGATCATCACTTGGCCGACGCGGCGCTCCACGGTTTCCCCGCTCAGACCTGTTAATCGAGAACCAACCTTCGATAAGTCAAGAGGAATGCGAACACAAGTATGTCAAGATAAATGCGAGAAAGATACCCCGAGGAGAAACCCGGGTCACGTCCTCTGGCCCGGAATAGTTATAAGCTGGATGGGCCCGAGCCTGAAGCGGTTGGATCCGCCTACCAACGAAGTCTGCAACGACTTCATATCCCGACAAACCCCGTACTCAGAGATTGTCGATGATGTCGATAAACGACTGAAGAGAGGGGGTCAAGGGGGGCTTTGCGGTCCAAGACGGAATCTTGTTCGGTTGATCTTCGGGAACCACGAAGTCAGGGTTCGAGTCCTTGATCTCAAGATAAAACCACCTATTCCTCCACTTGCTGTGAGAAGAAGGGCACTGGAAGGGAATGTAACGCGACTTCAGGCCATCCCGAAGTCGGAACCCGACGCAACCAGATACCCTGTTGGATTCCATCCAACGCAGTTCATAGTAAAAGCGAAAAAGATCAAGGAAAGGCTCTACCCCGATGTAGGCCTCACAAAGATGCACAAAGATGCTAAGGAAGGCGATGGAATTGGGGTTCAAATGGAGAAGAGAGAGGCCATAGAAATTCAAAACCAGGAGAAGAAATTTGGAAGGTGGAGGGAGAAAACCGCAGAGAACATAATCTTCGATCGCAACCATGCGACCCAATATGGGCTGAGGATTAGTACCTCCTGCTTCCCTCTCCATGGTTCCATGGCCAGGAAGAGCGCCATCCTCCTGGAGTTTCTTCAACGTTGCACTAGTGGAAGCTGATTTGCCGAGGTCCATTGCCGATAGAAGGTCGCCGAAAAGCGAGCCTAGGTTGATGAACTAGGGTTTCTTGCGGCGGCAGAGAAGGCAAAGAGTGCTTGGAGGTGGTGTGTGTTTAACAGGTTTGGCGGACTTCAAGATGGACTCCCAAAATTCCTTTAAATAGGCGCACTACCGACGGTGCGAATTCCAGGGAACAGAGAGAGATGTCCGCCGGAAATTTCTGGTCCCGTTACGCGCGGCGGTTTTTTGGACTTCAGTTTAAAATTCGCTCGTGACCGTTGAGCTTCAAATGGTGTGCTCGACTACGGTCTATCTCCGCGGTTCTCGCACCGGGAATGACAACAGTCTCGACACCCGAAGTCGCAAATGGTTGCACGAGTTCATTTTAAGCAGAAGTCGGGGGCTACTGTCAGGGTTACGGGTTAGGCATACCCTTTGCCCTTCGATATACGTTACATATCGATATGGCATACCCACGCGCATGCGGATATTTCCTGTATATTCTAAGGAAACCTTTCACGGAATCTATAGATGGGAAGAATCCTACTCGGGTAGAACTGGGTCGTTGGCGTATCGTATAGGGTCTGATACCTCCGAGTTCTATGAGGAGACCTCCACATCTGTGATATAAAAGGGGCCCCCGGGGGGGGTTTAGACATCGAATCTTAGAGCCAACACAACCTCCACAGCCTATGAAGCCGGAGCTTACGAGGAGCCAAGTCATCGAGAGCTAGTCGAATCAACTCGACTACAATCTCGCCGGATCCGACAAGTTCCCTTGTTCTCTTTGTAACCTGTGTTTTCTACCATATAATCCCACATCAACTGGATTAGAGCTATTACCTATCAAAGGGCCTGAACCAGTATAATTCTTGTCTTTTGTTTGCTTGATGTCGTACTACGTATCCTTGTACCAACGTACCCCAATACCCTCTATATCCGGTCTACGGGTATCACCCGTCGACACATATAACATATAAAAGGTTCTCCATAAATTACATGTAAAACAACTTATCAGCTATAGGCCAAAACGATAGAAGATTAAATACTACTCCCTCCGTTTCGAAATGTTTGACACCGTTGACTTTTTAGCATATAGTTAACCGTTCGTTTTATTATATTTAACAATGAATAAAATGATAGGAAAAGAATTAATAATTACTTAAATTTTTTGAATAAGACGAATGGTCAAATAAGTACTTAAAAAGTCAACGATGTCAAACATTTTGAAACGGATGGAGTAAAACTACTCCACATTAAGTAACAAAATTTATTGATAGTAAAAGGTAAAATTATATCGGTCAACAACGACAGCTATTTGAAGTCGGAGGAAGCATCAAATCGTCCTTCGCCGCGGCGGCGGCGGAGGCGTCAGTAGCCGAGACGGCGGCGGAAGGTGTACCACCCCTTCTTGCACGGCGCGCCGATGACCCTCATGCCGCGCTTGCACGGCTTGGTGACCACCTTCGCCACCATCCTCCTCACGACCGACCTGCGTTTCTTCGCCGGCAGCACGGGCAATGCCTGCTGCTGCTGCTGCGCTCCGGCTCCGCCGCCGCTCTTCCTCGGCGGCGCCGCCGTACATGGCGGCGATGAAGACGACGCCGACGGCGAGCGCATGAAGACGACGCCTCTCTCTATCGTCTCGCCGGCGATCGAGCAGGGAGATGATGGAAACGACGAGTCCTGTAGAGAATGGCTGGCAACGCGCGGCTGCTGCGGCGACTTGTCGAATAATTTGCGCGCACTCGCCGTTGGTTTGGTTTATGTTTAGGCTGCATCGATTTGGGCGGTGGTTGGCACGGTTAGTCTTGCTAATCCTTTTTTTGAGTTTTTGTTTTTATTTATTTTCGAAAGAATGAAAAATAATGGATTAATGCGACAGGGTACAATGTTAAAAAAAAAACGATCAGCTGGAAGAAGGAAATTGTTGTCGAAAGCTGGAAGAAGGTTCTCCAGTAATGACGCTTCAATTACCATTGGTTGATCCATGTACAAAGTCCAATACACTCAGGACTCCTTTGGAACGAATTTTACAGGATTTAGTTGAAATCCTCTAAAATTCTCCAAAATTCCTCCGATTCGAACTCCCTTCCTAAAGTTAAATTACATCTATCTCACAAATAGCTCTGCTATGTATGTGTGTGTATGTGTGTGCTTTGCTTCAGTTACGCGCGTCGCTCAGGCGTGTCGGCGTGCCGGCGCCGGTGCCGGGGCAGGAGCCTCCGGGCGTCCGCGTCAGCGAGGCGAACCCGGGCATCGACATCGACCTCGTCATGCCGCCGCCGCGGGGCGACGGCGACGACGGCGCCGACAGCGACGAGGCCTGCCGCTGCAGCATCGGGTGCGAGCTGCCCTGCGTCGACACGCTGTGCAACGGCGGGAGCCCGACGACGCCGGGGTGGCACGGCGTGCCGGGCCTAGCGCTGCCACCGCCGCTGCGGAGCGGCTGCAGCTGGATCTTCAGGTACGGCCGCGACGGCGTGGTCTCGACGAACTGGCCGTGCTCGTCGTCGCCGTCGTCGTCGTCGAGGGAGCAGACGGTGCTGGTCTCCGTGCGGATGGTGGAGTCGTCGCCGCCGCGGTGCTTCTTCCTCCTCCTCCTCGCGTCTTTCCCCCACCCATGCATCGTCTCTCTGATCCTTCGCGGGATCAGGGCAGCCTTGTACTTTGACCCCATCTGTTGTCGTACCAGCACAGTGAGATTAGTTCAATCTTTTTTTTTTGGGGTTCAAAATTAAATACTAGACCTTCCATTTTCAGAATATATGATACCGTTAAATTTTGGACATTGACAATTCGCCTTATTGAACAATTTTAGTACAAATATGTAAATAATTGAGGCATGCTTAAAATATCTTTAGTGATAAAACAAGTCACAACAAAATAAATGATATTAGCACTAAGTATTTGAATAAGGCGAATGGTGCGTTGTATATTTGAAAATAAAGGTAGTGTGTCTATGGTGCGTTATATATTTGAAAATAAAGGTAGTATGTCTTAAGGTAATGGGAATTATCTCGCCTCTGCAATTCATCTATATTGATCTTGCTAATCAAAATGCCAATCCTTTAGGAGTGATTTCAATTTCATGGTATGCAATCTGAAGCTTTTGGGATATAAACAGGGCATTACCTGAGTGACAAGGGCATAAACAGGCAATGTGCTGTAACTACACAGGAACTGCCCGGCAAACCTGGTACATCAGGATGTATTCTTCGTTATAGGCGAAAAGAAGAAAAACGCAATACAGAGAAATTTTAAGTAAAACTGAGAAGCTGCTTACCCCAATATGAGGCGGCAATATACTATCAGGTGGTTCTTGATGAAGCATGAATCATAACCAAATTGCCACTGCAGCATAATGATACAACCCTGTTAATATTTTACCACTTTACAAATGAATGCTAGCTCACAGCGTCTTATCATGCCGTACGAATTTCCCAGAAAATGTTGCTGTTAACAAAGGTTGAGACAGAAGTAGTTACCCAGAACCAGAAGAAAGAAGCCAATTCAAATGAGTTCTGCAGCAATTAGCAAACCAAAGAGTGTATAAGTTCAGGCTTGCCCTTAATCCTTTTCAAAAGTTAACTAGCAATGCAAATGTACCTGAAAGAGAATGAAATGGATCAGCCACAGGAGAAATTCTGGTTTCTTGAACCAAAAGAGATCATCCCGTGGCTTTATCCTTGGTCCGTATGCATTCATCTTTGCACCCTCTGCTGTTAAAGTTGCTATGACGTATTGCAGCTTTGCGCCAACTAGAAGAACAAGCTGCAGGACATTCAGATTATGGTCAATACCACATCATACATGTTACGGATTGTGCACGAAGCAAGCTGCAACTTACAGTAACAGGAAGAATGGCTATCCAAAAGTACAAGTTCGATCCTACAAGAAAATAACCATGTATAATGCTGGATAATGAGACAGAAATATGATAGTAGTGACGATATTAAAAGAGTGGTTGGAACTTTACCGTTGATATTGAATAACATGAAAGCAACAACAAAACCCCACAGCAGCCCACTGCATAAAAGGATTAAATGAGTAAGTTTTCTGATTATATATCTCCAATGAGAAAAATAAAATGGAAGTAACATCCATAAATAAGCAGCGCATAGACAAAATTATAAGGGTGTACTATTAAACCAACCTCACTCCAACAATCTTCTCAAACTCCTCTTCCATTGAGCGTACCATGTAATCATGGAAATCATATGTTGGTGCAAGATTGTGGGTCTGCAATCATTCTTAAGTCAAACAAGAGAGTACAACTAACAAATTTCAGCACACGCCAAACCAGCATATGGCGACAGAATTTTGAGAACAAGAATATTCAAGAACAATGAAAACAATATATATCTACTCTGTTCAAAACAGAAAAAAAATATGTATATCCACTCAACATGGCCATAGAAAAACAACTGCTTACCATTATGAAACCCTTGCGGAGGATAAGGTAATCTGCTCGAACAACAGATTGACCAAATTGTGCGAGAAAGCAAAACTGTATGGTAACACAATAAAAAAAATGTTAGCTGTGAACACAGCAAAGCCTTATGCCTCACATTAGCAACAGCAATTATTTCCCTCAACATACCACACACTTGATCGCATTATTTTCACTCCAAGAGCGGAATGAATAAGATCTGCCAAGTGCTGGTTGCCTTCTAGTAGCTGATATATAGGCAATCTCTGTTTAAATGAGAACAGAAATGGTCAGATATCTTTCCATTATAATGCCAACATGTTTTTACAAAGATAATACTGGCTTCCTCAGTAGTTCCTTGTAAGAAGTGCTGTACAGCATCCTCAGTGCTAAATGCTTTCAGTTACATTTCATGTCATTATGTCCCATTACTTCGAACTATATATTCTACTCCCTCCGTTTCAGGTTATAAGATGTTTTGACTCTAGTCAAAATCAAACTGCTACAAGTTTGACTAAGTTTATAAAAAAAGTAGTAATATTTTCGACCCAAGATAAATTCAATATAAAAATATATTTAATTATTAATTTAATAAAAGTAATTTGGTAATGTGAATATTACTATATTTTTCTCTAAACTTAGTCAAACTTGAAGCAGTTTGACTTTGACCAACGTTAAAACATCTTATAACCTGAAACGGAGGGAGTATATCTCATTATGAAATCTGAGCATAAAAAAAATGAAAGGTACACTTACGAGAAAATGATTCATGGTTATCCCTAAATGCTTCATCTTCCCATTTTCTCCAAGAATGGATCTGCCACCATCCAAATATTTAAGTATCATGTTTACCTTTTTCATAAACTTATACCAAAATAAGATAATAATAACATTATAAAACCAATTTTAACAGCAAACTTAGAATATAGTATTAACATAGCTAATCCAGATTTTTGTAAAGAGATATCATCATCCGAAAAAGAACAGAGGGACTAATGCATATTATATAGGATGCATAAAATTGAGCATAGACTTTTTCTAGAAGAGACATCAATTTAAAATTCACACGGTACAATTTAAATACTCCAAACAACAGGCGCACAACTATTCCTTGAACCAATAAAATGCATCTGTTTATGTACATCAGAAGTTTTGTATGTAACAAATTTACATATTCTAAATCTGTTTCATCATCATGGTGTGCTTTAGTAGTAAAGACATGCACAAATTAGTAAGCTTGAAAAATGTTAACCAGCAACAAAAGCTTCATGGAAGCCTAGCAGGCAATGCCATTAGCTTTTTAGCCATCCATTGAATTCATACATCGATATGTTGCGTAACCTACATATAGTTACTGTATTTTTTATAAGTGTTTTGATGACATCCAAAGATCCCAAGTTAAAAAATATACCAATGAAAATCAACAGTACATCTTAATAACATTGAAAGTTGCAAATGTTTAGAAAAGTTTATAAGAGGTGTAACTTGTAACTGAAATGGAAATTTATAACAACTAGAAAAAACCTTGAGTATAGCAAGCAGCATCGTCAAGCAACTGTATGTCACATGGGTTACTGCCATGACAAATATAAAGCGGTGCAGCTGCTCCAGACCTTCATGTGAAACAAATGACTCATATCCCTGCACATGACATTTACTACAACATTTGTCATCCAACCCAATAAGTCCAGCAGTCAGAAAGTTAACAAACACACCTCAGCGCAACTTTGATTATGATGGTAACGAGCTTTAAGGTTCCTCCTGGCCGCATGGTGCAGAATGACTTCAATTAGGTGCTTGCGTGCACTAGATACGGCATGCTTAATCTTTATAGATTCTTCAACCTCTTCTCTGGTGCATGGGGAGAAATTGCTGTTGTAGTACTTTGAATCAATGCATATACCTGAGATGATTCTTGATGTAGCTGCCAGAAGCAGAGATATGAAACCAAGCAACATCATTTCTACAGCAAAGTCAGAGCAAATCATTAGTCCACGTTGCACAGCAGTCCAAGAAAACAAGCTAGCAAAGAGAAATAAATAACGGATGGCCTACCTTCTTTCATCTTCTCCATTGCTTTGTGGAGTGGATTTCGGTGGGTTTTCTTCAACCACTGAACATGTACAAGATTACTATGAGTTCTATTTCAACATAACGCGTGACTGAATAATCGATTAAAAGAAAAGGAAGAGAGGCTTTCATATAATGTAGAATAACTTCCACAGAAAAGAAAAGCTTATCCTTCATTGCTTATTGTTCCAAAACTCTGAAAGATGAACAAAAGAAAAAAATAAAGGAGAGTCCCAGACAGGGCCAAGCTACTATTAAACCATCAACACACTTTTTATTTTCTCCAAACAGAAAAAAGAACACACACAGATAATATTGAGCCTCACTAAGCAAGTGACGAACGGATTAACAGAAAGAGATACTACATTTATCAGTGTAATATTCAGGGTACTCACATAGCTGAGGCGATGAATGGAGCGCTCGATGAGCAGCGAGCCGGCGACGAGGAGAGTGAGCACGATGGCCACCGACCACGTCGGCGTCAGCGCCAATGACCGCCCCTCCTCAGGGACGGCGGCAGCCCCGCCGCCCTCGCCTCCGGCCATCTTGTTTTTTTTCCCCTCAAGACGCACACCAAGGAGACACCTTTTGCTCCTTTTCTTCTTCTTCCTCCTGATGAGCAACTCCTCCTATTCTTCTCCACTAACCGCCTCTGCCTCTAATGCAGGCACCACATTGCAATTGCCGCCACGAGAGGAGCTCAAGGATCAAGAACAGACCAAGAAACCGCAGCAATGTGCAGGGGTTGGATTAAAAAGACCCGTTCTTTCCCCAGTTTCTTGGCATGGGATGCAGCTGTCCGCTACATTACATTGCCATTAGCATCAGGCAGAGCAAAACCTGGACCATGGGAAAGAAAAACTAGGGATCTTGGAGGAGGAGGAGGAGAAAGGAGCACCAATATTTTTCTTCAGCTTTGATTACTTTATGGCGCCTTTGCTAAGTTTAGGCTTTTGGACCTTGTGGGGAGAGGAGGGAATGGTGAAGGCAACACCTTGTCGCCAACAACAACAACACTCCTTCCTCGTTACATCAAAGAACTTACTATTAAGCCTTGCAACTGGCAAGATGAGCAGAGCTAGCTAGCTAGCTAGCTAGGAGATGAAGAGTGAAGAGACAAAATGCAAGAACAAAACTCCTTGAGAGGAAGAGCAAAAAACTGAAAGGAGAAGAAGCTCCCAAACTTGTGGGTTCCTCTTTGGGAGCTTGTGGCATAGGAGATCAAGACTCAAGAGGAGGCAAGAAAAGGACGTTTTGCTGCAGAAGCAGCAGCAACGATCAGCTGAGCTAGTGCTTCACCAGCTCCAGCTGCGAGCAGAGAGCGAGAAGAAGAAGGAAAATGCCACTGGAAAGAACTGTCCAAATTGCCAGCCAAAAGGGGATCTTGAATAGACTAGTATAACTGCTACTGCTGCTGCTGCTTAGAACTGTCATTTTGTTATTTTCCATCCCATGATTCGCTGTTGCTGATGGCGCCCGCTAAACTAAACAAATACTACAGCACTGTACTATGATAACAGCACAAGGCAAGAAGAAGATTCGAGGGGGGCTCCTCTCCTCGCTCCTCCTATCTGCTTGGCAAGTACAGGGGGGGTCTCTGACACCAGCACGAGGGGCCATGAGCTAGGTAGACGCTGACGTCACGGCCCCCCTTTGGCTGGCAGGTGGGGCCCAGCGGGGCCCAGCGGAGGCGGGACCAGCAGGTCGGCGTCGATGCATGTGCGGCGATATGTGCATGTGTGCTTCAACTGTCCGGCGTGGCAGTTGGCAAGAGTGATGCGTTGCGCGCAATTAAAGCTCTGTTTGAAGTTTGTATGTATTGTTTAGAAAAATGAACTTGATTTGGGTAGAATTCGTGTGTTTTTTTTCCTGAAATTCCAATTCGTGTGTTTCGCTTGCGTGCCTCGGCACCGGATGTGCCCTGGAATCCGGCCGGGATTTGATGCGGCTAAGTTATTCTTGAACACTAATCATTTTTATTTTTTCCTAGTGGCACCAGATCTAGTACATTTCATGTTCAGCTTTGCATGTACTAGTACTGATCTTAAGCATTGTTATGGGTCTCAATCAGTTTCAATGGCATAGCATCTGACCTGTAAGCGGCTTGTGTTCGGAACTCTTTGTTCCCAACTTTCCCATTTTATTTTCCGCGAGCACGCTTTTCAAACTACTAAACGGTGTGTTTTTTGCAAAAAAGTTTCTATATGAAAGTTGCTTAAAAATCATATTGATCTATTTTTTAAAAAAAGTAGTAAAAACTTAATTAATCATGCGCTAATAGACCGTTCCGTTTTCCGTGCACACAACTTGGGTTGGGAAACAGGATCCATTTTGAAACACCCAAAGGTTATGTGTACTACTCCTTAGTCAATTTAGGTTGCCAAACAGAAAGCATTGCACAACTATGGCTATGGCTTGTGAGCAATTGGTAGGAGGAAGAACTCACCGTACAAAATCCCGGTGCCCATTGCTGAAAAGAGAGCTAGCGCATGTGCATATGCATATGCATGCATCCAGGCTCTTCCTTTGCGATTTTGTAGGACACAGTGCTGATCACATTTGCCAAGGCCATTTATCCGATCCCAACGCACCAACCCAGCAATCAGCTGCCACCCAGCAGCATCATTTAAGAGAGCCTCACCAAATAGCTAGCTGATCCATTCCATGATACAATATCCATCTTAAAATATAAAAGAAGTTTTAAGACTAGACATGAGTATTAAAAAAACTAGATAAAATTAAATAAAGAGTGTTATAATTGATTAGGAAGAGAAGGTAGATATAGAAATTAAAAGATGGAAGATTTTAACTGGTTGATAACAAATTGTAGGTGAAGAAATTGTCATATGTTAGTATAAATTTTAAATGCTAAAAATTATTATATTTTAGGATGGAAGTTGTAATATGATATGCGTGATCTGAACAAACCGGACAATCTTTTTCAACTGCAGAACGAACTGCACGCATGTGTAGTTTATATGTACGGAGATCTGTCTCAAGTACCGTGTGACTTTCACCTGTACAAAACTATGCATATATCTGCCATGGATTAAGAAGTCAAAGGTAACACATGCAAGAATTCGTACTCACAGGCTAATCTTGAATGCCACCATTGTGCATTGTATCAGCGCACAGATCAGCTCCAAGCTCCATTAGTTCCTGGGCCACCTTGTCCAAATCAGTTGTCACATGGCAACCATACGGCTTCAAAATTTCATCTCACGTGGCATACAATCCTGTATAATCCAGCTAGTATCGTGCAAGTGTGCATAAGACGATCTTTGCCATAAGTTTTCGATGAAGCCGTATAATGTGCTTATTCGATGTAGGCGACGGTGCAGCCGTAGTTGAGAGGGCTCTCGTCTTCGAACTTGGCTACTCGAGGATGGTTTCGGAGTATACCAAGGGCACACTCCTTGACAGCTCCAGTGCCCATGCCATGGACAACAAACAGGACCTGGTAACTTCTGCACCCGTCAATTGCCATCTGAAGCTCATGAGATGCCTCAGCGACTCTCATTCCCCGAAGATCCACTGTGTTCTTGGATGTTTGCACAACCGGGCCAAAGGAGACATTGCCATCTTGGTTGGCTTCTGCTGCTGATCTCTTCGGTGTTCGTCCCTGACATGAGATTATAAGACTGATCAGAACAAGGCCTTAAGCTGTGCTAAAACAAAAGATTAAGAACACAACACAACAGTCAACGATCAGCGATTTTATGTTGTTGACCATACCAATCATAAGCTGCCTAAGTATGATTGTAGAGTTAATTAAGGTGCATGTACAAGAGTGTTGCATACTTGCATGGACCATTGACTGTCCAGCTAGCTTACTATCGATCTGTTGCATCTGCCCAGACTAAAGTGGAGACCATCAATACTAGCAAGTCAGATTCAATGCACACTGTAGGCCGCAAGCTAACTTGGTTTCCTTGAATTGACATATTAATATGCAACGTGACCGACAGAACGAATACACGCAAAAGTATTTCAGAAAAATAACACATCAATCTATTGTGACACGAAGCCCAACTCAATTAAGAGTTAAGACTCATATGCCAGCCCAGAGTCTACCTACTATGTCATACAAACTGGATACACTACACTTGCCAGCAATCTGTAGACCAGATTTACCGAGTTAAGAACAAAATCTTTGTCTATGCTGCACGTGCACGCTGTGTAACTGGTGAGTGCTAAACAAGCATCCATTGTTCAATTTTAGACATACATTTACTTGATAAGTTTTGAGGACCATTGTATTCTATGATAATCATGACAACTGTTATGAGACATAATTTAATACATACATTTACTTGATAAGTTCTGAGGACCTAATGTATTCTATGATAATCATGACAACTGTTATGAGACACCATTTGTTGCAATTTAGTTCTTTTTATCACATTTATCTCATGAAATAAATTTCAATTTGCGAACAATATCACCTCTAATTGACCTCTAACATTCAAAACAGATTATGGTGAATGCTAATATATATAATTATCACTAATACAGGGATGATGCAAAGCACACCTTTCCTTTTACAGGAGAGGAGGCTGACGTGTCCTTCGTGCCTCTTTGGACCAGCTTTATCTTGTTTCCTTTGACACGGACCTTTATTTTTCCATACTGAACCATACAGCTACCATCCTCCCCAAGTGTCTCGACAACACTAGCCATACTTCCTCCTCCCAGCCCCTCAACGTACACTTTATCTCCGATTTCAGGAACATATGAGCTCTCATTTTCTTCATCACCGAAGGTAAAATCAGTTGGCTGGTGAGTAGCAGCCAATGAAGCAGTGGCAGCTTCTGCTTTTCTCATTAGTGAATTGTACTGTTCAAGTTCTGAATTCTTGAGTTGAGATTCAAAGTTCTTGATTATTTGGTCCATCTGAGACTTCACAAACTTTAACTCTTGTTGCACCTTTTCAGACTCTGTTGCCCTTAAAGCTGCTACTCGACTATCCAGGTCATCAGCTTCAGAGCGAATCTTCATATCAAAATATTATTAAGTAAGATTTCAAGTAAAATCATCAAAGAGGATCCTTCTACATAAATACTGTGGAAAAGTCAAAAGCAGATCAATAGAGTAAAAGAGATGAACCTCATTGTACAGTCTCTCAACGTCTGAAAGAACAGATGCTGCTTCATTTGCCTGAGACTCCAGTAGTTTTCTTTCATCTAGCAAAGAACCATAGAGTAAACCTTGGCGTTCCTTCTGTTTGTCAGGCAAAAGTTTCTCAACCCATTCTTGTGCACGAGCAAGCACTTTCTGATCAAAACCAATGGACTTGGCAATACTCAATGCATTTGAATTACCAGTACTGCCCCATAAGATCTGATATGTTGGTTGCAGAGTTTCCAAACAAAATTCCATTGCAGCATTCTCAAATCGATCGTCAACAGCTTTCAGACGACTTAGATCAGCATAATGAGTTGTCACAATGGCCAGATTAAGCCTACTAGCAAGATACTTCAAGATGCTTGTTGAAAGGGCTACACCGTCTGACGGATCCGTACCACTGCCGATCTCATCAATAAGAACCAGAGAATCTTTTGACACAACTTGTACAATCTTGCGAAGACGTGATATGTGCCCACTGAAGGTAGAGAGGCTATGCTCCAGCGACTTCAATCCAGAAAAGAGTTTGCATCAATAAGCATCCCCAATTGATTAGAGAAATTCTCTTCAAAAGACAGAGACTACCTGGTGATCTCCGATATCTGCAAGAACTTGATCGAACCATGGAAGCCTAGGGGTTCCTTTGGCTGGGAAGAACATTCCAGCCTTTGACATCAGAGAGGCCAACCCCAACGTCTTCATGGTGGCAGTTTTGCCTCCAGTGTTGGGTCCAGAGATCACAATTATCCTAGTATCGTTTCTCACCTGCATGTCCAGAGGAATAGGCATTGGAGAGACAAGATGTTCATCAGAAAGCTGTCCTTTCCCTACTCTGGTTGATTCTTTTACCATACTAAGAGACTGTTCAAGAAGTAAAGGATGCTGAATGCCCTCGATAAAAACTGAGCATTCACTATTTGGATTCAGTTGAGTATCACTATCCCTGTCAGTAAAGGCTGGCCTCACAGCATTTATCCATAAAGCGTATGAACCTCTGGCACAAGCCAGGTCAAGTTCCAATATTTTCCCCATCAAATGCCTGATCTTCATTTCGGAGTCAGCTATGCTTGAAGTAAGTAGACCCAATATTGCTAATTCTTCAGCTCTTTCATCACCTGAGAGCTTTACTTCCATGTTGTTCAGCCTGATGGCGTCCCTTGGCTCCATAAAATATGTTGCGCCAGAGCCACTGGAACTCAAAACAATTCCACCAGGAACCAGATGCTTGTGTGAAGCTTTAACACCGACACACATCCTAGAACGGCGCTTAGTGACAACAGGGCTATCAATCCCACCACCCTGGAAGATCTTTGTGGATGTATCTCTCAACAGAGATTCTAACATATCAATGTTCTTCCTCCTCTCCTTGCGGATTGTTGCTAGTTTATCGCTGGCCCGATCAAGGACCACAGAAAGAGTATAATCAAGGCAAAACTCTATCCGTTGCACAAGTTCTGTCAAGAAGTCACAGTCTTGCATTATATCCAGAAGAGGAGTGTAGCTGCAGGACAGGAGTGCTAATCAAAGTTACACTTACAGTTACAATCATTAACTCGAAATTATGCATTCAGTTTAGCTCAGTGCTACGAAATTCAGTTCGAGGAAGCAACTTCCTCACCTCCTTCCATCTGGTGTCTCCTCTGAGAGCGTCTTCAATTGGTCGAACACCCTGCGTGCGGCACGGATGCTGCGCCCGACTCCACATATCTCCCTCACCGCAAGCAGCCGGGCCCCAGCCGCCGCGGCGATGGCGGCGGACACGTCCTCCACGCCGCCGAAATCCAGCGGAGCAGGCAGCAGCGCGGCCGCCGCCGTCTGTTCGAGCAGCCGCTCGCTCTCCTCCCGGCTCCGCCCGACGGGCACCCGCCCCTCTCCGCAGGCGGCGCGCCCCGCGGCGGTGGAGGCGAACCCGGCCAGCCGCGCGCACACGCCGCCCCATTCCAGGGCGGCCTCCGTCTCTACCCGCATCTGCTTCGCCTCCGGAGTCTCCGCCGCGACAGGCGACGTTAGGGCCTGGGAGGCGGCGGCGGCGGCGGCGGCGGCCCTGAGGCGTGGCGGCGGGGACCGTGCGCTGCATACGAGGCCGGTGGGAAGAGAAACCCTAGAAGAGGGGATAGCCACGGAGACTGGAAGAAGAAGGTTGGGTTTCGCGGCGGCGGCGGCGGCGGCGGCCGCCATGGCTGTGGCCGTGGGAGAGGCGGGAGAGCTCGGCTTGGCTTCCCGCCGGAAAGTTCGCCTTATCCTGGTTTGTCCCCATCGAATACCGCTTTCGTGTGGACTTGACGTATTCTTCTTACGCTTTCATGTTGCTGCCTCCCTATTATTATTATTATATTATTAAGATAGCTTTGGAAGAAAACACCGTGTTCGCCATCAAGGATAGAAATTCCTACTTTAATAGAAAAAAAAAGAGAGAAAAAAAATCTAAAATATTAGATCATGATGAGCCTATATTATAACGGTTGAGGTTGATTGGATACCTATAAGTATTAAGGTTAGACAAAATATAGAGAGAAATTAATTCTACTCAAACTTGGTAAAAAAAATTGCTACCCTAAAAAAAATAGAAATCATGTTGGAATCATATCCGGACACCCATTCGGACAATGTCTCACACCTCACTACCACGTACTCCATGTTTTTTTAGAGTACATGTTTTTCTTAATAATACTATAAAAAAATATTTATGCATTGTAACGGGTGAATGTTATTATAATCTTATTATTGTTATATAATTTAGTTAAGATGAAATTCAATGTGGAAATTCACTTGGGTATATACTTTTTAGAAAATCATAAGCTGCAATTAAGAGCCTGATCATCTCAAGTTAGCATGCGAGTTTTTTAAAAATATATCTTATACGACTCCTTCCGTATTTCCAAAAGCGAACCTAAAACCTGGCTCAAATATAGATTTGTATTTTTAAAATCAAACGGATTTAAAAACCGACTCATACATTGTATGAATAACGTATCAAGATACACTATACGCAGCATCAACATATGGCCTCATATGTATAGTTATACATGTCTATGAATAAATATATATGGTGGGTTGAGAATATATATTATTAGTTTGGTTGATTGATGGTCGATCAATCCATCAAAGTTGGCACGTATATAGCAGCCTGCTATTGCACGGGCAACAATTTTTGACCTTATAAAATCTGTCAATATTTAATGCCATTATGTTAGCTTTATTTTTTTAACGAACCGCCAGTTAGATAGCGTGAAGTTTCATTGAATATAGTAGTAAAAAGTTAAAAAGAAAAAAAAAACTACACCATGCACTGGTATCGATGTCCCACACAACCGAGGAATGTTTGCTTTACAAGTTGAAAATAGGAAATAATCCGAATTACACCCCTAAACTATAGCAGCGGTGTAAATTACCATCTTAAACCATAAAACAGACATCATTCAGTCTCAACTTTTTAAAATGCTTATATTTTAGGATGGAGCGAGTAGTAATGATATTTTTTAAAAAACTAATAAATTATAATGGCATGGAGCCCACTAAAAGAAAAACTCCAAGTCTAAAGCAAGCCGGTCCAACCAGCCGTCGACCTAACCAAATTTCTTCCTCGTAATTTCTTCCTACGCCGCCAACGCCATCTGTCCGTACGCTGCTGCTGCCGCCGTCTTCTCCCTACACAACGGTGGAGCCGCTTTCCTATCCCCTTCACGACGCTGTCTCCCTCTCCGTCGGTACGCCCTCTATCCTCTCCTTTCAGCAGGAACATGGTCTTTTCGCATTGGAAAAGGGTTTTGGTAAAAAGATTTTTTTTTTCTTCAAAATATGGCAAATCATCAGTTTCATCCTTTTTGGGGTTTAAACCTAAACATGCGACGAATTTAGGGGCGGGCAAATACTCAAATTCCCCACTTATTATATTCTAGAGTTCAACTGTCCCAGGCCACGATATTGATTGACGACCGATCAGGGAAAATTTACAAATCGTAATGTTTCCCCTCAAGTTGTAGTAATGACATCACATGTGAATTTGGTCTTTGTTTTATAGGGATACCATGGAGATGGGATTTGATGAGAAATTTGCACTTCTGAGGAGCATTGCGGAGGAGTGCATATGCGAGGATGAGCTACGCGTATTACTGAAGAAGAAGCCTAATCCCATCTGCTGTGTTTGGTTTGAGCCAACCTCCATGATGGGCATAGAGCAGGTATAGCAACAACAATAAGAAAAAAGGTTATGTCGGTCTTAGAAAATATATATCTATACTACTTCCTCCGTTTCATAATGTAAAACTTTCTAGCATTACCCACATTCATATAGATGTTAATGAATCTAGACATATATGTGTGTATAGATTAATTAACATTTATATGAATGTGGACAATGCTAAAAAGTTTTACATTATGAAACGGAGAGAGTACAGTATAAAAGATAATAGTGGTGGTGGTGGTTCTGCCATTAGCCCCTGATATTAAGGACAAGTTGGGCAGGCTAGGATGAAACTCATCAAGAGGGGTATGAACCAAGAAATATCATAAAAACATAATGGTGGTACTAATATAATACCAGTAGTATATTTGTAGTAGTACAAGAAGCTTGATTTCTATGCCATGGTTCAGACGTGGATCTCTAATTTTTATGTGCTCCTATGCAAATCCAATTCTCTGGTTGCATTTCAAACACTGCTCACAGATAACTAGGTCATGGTCTGTTATCATTTTCAGGGTATTATGAAGACAATCTATGTCAACAAAATGGTTAGAGCTGGCTGTACAGTTAAAATATTGATAGCAGATTGGTTTCCGCAGCGGAACCCTAGATTCACCTGTAACCTAAACAAAATACAGGCTATTATCCGCTACAATATCATGATGTGGAAGGCAGTTGGCATGCACCTTGACAAAGTAGAGATCATATGGTTTTCTGATGAATTGAATCATCACGCTGTCGACTACTGGCCATTTGCTATGGATGTTTCCAGAAAATACACCATGAAAAGAATGGCAAGGTATCTCTACTGTTTACATATATATTCGAGGCATTCTTTCACTTGCAAGACTTGTTCACCTTTGTCTAAATATCTATCAGTGTTTTCTTACACAAAAGTTGCCGCGCTATTATTTTCTGCAGTTATTGTAAGTATGTGGAACCATATGGGCCAGGAATACTTCCTGCTGCCCAGATAATTTACCCTTGCATGCTGGTTTCTGCTGTATTATGCCACAAGGTTGGTTTCTTTATTAACGGTTTCATTATTATTATTAAATGGCATAAGTACTTTTTTTAGAGGAATGGCATTATACTTTTGTTTGTAGTAAGAGAAATTTGGGGCTTAGCAAGTAGCATGTCATGTGTTCAATATATAGTTTGGGCCACATGTTTCTCTTTCTGCAGCCAATTCAGAGGCACCCATTGCGCCCAAGCAACACAAGCACATGTTTCTGTGTTCAAGCTCTAGTTTAGGCCACTTGTTTTTCTTTCTGCAGATTTGCATTAACTTTTCAGCTCACTGTATCCCGTATGTGGTAGTTGTTTGCTTTGGACAGCAAAATTCATCTTCATCTGATTCCTACAACTTCCGACTCTATACTGTGTACCCTGCACCAAAAAACTCAAAAAAACTTTTTTGGTTTTGTAGTTGCAGGCAGACATATGGCTATTCAGCATGGATCTGCGAGACATTGTCATGCTAACTAGAGATTATTGTGAAGATACAAATAGGGGAAACATACCAACTATTTTCCTGCACTGTATCCTGATTCAGACCGTCTGCATTTTCTGTTTGTTCGTTATATGTTTTTGGTGTGTCCGGGTGTGCGAGCACGCACAGATGAGTATGTGTGTAGTTCAGCTTGTTTATTATAAATGAATATGACAAACTCTGGTTTTTCAAACTTAGGATAGTGTCTTGTAATATCATACATCCTTAACTTGATATACAGCTGTGCTACCTAATTTACTAGAAAACCCCGAATTCCAGAATAGAAGAAATCCTGGACGGACTATCTTCATGCTAGATGATGAGGTACTTATGTAATCATCACACAACGGCAGATAATTAGATTCTTATTTAACTTCCATGATAAATTTGCTCAAACTGTTTCAATCCAAGAGTTTTGGAGCTTGCAAATCATTGGTTATTGTGAAATTACAATAAGATCCTTTATAAATTTAAAAATATGGAGGAAGAAAGATATTTATTGCCTCCTAAGGTTTTTCTAGAATATGTGCTGTCAATTTTTCACTGTCTAAATTCTCTATTCTCTCATTGCTTGTATAATACTCCTTCCGTTTTTTAATAGAGACGCTGTTGACTTTTGAACACATATTTGATCATTCGTCTTATTAAAAAAATTTACACAAATATATAAAATATAAATCATGCTTAAAGTATTTTGAGTGATAAAACAACTCACAACAAAATAAATTATAATTACGTATTTTTTAAATAAGATAAATGATCAAACATGTGATAAAAGGTCAACGGCGTCATCTATTAAAAAACGGAGGTAGTAATAAGCTAGTGCTCAAGTGCTTTTTGATAAAAAAAAATGGTGCTTTTAGATTGCAGATTAATAGGAAACTGAAATGTCATTTTCTGTTTGAGAGCCTTATCTCAAAGCGTTATATTTTGATTTCACTAGTCGAATCATTCACCCCTTTTAAATGTATTTTGTGGTAAATCATGATATTCATTTTGGGTCATTTTGACAGTATATTAGTATAACCCCTTCATAGAGAGATAAGATGTTATACATCCTAAATGGACAATGAGGTTTATCTTTTTTGGATAATATGTGGCTCTCCTGGTCACTGTTTTCTACGAATGATGTTTTTGTTTACTGCAGGATGATATAGAAGAAAAAATAAGTTGTGCTTTCTGCCCTTCGAGAGTAGTAGCATGCAACCCATGTTTGGAGTATATAAAATCTGTTGTCCTTCCTTGGTTTGGGAAGTTTGAGGTCGTTCAGAAGGAAGGGAATGGTAGCAACAAGTACTGTTCTTTTAACTCAACTAAAATCTTCTGAAAATTTCTTCTATCTATTTCTTGTGAGACATCTATTTTGTAACTCACGTTGGCTAAAGAGTTGTGTGCTAACCAAATATAAGTACTATAAGTTAATATTGTATTCAACTATTAGTGATCTTTACCTGCTGTACAGGACATATTCAAGCATGAAGGAACTTATTGCTGATTATGAAAGTGGCGATCTTGACTCTTTTGATGTCAAGTTGGCACTGGGAAAAGCAATAAATGACATATTAGAGGTAGCTCTTGTTTATTGAGGCATAAGGTTTTATAATCTGTAATGACTGTCTTTCTTTACAATCAGATGGTGGGGACAAGGACAATATGAAAAAAAAAAGAAGTCAGCCCTTAAAAAAACTTAATTTATTCCTTTTTATTTATTGTTTTTATCACTTGTAAAGTTCAATCAATTAATTCTTGTGATATTATTTGCATCCTTAGTGACTTTTTTTACTTTCTGTTTCCTGTTATAAATGTGCCTAATCAATTAAGTTAATTTGCCAACCACCTTAATTATGACAATTACTTTTGGACAGTAGTGTCATTTTGTACCACCTACCTTAATTCTTGTACTGAATCCAAATGGACTTATATTTGAAATTGAAGGGATTTTGTTTGGGCATCGAAGTTTTCCACCCGTTTCTTTAAAATCCTTCATATTATGTTTACATTCTATTCTGTGGATAATTGTTTACCACTTGGTCTTTCTTCAAGCTTGTCAGCGAGTTTTTCCGTAGCAACGAGGAAGCTCAAGCTCAAATTGTTCCCCACAGGGTACAGTTCTTAACCCATGACTATTATTATTTACCACAATTATGTATTCCGATATAACATACCTATGATGACTTTGCTCCTGAATTGACTCATTGTATTTTAAGGTGAATTTTTCTGTATATATATAATCAAGAGAAATATTCTTTTACACAGTCATGTTTAATTAATGTGATAAAATTTTGATCAAGTTTGCGAAATTTATGCCAATCCACTAGTATCCATGCTAGCTAAATCCGCATGATCACCTAATGATGTTGTTTTTGTGCGATGATGTTACATTTTTGCCTAGGTCTAACAAGTGTCCTAGTGTGTTCTGCTCTGCTGTCCATGGAACATATGGCTAAACGCAGGGTCCGGGATCTTTTATTATAACTATATCACATTAGAGAACATGCACAGACAGGAGAACAATAACTTGCTTCTACTATAATTTTCAACTACTCTACCCCAATGTGTCCCTAAAAGATTAACCAATGCAGCATCTATAAATGCACCAGATAAAATCTTCCCAAAATGTGACTAGTTTCATAGAGCCTGAATTCCTGGCACTAAGATTGATTTTTCTTGAATAAATAAACAATATATGGAAGTACTTCAATGACTCCTCTAGTGTAGGATCTGAAAGGAAAATAGAGTGGTCAACCAAAGATAATTTTTTAGTGAAGTGTTCTACTGATCAGGTTGTGCTATTAGGCTGTGAGATGCAACGGCCAGGATGTTATCCCATTTGACTAAAAGGCACCGAAATTATCCTTTTCACCTGCATAATAACTCTTACCATAAACAACAGATCAGGCAAGTATAATTTAAAAAATTTCGTGCACTTGATATGAGAATTACCATACAAGTTGATCGAGGTACACAAATAAATAGGGTGTTTGGTTTGTGGATCCGGTTGCCGCTAGCACCATACTACATTAGTAACATAAATTTTAAAAATTTATGTCCGATGTTCAATTCCTTTTCGACTTTCTTTTAACTGGATGTTTCCTTTTGACTTCAGTTACAGGATGAAATTGGGGCAGATATCCAGAAGATCCAATTGCAGAACGAGGAGATGTCTGGTCATGTAAGTTTACTTAGACATGTATTTAGACACCTGCGGCAGACCAGATTTAACTACGCAGCTAACTACCGGAATCGTTTTTTTTTTTTGCAAGACATTTATTTTCTCATTAGTTCCTTATTTTCCAGTGATGCCACAGCTGAACGAGGAAGAAAAATACAATATATGTGTTGCCGATAGAGGAGAAATCTGGGTTTCTTTGGACAAACTTGTATATATTGCCGCTAGAGGAGGAAATGAATAAGATAAACTTGTTTAAATGTTTCTGTAACTGTACCAAACATACATCGATGTGACGGAAGTTTTCAAATATATGTAAATTATTATTATTTATATACTAGGGTGAATTTGTGAGCCGTGTATACCATGTGCGCACGATCGAGTTGGATTTACATATATGCGCGTGCACGCAGCCAGCTAACCACGGGCCACGGCATTGTCGCATTTAATTTCCTCTCAGGCAGCAGCGGCAAACCGGTAGACCAAACAAACAAGGGGGTTAATTAAATCCGTACCACTATGAATTTATAGGTTTTAAAATATACCATTATAATTTATAAAATTAAAACTATGTCATTATAACTTAACATTATTTTAATATGTCACCACTTACTCATTCACTACATTTTTCTAATATTTTAAACCAAATTGGCCTTGTTTTTTTCATCCATCCTCTTCTTTCTTCGCCTCTCCTTTTCACCTCTCACCGATGAGTTCATGTAGCCGTCCACGGCACAGGAAGGTTGTAGTAGGACACCCCGATGAGCTCGTGCAGCAGGTGGCCATGGTGTAGGAAGAGCTCGTGAGTATAGTTATGTGGAGCAAAATATCTTCATCGTTTTGAGTGTGTTATAGGTTGTATTCGTGGATAGCGCTCGAAGAGTTTGTGAGTATAGTTATGTGGACTATAATATCAACATTGGTTTTAGAGCATCGGAAGTTCACATTCTTGTTTCTATAGCACCGAAAGATATCAGTTCACTTTAGTAGCAATGAAAGTTATCTCAGTTCCCCATTTTAGCACTATCGTTAGTTTTTCTGCCATTTGCCGTCAAAATTTTCCTCTCTAATCGGTTGCGCCATGGTAGCATCGTCCTGCCATCCTGCCGCTAGCGGAAGAAGGGATGGCACAACGCGTGTGCTCCTACGCTGCTGGCCCTATCGCCTTGGATCGTCGCTCACTCTTGCTGGACCATTTGCTTGTCGTGATGGGCAGTTCATCAGCTCTTCGATGGTGTGTCTCCAGCAGACTCATGTCCATCGCCGGTACCATTGATCCCCATCAATCCTCAATCCTGCTAACAGGTGGCATCCACCTGTCAGGGCATCTCTGACCTCACTTTCCCCTCACTTTCGCCGACGACCGAAGTGGTGACGAGCGGGGCGGCCGACGAGAAAGGAGCAGCGCACGTGCGCGGGCGCCGGCCGATGGGAGGAGAGGAGCGGTGCGCGTACACGGGCGGCGGCCGGAGAGGATAGGAGCGGCGCGGGCGTGCGGGGGGAGGTGTCGCTGACCACGCTCGGGGAGGGGTCGCTGACTGCGGCCACGTGTGCGGGGGAAGGCGTCGGCCATGGAGCGCGCGAGTTCGGCGGCGGAGATGAAGCCGTTGCCGCCGCCGGCCTACCCACCCCCTTGCCAGCCTCGCCGGCCGGCCGCCCCGCTCCGACACGCCAGTCGCCCGCTTCGGTCGCCGGCCGCCCGTCCCACTCAACCGGCCGAAGAGAGAGGATAGAGAGGAGGGGAGAGTAGTGAGGCCCTGATAGGCTGTCAATGTCATCGTCCACGTGGCATGCTATGTAGGTAAGACCACAGTCAAATGAGGCTTTGGACCGGGATGATACATTAAACCAAGTTTAGAGATCTCGATGCTCGTTTTGCAAGTTTGTGGATTTAAGTAAAACCTTGTTACAAGTTTAAGTACTACTAGTGTAATTTACTCTTGATTTTTCAAGGTAAAATTCTCTCCTCGTTGATCAATCAATCCATCCATCTTCAGGAGTAGATTCAGATCAGATTTTGAGTGAGAACCCAGATCCCAGATTATACTACTTAGTATCATTTTATTTGATTGTATGATATGTTATTGTTTTAAGCCAATTTCATTGACACAAGAACTAAAACGGCTGGCAATACTGGGGCAAAGCAAACCTAGCAAGACAGCAATAACACTGGTATGCCGTTTGCCCACCCGACTAGCCGAACCGAGCAATAGCTCAGGCTAACCAGCAAATAAAGCATTTCTAACATCACGCGTTTATTATTCCAGTTCATCTACATAAACAGCTGATAAAGTAACTGAATTACACTTCCACGTAAACTAGATTACAGGAGTATCTGAATAATATAAAAAATACAATCACTATACGCTGTCCACATGAAGTACAATGTAGCACAATCGAATGGAGAGTGGTATATAACAATGGAAGAGCCGGGCTAAATTATACACACAGGGACATTGCCATTTGCAGTTTTGCCGCAAATCAAAATGTGTAGCGCATACGATCATATACACTACAAATCAACAACTGTAAGCACTGGATCCACCTGAAAGACAAGAACAGGAGCAATATGTATTAACATAAATATTTTCGATACTTGTGTGCAGTGAGCTAAACAGAAGCATCTCACTACTACACCTGAATTTTATTTGGCGAGGATTGGAGCACCACATGCAGCCTTTGCATGTTTGTCTTCAGCGAACACAAGATTCCCACCCACAAAGGTGGACAGTATCTTCCCTGAAAGCTGCTTTCCCAAATATGCCGAAATATTCTGCAAAAATGTGAAATAAACTTTACACATAGAATCCAGACTTCACATATAAAATGTGATCTTCAATTTGTAGCATTTTCTAGCTGATTGTTGAGGAAGAGGTCAAAAGTTCCACATGGTCCGACATTTTATATGGAAACAAGTGGAATTCTAACGGGTTCGAGTTAGAAAGCAAACCCGATGCTTATGGTAGACAGGATGGCTGTCATCAAGATGGAATTGAGCCTCAGGTTTCCATACCACAATATCAGCACGGTATCCCGGCAGAACAGCACCCTACAAATTGAGTTTAATTTCTTTTTAGCAATATCAGCATGTACTGTATCGAGTGAGACAACAGATGATGATATAAACAAAGATGAAAACATTAATCATAACCATTAGCTGGTTTTAAGTTACACAAGTGTCATCCAGTAAGAACAGTAGTATGGCACAATGATGCCATGCATTTTGCTAAAAAAGATGACATTAGCCCATTACCTTTTTCTTTAACCCTGCAAGCATAGCAGGCCTTTCGCTCCACCATGATGCCAGTTGATTCAAACTGATACCGTATTTTTTCCCATGCGACCATGTTACAGGGAGAACAAACTGCAAATGTTCATACCAAACTAATTACTACTATGCAAGCACAATCTGGAGGCCTTCACACTTCACCATTATGATTTTACTCAAAATGTTTTTCACGGGCCAGCGGTGGAACGTTGACCAATTTGTATTAAGATTAGGGGAAAATAAAATCGTTACTTGGCACTCTTGGCACGGTACATTTATTCATATGCACTAAAAAACTTACCTGCAAAGATGATATGCCTCCCCATGCCCTTAAGAAGTTACCTTCCTCCATGAGTTTGAGATCAGGAGCTGATGGTGAATGGTCTGAGCTCAACATGTCTATGTGTCCATCCTAATGTTAGCCATATAATAGTTGGCCAGTTAGCCTATAACAGTTTAGTAAAGTTCAACAAACCAATCATAATAAGAAGAATGGCGTACAAGCAGAGCTTCCCAGAGATTATCTCTGTTGGTTGAATCGCGTATAGGAGGAGCACATTTAAAGCGAGTATCTCCATCAGGAACTTCTTCAGCTGAAAACGCCAGGTAATGAGGACAGGTTTCTACACTAACCCTTGCACCATTTTGTTTTGCATCCTACAACCATATAAAAAATTGGAGTAATAAATGGACCAAGAAAACCATAAGTCATTTGAATAAATCGTACTCCACTGTGCATAAGCTTTTTCATCAACAATAAATAATCAGTTTAGATAAGCAATGTAAAATGTTCTCGGCGATTGTGAATATAATATTCTTTTGTTTGGTTGAGACAGAACTTTCTTTCATGACTTCACAAAAACAGATGAATCATTAATACGTTCTGGTCTGTCCATTTGATAATGACATCATACCTTAAGAAGCCCAAGAGAAGTTTTGCATCTGAGAGATGAACTATGTGAATATGAGCTCCTTCTGACCGACCCCCTATCTCCGTGTCTTTCATCGCACGTTGCAGATCTTTGATCGCTGCTTCCTCCCTAGATATAAATGGCAATAGAATTAGTGAAGTTTGAAGTTGTGATCAGCTCAAAAGGAAAAAAAAAAGGTGTTAAGTTGTGAGTACTTCGGTTCTTTTCAGTGATGGCTATTGGTTAAGCTTTTTTTACACGATTGCATACTATGTACTAAAACAGCATAATGCCATGGTATTCTCATTGATTTGTTGTACATATGCTTTCCAGACAGCCATATAGTTTAAAATCAGAATTGTGCATTCTGATTAACACACAGACTAGACTATGATTCACTCAGGCAATTTTTTTTTCGCGAACGCGCAAAAGGATTGCACGTCAATATATTAGAAGAATAGAGTTTTTGTTACACGACGCACTCAGCCAGACCGGCCTATGCCAAGGACTGAGTGCAATAACTCAGGCAATAACTGACTCAAATTACCATGCTGGTGGTCTAGATTTAAGATATGTCGTATAGGCTTTAGGATCTAGTTCACCATCGATCCCATCTTCATTCTGAACATCGGGTATGCGTTCTGCATGGATAAGTAACGGCCTTTTGTACTTTGCCAATGTAACCAGGCCCTCCTACAGTACAAAAACAGGAATATGAACTCTTCAGGGAGTTGATAAGCTGAATTATGGAACTCTTGTGGTCGCAAGGTAATAAATAACAGAATTGTCAAAGCAGCGCACCTCAATATGAGTTGAATTTGTCATGGGGAAGTCATTTATACCTGAGGGGCACATAAATGACTAAATCAAGAAAAAAAAGATCAATCAGTGTATCATTCTATCATTTGCTTATTTAAAGTAAAATAGAATAAACAGAGTGACATGATGGCATGATAAGGACGTTACAATGACATGAAAAGGACGTGAATAAACCTGTGGGATCCTAGTACTAACCAAACTTACTTTGGAGCTTTGCATGCCTGAAACTAAGGCTTCTTTAACAAGTTGAGAAGATGAATAAACATGTAGAACAACAGAAGTTGAGTGATTACTCTTGTAAGTATGAACAAACCTTGAGCCCTAAGACGCCTGCATTTAATAGGCTCTCTAGTGCACTTGGATTGAGGGCATTCTCTGGAACGAGGCCTCCCCAGAACCCTGTTTGAGAACAGCAGACAAGTCAAAAAAGGTCGGACCATGAAACAAGTTTAGATGCAGAATTACTGTTATTATGGTGGATGAGCTGTTTTTACCTCCCTTGGTTCTCTACTTGCTAATGTGCAATGATACTGAAACGTGTAACTATTGCATTGCAACTTACCTACATCAACATGTAGTTTATCCTTAGCTGCATCCAACTGATAATCAAGCACGTAATGTCAGTGTTGACTAAAGAGAAAGCAGGTAGTAGCAATTTGATGCTTTATATACTGATATTGGTACGATAAAGAAACACTGACCTTCAGCTTGAGAGTTTCTTCAGAAACAGTTGACGGGTAGCTATTAAGAGGCATGTCCACTAATGTTGTAATGCCACCTGAAATGAACAAACCGTGAAACTTTGAGCAAAAAGTCTGATCTCTTTCTGTTATTGAAAAGAAAAAGAAAATTGATTACTCCCTACTAACTCGGTCTCATGTCTCAATCCAAGAATACGAAAATGATAAAACAACAGTCCCAGTGGCAGTATAGTATTCAGAACACATCCCACCATATGCGAGGGATGTTGCCGTACCGAATTCAGAATGCATCCCACATGAGAGGGATAAGAACTAAGAAACGTGCCTTATTTAGAGCATCCCCGACATTAGTACGCAAGGATTAACTTTATTTAGATTGACAAGCCAACACGTTAATGAGGGTTAACTTGATTTAGATTGATAATGACTGATAAAAAGCTGCACCTGCAGCTGCTGCTCTTGTACCAGTGGAGAACCCCTCCCACTCAGCACGTCCTGGCTCATCAAGATGCGCGTGCCTGAAATCAGAACAGTGCAGTGCAGTCACACCACTAGTTTCAAGCAATCGTTCGTATAAGTGATTGATTCTGGCAAGTCGCTAGAGATCGAAGCCTACACATCGATCAGTCCGGGCATGATAACCGCGTCACCGTAGTCCACCACCGGTCGCCGGAGCAGGAAGCTCCGGTAATCCCCGACGGCGATCGCGTTGATCAGCCCTCCCTTCACCTCCACTGCACACACACACAGACACACACAATCCACAACAAGAAGAATCCGTCAGCGACATGGACTCGCTCACTCTGAAAACCCAAAGCATTCAACTGCTCTATCATCATCAGAGTAATAATCAATCAGTCCACTTGTCGTCGATCGAGGTCATCACCTGCGGCGGGGCCGACCCGTCCGAGCGTGACGACGCGCTCGCTGGCGATCCAGAAGTGGTCGTGGGGGAGAAGGCTGCACCCCTCACCGCCCAGGCTCTGCAAAGACAAAGGGATTCTCCTCAGCTTTCTCGTACGAGAGAAGAGATCGCAGATTCGAATACCGGGGGAAAGGGAATCTCCCGGAGACCTTGGAAAAGGGCGCGCGGTAGAGGAGCGCCGCCGCGAGCGCCGCCGCCACCGCCAGCAGCGGCAGGACCCTGCCCTTCGCCGCCGCCATCGCCATCGTCGTCCTCCTCCTCCTCCTCCTCGCGCTCGTGACGAGACCTCCTGTCCTTTTCTGCGTCTGCTTCCTTCCTTCCTCGCGTGCGCGTGGGCTGCGCCTCCACTGGCTCTGGGCTGACGTGGATTCGGGTATCTGAGTCGGGTGGGAGTGGATCTGTACACCTGGTCCAGTGGACTGGTGGGTACGAGGATTCCTGTGGGGCCCACCTGTCTGTGGCGTGGTCTAGTGGACCGCGACCTGGATGATCCGATTCTGGTTTTGTTGCGTTGTGTGAGGGCATCCAAGTGGCTGGAACCTTTGGAGGGATCTCTTGCCTTTTAGTCTTTCTTTTCGTTTTTTTATAAGAAAATCGAGATTCTTTTTTATTTTTTTATTAATAAATTAGAGAATCTCGTGTGTTGTTTTAAGGAATTAGAGAATCTCGTTGTAGCGGTGAGGGGGTGGGTGTGACGCGGCCGCGGAGATGGACGGCGTGGATTGCCTGCTCGGGGTTTGAAACGTCACTGGATAGGAACTGAAATTAAGATTTAAATAAAACAAATCAAATTATTCAATTATTAGAGCAAGTTTATAATAGTATAGCTCACTACTGGCTCCAATTCATCTATAGCCGATCTAATAGACAATTTATACAATAGTTGCTTACTATACTATTAATATATGGTCTCACATGTCATACACACATTACATCTTGGAATCCGTGCTGCAGCTGGCTATAGATCTGTAGCCCGTTGCTCATCTCTTTCATCTTTTATCTTATTAAAATATGTTTACAGCTGGCTTATAGCCTGCTATTGTACCTGCTCTTATAGCGGCCTGCGCTATAGGTGGAAAATTCTACGTGGGGTAGGACATAAAATTCTTTCCAGCTGTATAAGAGGAAACCAGCGGCTAATTTGACAAGTAGTCAACATTTGGTACTCCCTCCTTCCCTAAATGTTTGACACCGTTGACTTTTTAAAACATGTTTGACCGTTCGTTTTATTCAAAAACTTTTGTGATATGTGTAAAACTATATGTATATATAAAAGTATATTTAACAATAAATCAAATGATAGAAAAAGATTTAACAATTACTTAAATTTTTTGAATAAGACGAACGGTCAAACATTTTTTAAAAAGCCAACAGCGTCAAACATTTTGGGATGGAGGTAGTATTTGTTAGTGGCTTATCATACATTTTCTTTTTATAATTTGGTGGGATACCGTTTTATTTTGTAATTTACTCTCATCTTTATATAGCGCATACAGACGTGTGTACATAGAGCTGAAAATCATTTTATATTTCCATGCCTCCAGTAAACTCCAGCTTTGAATATTGTGATGGGACTGTAGTATTATGGTGCTTATCCGAGTCTCGTATGTACTATCTCCATCACAAAATATGTTGATTTTTTATATAACGTTCGATTATTTGTTTTATTCAAAATTTTAGTAATAACTCCTCGGTTGATTAAAAATTACAACAAAATAAATGATATGCATATAACATTTTTCAACTAAGATATATGATCAAACATTATGCGAAGAGTCAATGATGTCATATATTTCAAAACGGAGAGAGTAGCAATTTATTATTAGTATCACCATGGCTTTAAGAAATGACATCAGCCACCAGTAGATAAATTTAAGCCACGTTGAAAGCACAATTGCACATAATAGTAGCAACGTGACTAGCATGAACTCTCAAACTATGTTAGAAGTGGGATACCAGAACCATGGAAATTTATTTTTTTCTGAAATGGAATGGCTTTGAGCTTTCCAATAGTATACAGTACCATTTCCTTATTTACCCTGAAAAATTACCAAATTCTGCAAGGGCCTTTGCGAGAAATTACCATAGCATTTCCGTCCCCGTTCCCGTTCCCGTTCCCGTTTGGGTCCCCCCGTTGGAAAAGAAGAAACGGAGCGCAAGCCGAAGAAAACGCCGCGCGGCGGTCCACTTCCTCTTTCCTCCCTCTCTNCCCCCNNCCCCCNNCCCNNCTTGTCTCCCTCGTCTCCGCCTCCACCCTCACCGGCGCCACGCCGACGCCTCCGCCCTCCTCGACCACCCCCGCCCCCGACCGCGCGAGCTCCGGAGCAGTTGGCGTCGACAAGGAAGGGAGGTGAGGCGGCGGAGATGTTCTCCGGCGAGTGGACGCCGCCGTGCGGCAGCTGCTGCACCAAGAAGTACGCCAGCCTCGTCCAAATCCCATGTCAGTGTGCTACCGCCCAATACTTCCCTCTCGCAAGTCCCCGGTAGAGGATTTGGTTTAATTTGTTGTGCCATTTTTTTGTTTTGGCGCGATTGGGCTTGGATTTGCAGGGAGGGTCTTCTGCAAGAAGGGGTGCGACGCGGACGGCGACACCTGGGACGAGTGTGAGTATTATCATCTGCCAAATGTCGCTGTGAATTGATTCATCCGCTCATTACCCGATTTTGGTTTTGCTGATGGTTTAGTTCATCGCCGATTCAAATATTTTCCATAGGATGAGATATTTATGTTATGTTATTCGTGGCTGTCCTTGTGAATGGATGGAAAATTAATATTAGGCGTATATGCTTTACACCGTTGATGGAAATCATGTTTTGGAGTTCAATAGTACTAGTATGTGGCTAGTTATCTGACAAAATAGGCATGGTTAACATAATGACCCCCTTCATTCAGTGGAATATAGTTAAAATTTTTAATTGGTAACTTGCAGTGCTGTTTGTGTCAATGCTAGCTGCAATGAGTCATGTACTCGTGTTTACAGTGGATCGTTGGTGCATTCCTTGCTCAGAAGTTTGTGTTGTTTCTGTTGGTGCCCTAGGAGCATTTTATTCTTCTGTTGATACCAATCTGTGTGATTTAGGGCTAAGATTCATTCCGATTTTGATTGCACATGAAAAAATTTTGGCTTAAAATTGCTGATCACTTTGTTTTCTAGCATAGCTTAGCTTACTTGCCATAAAAATTCTCAGGCATAAGTAAATGTACGGAAATATGCTACAAAGATCCTGTTTTGGAAGATCACCAGTGGAGTGCATATATCGATCGGTCTCCAGGACAGGATAGCTACTCCTTGGTGAGTTTGTGATCTGTTTGTACAATTCTTATAATTTCCATATTCCTTTTACTGAAAGTACTTTGGTAAGTGATAACCCATTCGATGGCATATGTTTGTACTGTATACTGCTGTCACAGCGAAAGATTAGGTTGCATTTTGCTGACCGAAATTATAATCACCCTCACATGATTACTTGATCATAAACAGGAAGTTATAGTTGTCATATCTTCTATAAGAAAGTGCATATATTTACCATCTGTTGCATGATGGAATAGAATTAACTGCACTAGTTGATTTTGAGTAAGAGTTGTTTGTTCAAGATTTTGTATACCTTTCACATGATTATCACAGTAAAGATCAGTACATCAGACTGCTGTTGTATGGTCCGTAGTCATCATACTACAAGTTTATTGGGTTGCAGTAACATAATACTGCATTTTGCTAATGCTTTGGTCTGATGTAGATAACTAGATACTGTTCCATACACTAACCAGAATGCATGGGTGGTTTTTGTTATAGATAGTTTGCTGTTAGTATGAACTTGTTGGTTAGCTGTAGGAAATTGGGAACGGTCATTGACAGTCAGTTTATTGAATAGTCTACTGCTAATATGCAGAGTAATTTATGGTAAGTTCGTCGGAACATTCTCATTGCAATCCTTTTTACTGAAAACACGGAGTATTCAGTAGTCTATTAAGCTCCCTAGGCAAATCATCTGGCAAAACAAGGAATTGCTCATGATGTTTTTTGTAACATATTGACGTTTCTTGTCTTCAGGAGTGCTTCAATGCTTGTGTTTCTGGATGTGGATATAGGGTATGTAATAAAACTCTCAAGAATGGCATATAATTTGCTGGTCATAATTCAATCCTTGTTTCCATATTCACCACTATTTCTCTTTTGCTGTATGATAGTTTGACATACCAGCGGAGAAAGTGGAGCAAATCAAACCAAACAGGCCATCCAAGCCACCACCACCACCACCTCCTGCAGTAGAGCGGGCCACGAATTCAGAACCTGCTGTGAAGGGTGAAGACGTGCCTTGCACATCAGCATAATAGTAATCTATGCAGCCCCAAATTTTGTGTAACTTTTGGTGCTTCTTTCCCTCATACTGCCTCCTTTTTTTTCTCTTTTCTGGGCTGTTTCTTTGCACCATGTGCTTGAAATTCGCAGTCCACCTTAGGCTGGGCTAGATGCTAACAAGATCTTAACGATAAATCCCAAAATCTTATTTATATTTTCATATGCTTGTTCATCCACATTGTATGTTAGTATGCTCCCTCCGTTCCTTTGTGGATGGCGCCGTTGTTAATAATACTTATAGATGGTTTATCATATCATAAACGAAAGCTTTGTGATTATATTTAGGATGCAACACACTTGGATAATATAGAATCATTTGAAGTGTAAATGATCTTTTTATTAAAAAAAAGACAAGCTCTAAAGTTTTACTATGAATAGTGCCCGGTGCCATGTGACTAATAACTTACTCCCTCTGTCCCAAATTAGATGTCGTTTTGATTTTTTTTTTGCAATGTTTGACAATTCGCCTTATTTAAAAAATAGTGCAAATATAAAAAAAGATAAGCCATACTTAAAATACTTTTGATAATAAAACAAGTCATATACAAAATAAATAATAACTTCATAATCTTTTAAATAAGAAAATGGTCAAACGTTAAAAAAATGATAAGTATTTTGGAACGGATGTAGTATTAATTTGCTGTCATCAGAAGATAATTACACAAGCTAAAATCGCCACGAACAGGAGGTATACAGGGTAGATAAAACCAGTAGTGCAGCATTTGCCATAGATGCTACTATCCCCTGACGATTTGCTCTCCAGCAGCAGCATGGCATGTCTTCTCCTGCGACGCCGAGACCTCCACTTTTCGAGGGCGTCGGGGAGGGGCATGACCAAGAGAGGGGACATGAGGCGGAACACGAGCAACTTCCGCAGGGGGCGGAGGTGGAAGAGGCCGAGCTCGACGCGGCGCTCGCGGTAGGCTCGGAGGACGGCGGCGATGGCGGCGGTGGCGGCGGCGATGTCCGGGAGGTGGCGCGCGTAGGCGTCCCAGGTGCGGATGCCGTCGACGGCGTAGATGGTTTGGTCGAAGATGAGCAGGTGCCACCGGAGCCACACCTCCCGGCCCAGCGGCGTCGTCTTCAACCTCTCGCCATCCTGCATGGACATCGTGCCCCCCGGGGTTCGCACCAGCAGCCTGAATCGCTTCCTCGGAATCTTGAACCTTAACGCCGCCATTGTTCTTGCTCTTGCTCTGCTAGCTAATTCGTCGACGCGCGCTCTGTATGATTTTCTTTTCTTTTTTTTTTTTTTTAGACAGAGAGGGAGATGCTCTGTATGATCTTGGTCGATACTTGCACAGTTATTACACGTCGAAACTTAATTGGTTTTTATATAGGAGTCTGGACGGTGACAGCTACAAATTGTGTGACAACTTAACGACGCGGCCCAGTTTAATCTGGGTATGTACATACAATTGGCCCAGCCCGGCTGTCTGAGCGGTCGTTGTAAGTTGTAACACGGATCGGACACGACACGAACACGATCGATATATCCAAAAAGAAGAAAAGAAAGTAAAAAAGATGGTTCAAAAAAAAAAGAAACAAGTGAGAAAGATCGAACATACGGTCGAATCCGGAGGCCAGGCAGGGAGATCAGATGGCAGCTCATGGTGGCTGATGGCACTAATGCACTAGCATACTCAACCAAGCCAAAAATGCCAAAATATTCGTCATTTGATTTCATTGTAACCGAAAAAGAAAATGCCTTGCCAAATTATGGGTGAGTTTGAGGAGAAGGAGATTGAGAAGATTGAAAAGATACGCAAAACGAGGTGAGTCATTAGCGCATGATTAATTGAGTATTAACTATTTTAAACTTTAAAAATGGATTAATATGATTTTTTAAAGCAACTTTTCTATAGAAATTTTTTACAAAAAACACACCGTTTAGTAGTTTAAGAAGCGTGCACGCGGAATAGAGGTACTTTCTCACCTAAACTCACCGGAACGAACGCACCCTATGTCAAGATGCAACTTTGGTACAAAACCCCCCAAAAAAATGACTAGCCAATTTCTGCCAAAAAAAAATCAACATTGCAGTTTTTTTTTTTTTGGAGAACTGCATATGAATATCAGTCAATTAGCTAGTTAGTGTTAGTGTAAGAGTAGGCCCGTGCGTGCTACTTGTGCTAAATTTGTGGTCTGCAAGAGATGGTCATAACGAACGCGAGGAAGCAAAAACCTCTTCAAATCAACATGCATGATCAAACGTACTAATCCAAGCAAAATAGAGGCTAGGTTATTAAACCCGCGTGCATCGATCATCACACCAAGAAATGCATCACCACATAGGAGTAACATATATCCCCAGATCAGCATATCACATATATATCTTTGTTCAAATACGACGATCGAGTGCAAAACCATACGTACACACAGATATCCATCGATCGGCGATCGCTACTGATCCTATCACAGACAACATGCAAGCTACGTAGTCCAAACTAAAATGCAACGAAAGGTAATCCAGTTCTCAACGTAGGCCAACCCGACCGCATGCAGATAGTATACCTCAGCTCAGACGGCGGCGGTCTCGGTCTCGGTCGCCTCGCCTCCGGTGGTGGCAGCAGCACGTAGGTCGGTAGTTGCCGGCGCCGGCTCCACCTCCTCCTCCTCGTCCCAAGGACCACCAGCAGCAGCAGGAGCGACGACGGGGTCGGCCGCGGCGGCGGCGGCGGCGGCGATGTCGGGGTTGGCGACGTCGATGGGGTCGCCGTCGCAACGACCCGTCACAGTAGCGACGACGAAGGGGTCGCGAGGCGTGGCGCGCATGACCGTCATGTTGTTGATGGACTGCAGCATTCCGCGCGTGAAGGAGCGGCGGTCGGAGTTGCTGCCGCGGCCGCGCGCCTGAGGAGCCGACGACTTCTTGTTCTTCTTGTTCTTGTTCTTCTTCTTCTTCCCCATGCCCGGCGGCCGGCTTTTGCTCTGCTCGTCTACTCTCGTCGGAGGAGTGGGTGGGGTGGGGTGAGAGGCGTGAGACTCCTTATGTAACCCGCGTTTATATACTCGAGCTGGTTACTTGCGTGGTTTAGCCGTCTCCTCTCTCTCTCTGACACCTCTTGTAACAAGAAATGATTCCTCCTAGTTATCTCTCTCTAGCTCTCTCTCTCTCTCTCTCTCTCTCTCTGACACCTTGTAACAAGAAATGATTCCTCCTAGTTAATGATAACCCGTCTCCTCTCTCACACGGATTGACACAGGTGAAAACCTGACACCTGACACACACCCTCCCCCTCCTCTCTGATCGCTCGTCTCTCCCTCTAATCGCTCCTCTCTTGCACGGAGTAATCATCTAGAATAAGTAAAGAAAAATATCTAGAATAAAATGTGATCTATCCTAAAACAACTAATTTGGACTGGACGGATGGAGCACTCCGTAATAATAAACAGGGTAACAGCAGTTAACTCAAAAGTTCAGCGAGTTCCAACTCCTTAACATGATGCAGCCAGTGGATATATTCATGTGTGACAATGGGCCAAATTGGTGCACAACAGTCATTGATAAAGTTCTTACTGTGCAGGAATATAGGAGTACATAGATTGAATAAATTATGCAAACTATAGTTGATTTATCTTAGCCTCCGGAGGAACTCACGCATTTCTGAATGGAACTCCACTCGTACAATTAATCTCATCTTCTTCGCATCCTCCCACAGCAAGCACCCATGATCTCTTGCATAATCACAGCATTGATCAAACATATCCTGCACAAGCAACAGTAGAATAAATATGTTAGCGTTTACACTAATATGAAAAGCACACACCAACATGGTATAAGCAACTCAATATTGTCCCAGTACTATTTCCAAGTTAAATATGCTGGGCTTTACCTTGCTTGGAAAATCTTCATATAAATGCGATAGGGTCATATCAACCCTGTTACGATCCGTTTCCCACAACCTAATCTGCATGGAGGAATTACCAATTCAATTACTTTGGCAAATACGGTTGGCCATGGATGAAAACATTGCCTTGTTCAGTTGTACCTGATCTGTAACGTTCTCTGGGACTGCAGGTATCTTGTCAGCAACACGAGGATGAGCATTCTGCTGAAGGAATGAAATTATCTGAAAAACAACACAAAACAAGAATGACTCTGAGTATCTATATAATGGATCATGCAGAAATTCATACTCCAAGTGATACCTGTTCAGCGGTAATCCCATTCTCAAAAGCACCATAAAGACTTTCTTTTGTAATAGATCCCACAATTAGGTTTGGAAGTTGATACTCCACTCTGCAAAAATATCCTTATTGAACATTCAATGAAGAATGGAGGATGACAGTAATATAAGGTAAAATCTACAGTCGCCACTATTACTGTCATTTTAATAAAACCTTAAGCAAGTGTCCTGTAAAATTAATAAGCAATATTACTTACAACACAGTTATTAATACAGTCATCTTCACTGTATTGTGTTTCCTACTACCTTGATTTAGTACTGGATTCCAGTGAAACAGTTGGCATTCCTGAGTCAATTCAGTCAAGATGAAGGCATCTACTCAACCAAGATAAACGGTATCAGTCACTGAAACAGCAGTGACCAATCACCATTCTACTAGAGCATAGCCAAAAATCAAGATTATGGCATATACTCGCATGACAATTGGCAGAGTTACGCTGGTTAACTAAAGAAAATGTGATGAAGGGTATAGAGCCCTTAGCTCCCTGCCGTCGCTCTTTTGCATGCCAAACATATGGCAAAATGTTAATAATAAATAGAGGAAAGTCGTTCAAGGATGCAACAGAAGCTATGGATCAGTAATTCAGTAGTTAAAAAACCAGTACATAGTTGAGCTAAGTTATGCCAATCATCTAGCACCACACGTACCTTGAAAAAAGGCGCAGAATTTCACAATGTAATCTGGAAGTTGAGTACGCATACATCCGGAAATTTGTCTCCACAACTACAAAACCCTACAGCACCAACATCATACAATGTAATTATTAACAGAAAGTATTTTCATCTTCATTTGTTGTTGCTTAGGTGACGAGTAGATTGAGGTTATGAAAGATTTGGACGTCATGAATAACTGTAATAGCAAGGATATAAAATGTTCTGAAACCTCTTTGTTAGACGATGAATCTGACAAGCTTGCTGAGAGATTTGTAGCCAGTTTTGTAGGTATGAACCAGCTGTCCTTTCGACCCTGCCATGGCTTAACTCTTGACATTTGTATTCATCAAGTTGACTAGGGAAAAGACTAAATCAAAGTTTTACCTGCTGAAGTTTGACCAGTCCCAACTCCGCCAGATCCCTAATAGCATTTCTTTGGACATCGGTCAGAGTATTCAAGCTATAAGCCTGAAGCATGAATAAGTTAAACAGCATGTTGAAGCGAATTTGCAACAGATGAACCAGGCCACAAAGCTTGGACTCCACAACAGATGAAAGATAATGCTTAGTTAATAACATTAATCTACAGACTGATAACCTCTTTTTAAGCACTAAATCTCTGGTACTGTCTGAACTAGTAAGCATTATTAAGCAGGCATGTTAGATTGATGTCCCTATTCTGTTAGATAGATCAGAAACCAATAGAAAATCTTTGAGATGCTCCGTTTCATATACCACTACAATTTACCCAATCCTCTCATAAACTATAATCTGCGTAAAATGTGGCCGTGTTTATTTCTTATATCAATATAACCTACTATTATTGAGGGAAATTATATTTTAATTTCTGTAAAAGAAAAACTGGAGCTGGTCACTTTTTAAAACGATTTTTGAAAAAAAAAGAAGCATCACCACAGTCTTTTAAAAGTGGTTAACTTACCTCTCCTAATGTATGAAAACTAAGTTCCAATAGAAATGATATCAACTCCGTGGGGTCCACACCACGTTCCTATTCAACAGTAATAAAACAATCAGCACAAAGGAAATACAACAAATAAATCAACAATGTAACATCAAAAGCTCTAGAAAGAGCAAGCAACCGATACCTCTGCTGATGAGATGTATTCTCTCATGATGTACCAAAGTTGAGCATTTGTCTCCATCAGCTGGTTAAATAGAAAAGAGTGAGAAACAAATATAGAAGTCTGCAGTCTGTTAGATAATTGGATCAACTGATAGCCAATGACACACCAGAAACTGGAACCCGTTCTCAGTTAATCTTGGAGCTTCACCATCTCTGCAGAATATATCAGATCAGGAACTCTATCGTTCAGTTGTTGTTTGAATATGCAATGAGGAAAGCATATACAATAAAGCTAGAGAATATATAGCAGGGCAAAAAAACTCTAGTAGCTTTTAAAATTCCAGAAATGTGGTGCAAATCTGAACTATCCAAATAAAAAAAGCAACCTGCTAAAAGATGGATTATTAGGATTACTAAGAGACCAATCAGCCCCATTTCACTTACAGGTAAACTGAACACAGATAAACCAAACCAATTAACCAATGACCATCTGCTGTCAGCCCACACCATCTTGGGTATAGTAGTTGCTAGTTCTTCTTAGTGTATATCTATGTAGCTACAGCCATTGGATTTATCATCTAATTGTACTAACAAAAGAAAGAGCTACAGCAATCTGCATATTCTTTGTTGTTGTTACAAAATTTGATTGTCCGTATTTTATGCATAACTCACTGCCAAAAGCAAGGGAGGAAATAAGATGGACCTTGAACTCAGAAGACCTCGCTGAAAAGTTCTCATCATGGATGAGCTGAAACTTGTCCCTCTCTCGACTTGAGATGAGTTGATCAATTGCAGCAAGAAGCACTATTTTCCCATAGAGAAAAGAATGAGTTCCTTTACTAGGGGAGTGAACATTGGTAGCATTCAAACAGTACGATCTGATGAGCAAAAAAAGATAGAAAGTGTTTCCCTAAAATAAAATATACATGCAAACATAAGCTTTTGTCATCCTGACCTCCCACTGCTCAAGAGCAAAAGACTCTAATTCTGCCAATGTAGGCAACCTTGCAGTGACACTCGATGGTATAGGTTCCCTTGGTAAACTTCCACTGCAGAAAAATAAAACTGTAATGTCGTCAACTAGTTTGATATGCTACAACACGCAGAACAAAATACATGGCAATAAAGCTTTAATTATTAGCTCAGGCTGCCCACACAGGAAAAATAACTGAATAACATGAAACATGTAACATACAGTAATTTATTTTTATACAAATTAGTCAATTTGATTTTACTGTTCTTCAGTGCAATCATCGGTAAATTTGTGAACTATTTCCACCCTATTGCTACCACATTGTGGCTTTTTCATTTTCTACATGTAATGTGTGCAGGAGAAATTTTTCTATACATGCAACGTATGCCGGAGTATATAGTAAGGATTACTCTACAATATTAAGAGTTGTACATAATATATATAAGGAAATAAAGCACATGCTTACACTATCATAAAGTTTCGACGGGGAAAAGGCAATTAGCTCAAAATATGAGAAAAGTATGTGGCTTTCAGTAAAAGTAGCTCAGTAGTTACTAAAACTTACCCATCAACCAAATACTTTTGCATGTTGCCCTGGAACTTCTGGTTCATCTTGTAGCTCACCTCCTTTCTTCTGTAGAAAAACATAGTCTACTATGTAGTAAAATTAAAGTAATTCATAAACTGAGTAAGCTATAAGATTCATATTAGCTATGCCTCTGCACATGCAAGAAACAGAACATGTGACAAAGTACACATGAAATTGATGTTCCAGCAGTATAATTAGCTAAAAATAATCGACTACCCCAACTAGAGCTGAATAAAACTTGTTCACGTCCAAGGGTATAATCATCATGATGGTTTCTTCTCATGCCAACATTGATTCATAATTCTTAATGCTGTTGCATATTTCACCTTAAGAGTTTGCACTTTGCAGACCAAATGTGGCATGCCAAATATATTGCTGTTTCCTTTTTACAATAAATAAAAGCATTACTAGTTGCATAGCATCCTTAGGGCCAAACAGTTACACCAAAATTTCAGTAAGTTGACATATATGATAACATATCAGGCCCCCCGGCATGCCAAAGACAGCGCTGGCAAACCACTAAGGCAAAATTAGCACCAGAAATCTGACATTCTGGATTGAAATTATACAGTTGGTTCATCGACTTCTGATCTATAGAGGAAGTTGCAAGTCTGCGGCGCACTTGAAGCACCCAGCGCTGGTGGAGATGGATGAGGCCTTACCGATCGCGCACCTCGACAAATACCCTCAGTTGGAGCAGCCTATCGATGGCGACCCTGTGCTTGGCGGCGTACTCGTCGAGCACCCACTCCTCCATGGCCGCAGCGGCCACCGGCGCCGACACGTACAGCATCTGCAGCGCGTACTTCTTCGCGAGCGGCGGGAGCGACCTGCACAACGAAGTGGCGAAAACACTCGCGATGAAATACAGCACGGAAACGCATCGCCGCAGCCAAGGGCAAGGCCGGCGCGGAGTGGGCACCTGAGCACGGCCTCGCAGATGAAGGCGGAGTCGTAGAGCATGTCGAGCTTGGCGGCCGGCAGCGCGGCCACCATGTCCATGAAGTTCCGCGCGACCACCATTACCTGCGGCATCTTCGCCGGGGGGTGGGGGGTTAGCTCCCAGCGCCGATCCGGTGCGCCGCCGTGCCACACACGTAGAGGGAGCAAGAGCGAGGAGGGGATAGGATGGGAATATCCGGCGACGAGGAGAGAGCGTCGGCGGGAGCCCTACCGGGGAGATAGCGGAGGAGGCTTCGACGAGAGGAGAGGGGGGAACAGGGGAAGAGGTTTCTCTAGAGCTGAGCTGTGTACCGGAGGAGGAGGAGGAGAGCTCGCCGGCGGCGACGGCGACCGGAGGAGGGAGGGAGGCGGCGAGGCGGCGATGTGTGTCGAGCCGAGCAGCGTGGGTGTGAGTTGGGCTTGGATAGAATCCGGATCCTGGCCCATTTAAATTTGCAGTGGAATTGGGCCGTCGGCTCTTTTATGTGGGATAAGTTCACTTCGTGACCCTCAACTGTGATCGAAATCTAATCCACGACCATAAACCACAAAACCGGATATTTCGACCCCAAAACTCTTAAAACCGGAGCAATTTGACTCCCTCGGCGGTTTTGCTAACGTGGCGCCTACGTAGCAGCATTGACTCGGTCTTCTTTCCATGTGGCGTTGATGTGGCGCTTAAGTGGCACTAGAAATAAAAAAAAAAGTGTGGGGCCCATTTGTCATTCAAAAAATATATAGTGTGGGACCCACTGCCATGTGGGGCCCACATGCCATCCTCTCTCTTCTTCTTCCTCCGCTCTTCCTCCCTTCTCTCTTTCTTTCCCTTTCTCTTCTCTCCCCTTCGGCCGGCCGCGGGGAGCACGGGCTGGAGCGGCGGCGAGCGGCGGCGGCGGCGGCGGCGGTGGAAGCTGACGCGGCGGCGGCAAGATTGGAAGTTCGGGACTCGCTGCTCTGTGGGCTGTATGCCTCGCTGCTCTGCCTCCTCCACCGCGGCGCTCCCGGCGCCGGCGGGTCCAGATCCTTCGAGACGGTGGACTCGCTCAACATCTTCAGGGCCAAGGACTACGACGCCACCATCGAGTTATACTGGGCGCCCATGCTCGCCGAGTCCAACTCTGACGGTGCCGCTGTCCTCGACGACCGCCTCATCCGCAGTGCCCCCATGAACAAGCACTCCACCTTCTGGAAGGGCGCCGACGTCCTCGTCTTCAACTCCCACCGCTAGTGGATGACCGACGACAAGATCCAGATCCTATAAGCTGCTAGCTAGCAAACACATAGTCATACATGGCGTGAACGATTGATGGATTCGTTTGTGAGATTGTTTGTGTGTGATTTGTCTGGATCGATGGATTCATCTGGCGGCGGCGACTGCTACAACCAGACGTTGCCGGTGGGCGCGGCCAACGCGGCGTCGTACCGCGGGAGCACGAGCCGAGGGATGCTGCAGGTCCCCGGCGCTGCCGCTTTAGCTTCTTGGGGAAGAAGGGGAGAGAAAGAGAGAGAAGGGAGAGAGGGAGGAGGAAGAAGGAAGAGGACTAACATGTGGGCCCCACATGTCAGTTGGCCCACATTTCTTTTTCTGTGAATGATTAATGGGTTCCACACATATTTTTAATTCTAATGCCACCTAAGTGTCACGTGGAACGAAGACTCGGTCAATATCGTCACGTAGGCGCCACGTCAGCAAAACCGCCCTCCAAAACCGCCGAGGGAGTTAAATTGCACCAGTTTTAGGAGTTTGGGGGTCGAAATATCCGGTTTTGTGGTTTAGGGTTATGGATTAGATTTCGATCACAGTTGAGGGTCACGAAGTGAACTTATTCCCTTTTATGTTAGATTGGGCTACAGGCCTCTTGAATGAAAGGATTGGGCTACCCAACCCTAGCCCATTTTGGCCCATTGGCAAGTTTGTGTTTCAAAGTTGTCCATGCATGGATAATTATTTATATTTTTTTTCTTGTTTTTTTTCGTTTAGACGAAAGACTCATGCATAACTACACAGCACGCTCACGCTCCCATGAATGTGCTTTTATTTTAAAACTACCCATGAACGTGCTTAACATACTCCTAACTACAATTTCCTATCCTAACTAAAATCTGATGAAAAGAACCCCCGAACGTGTATAATATTTGCTCGTTTTTTTCATTTCAGTACCGTACTCGTACTTTCCAGGATCAATCCGTCAATTACCGTCCATTTTTTTTCCATGTGAAAGAAATAAAATGTACTAGAAAAATGAAATCATTTCACAGGTATACTGGCACCAACATGACAATTTACAAGTCTAGAGTCTGGACATCACCAATGTTGACGTACACGTACGTGTCAAATCGCTTTCCGTGTTAAAATCTTCCTCGCCACACAAAACCAAAGGTGCGCGTTACATGACTTTCGCCGAGCACTCGTCTGCTGCGACGTCAAACTCCAAATTTATACATCAATACATGTGGTTTTGAATTTTTGCTAAAAGGAAATTCATGTGTGGTTTAAGTAGACAAGTAGTAGTTGGAATTTTGAAATGGTGTTCCTGTACTACTTCCTACTACCAAGTACTACGAACCAATGAAAAAAAAATCCGGCGGACAAGTTGAAGCTGGAAATGGTCAGATCAAAAGTCAATACGAAAATGAAACTGATACTTGCCGACTGTCACGCAATTAATACCGATACCAAGCACTACCCCTGTTTAAAGAATTAATAGTAAGATTATACTAAGAAACTAGGGTTGGCAGCCAGATTTTAGCATATAGGAGTAGTTCGATCTTTGGGTTTTACAAATACATCTTTCTCAAATCCTAGACTGTCATCAGAAGCTTGTTGTTGACGAATATCGTCTACCACCGAAAAAATAATTAGCCACAAATACAAGTAATAATGTCAAGTTTAGAATTTAAACTCAGGTGAGCTAGTTCTATCACAGGATAATCATTTTAGTTACGCCTATTTTGCTTTGTAATTTTTTTTAGACATGCTACCACAAGGAGTAATATAGAATTTGTTTTTTTTTTCTTTTTTCTACTTTGGAAAGGATGGTTTTTACACGAAATTTTACATGAACTGACTATTTCCTAATAAAATCAAATAAAAAAACCTACGATCCAATAGTCACAAAACTCCAAACCTAATTCATTTTCCATGTGACTGGGGAGATCAGTCGGTTGATGAACGATAATGTTTTTCTTTTTCTCAACACAATTTCATAAATCATCGTAGCGTTACACACAAGCTAGCGCGTAATGAACATTATTAACCCAGGTGCAAAATCACAAATCACATTCACCCAGGTGCATATGCTAACTACAGGTGCCAGGATTAAAACCTACTCCGTACTCATTGTCCGCATGGCCGTGACTCCACACCACACAAGTACTACTTCCCTAATTTACGCGCTAACTTTTCTTAATCAAACACTCTACACACGACTTATTTGATTACCACGTAACAGTAGCTAGTAATTTCTCCCCCAACTTGTTCTCCGGTCTCCACATCTCATAGGATTTATAGCACATCATTACGTATATCATCATAACAAAACATATCACTCCCCATCAAACATTATGACGTAGTACTATGTAATAATTAGCTCCCTTCATTTTTAATAATTAAGATATGCCTTTTAAATTGTTAAATAGTACATTTCTATGTGAAAACTTTCTATATAAGAATTTCCTCTAAAATATATCAAATAAATATAATTTGAAGTATGTAATTATTGAAACGCAATTGATCATACGCTAATGCTTTCTCATTATGGGTGTACTTACTTAGTCCTCTTGTTCGTCTTGCGAAGAGCCGAGAGATTTGTCATTTTGCTATGTCTAGGTGTTTCATATTATAAGTTGTTTATTTTTTTTCTCTAGCCAAACTTCTTTAAATTTAATTAAGTTTATAAATGAATATAGTAGCATTTTTTAACATAAAACAGACATCCAATGCTGGATTTTATTAAACTAATTTGTTATTTTTGATATTACTAAATTTTTCTATAAATTTAGTTAATCATCTTAACCAAGTTTGACTAAGAAAAAAAACTACAAGTACACTTCTTTTCAAGGTACAGCAGCGTCACGGCAAACCCGTATTTCCACAAGTATATACGGTAGTACAAAATACAATAGAGTAGAAGCAACAATCATTTAATCTTTCACGGAAAAACAATAATAAGTAATATATAAAATAAAAACAAAATAAATGAAGCAGGCAGCAATTAACTCATGTCACATCCGTGCCGAAACAATCCAACCCAAAATTCCCACATCCATTTCTCCAGCGACCCATCCATCCATCGCCTCCTCTTTCCCTCCCACCTCCACACGTCCCCTCCTCTTCCCCAATATTCCACGCCACCGCCGCCGTCAACCTCCGCCATCAGCAGCAGCAGCAGCGGTCTCCCATTCCCATTCTTTGCTCCCACGCGAGGCTGCGCGGAGAACAGCTGCACAGGTGGGGTGGGGGTGCAGACCGAGCTGAGGAGTAGCCGGAGTTGGTGGTGAGAGACGCGGGTGGGGCGCGGCCATGGCGGGGAGGGTGGTGCGGAGCTGCGTGCAGACGGGGCTCAAGGCGGTGAACTCCGTGCTGGGGCTCGCCGGGATGGCCGTCATCCTCTACGCGCTCTGGATGCTCCGCGCATGGTACAGGGACGTCGCCGACCTCCACTACCGCCTCCCGGTCCCATGGTATTCATCCCATCTCCTTCCTCCTCCCCAACTCGGATCTCGTCTGCTACTACTCTCTCGCCTTCTCAATCTCTGCTTTAGTTTTTTATCACTACATCGATTGCAGTTTTTCCCCCCTTTTGGGTTTCTTGATCTGGGCGTGTAACCCTGTGCTAACTGCTAACTGTCCCATATGCTTTGCTTCCGCGAAACTTCGAGACGAATTCGTCGAAGCAAAATGCATATACTCCATACTGTTTCATTGGAGAAAATGGTTTTCTCTATACAGTTTATCTGAGGATTCCGTGCAAGAACAGGGAGGTTTGGAAATTGCGTGTTAGCCGAACCCACCCCCACCACCCAAAGGAAAAAGCAAGCACCTCTCTTTTTCTCCTGTGGAAGTTAAAGTTTACCCTTTTTCTGATGGGTGATGGACAATACTCGGCTCAGCATACCACTATTGCTCCAAATTTGGGTACAGTGATGCGGAAGAAAAGTAGTGGATGTTAGAATTTAGAGAATTTCGGTGGTTGAGGTGATCACCATGAAGTAGTATTGTTTTTGGAATCATACCCCAAAAATTTAGGTGGCGGCTGCAATGTAGCTAGGGCCATATTGGAGCATGACGCAATGGCTTAATGCAATGGATGGCCCAACCAAAAGGGACATGCGACAGTTGATTGGATCTGGTTGGGCGATAGCACTTGCGAAGGAGATAAACGAATAATTTTTGGGTTGGACAATCGCTTTCCTAGACTTGGTGCCTGCTTGGCTGAGCTTCAGATTAGATTTTAAACTTTAGGACTAATTTTAGTGGTTTTCTTCGCCACTTTCTTGTCTGGCTCTAGTTTCATAGTAATTGCTAAAATGGAAAGCTGAAAAACCTATCTAAAACTAGTCTTTAGAAATCAAGCTTTAAAATTCGAAATTGTTTTAAGTTATAATCTGATGCAGAAACAAGCAGGACCGATGACGATTATACCTCTCCGCACCTTTTTTTTTACAATAATGCCCCTCCACATTTCTATTACTGCTAACTAAGATGGTAGTATAAATAGATCTAAACCCTTCGATCAAATGAGATTAACGGTTCAGATTGCTTTCTAATGCCAATGGAGAGCACCATAGTGGGGCTCCAATTAATTTGGGCTGTTATTCATACCTTTCTTGCCGTTAGGATGTCAAAGGTGCTATTCTGTATACTAGATGCATACTTTACCATATAAACATCTAGACATTTACATTCCTTGTAAGTTTGTGATATGAACTAGTAATTCTTTTACTAAAACTTTCACTCACCGTGCAGGTTTATCTACACTTTTATTGGCCTGGGAGTCTTTATGTGCTTGTTGACTTGCTCTGGTCATATTGCAGCTGAAACTGCAAACAGCCACTGTCTCTCTTGTGTATCCTTCAAGCAGCTTGGTTTATGGAGTTGTTTTGGTGCCTAACTTTACACTTTTATGTTTTTAGTTAATAAAGTGAAGTTACCTGCGTGTTCGTTGACCGGATATGTTCTATAGTACAGAACTATGTTTTTTTACTGGTTTATATAATTGAAATGCCACAAAAAAAAATTTCGGTTGAGCAGATCTTTCTTTTTAACATGAGCAGATCATTTCTGAAATGACAGTGCAAACTTCTATTCCCTTTTATTTGCGGGGCAACTCTTGATCCATTTAAGCCTCCAACCTTACATGTAACTCAACCTGGTGATGCAAGGACTATTTTGCCTTAACCTGACATTCAGTACATGATTTTTGTGTTTATTATTATTATATTGGAAGGAGCAATCACCACTGACGTATTTCTGAATAGCAACTGGGAGGAGGTAAGGATCATTTCCTTCTGTTGTTTTTTCCCCTCTCTCTCTCTCTCTCTCTCTCTCTCTCTCTCTCTCTCTCTCTCTCAATACAACATTATGGTTTTTAACTGCTTCACCAACATTACGGTATGCATGTATGTATTCCTTTGTAATGGCATGTATTTTCTTCTATTCGATCGGTGATTGTTTGGTATTTTCCAACCCTTCAGGATTTCCCTGATGACCCATCTGGAAAGTTTGAAGAATTCAAGGATTTTATAAGATCAAATTTTGAGATTTGTGAATGGATAGGCCTCTCGGTTGTCGCTGCCCAGGTGATATTTTCTGCTCCTTTGCTGAACTAGGACCCAATTCATTTTTTTTCCTTCTATAACTTGTAACCAAAGAATTGTGTGCGCACATGAGCATGTGTCGTTGAGATCTTCCAATATGCTTGCAAGTTGAATTATACTTCTCTACTGGCATAATGAGAATTCACTGAAAGCCCACCATGTACACTTTGGACTGGAGAAACACTGATTTCCTCTATAACATACTATACAATTATTTTCAGGTGTTGTCAATCGTTCTTGGAATGGTACTTAGGGCTCTTGGACCTGACCGTGAAAGTGACTATGATAGCGACGACGACCCCTCTGTGCCTGCAAGGCTGCCTTTACTAAGAAACCAGTACCAACATGGCATAAACTATTCTGAACATACCTTACCTCAAAGTAGTGATTCATGGAGTTTGCGGATTTTAGATAAGGTGAGATATGTTTTCCAACAAATTATTTCTTCATTTCCTCGATTCCTTCTCAGTTTGTTAAGCATTAGTAATGCCTTTCCATGTTTTCCTTTTCCTTTCAGGCTAACAAATGAAAATTTTCTGACGATGAACCTTTGGATGGAGCTATCACCATGCTTCGGCCTGAAGGTTTAGCTCGACATGAGGAAATGATACCCTTCTTTTTTTTTTCTAGGTAGCAATATTGAATGGCTTCTTTTGATTGCCTAAACATGCACAACTATTTGAGTAGCATGCAACTGACCCTTACAGCCCCTTGATGTTATGGGAAGAATGTTGTATTTTACAGTGCTTCAGAAACAGATGATGGCGTGATTCCGTCACTGACAAAAACACAGTTGAATGTTTTGTAGTCCGTCGAGCTGTCTGATCCATATATACTCCATCCGTTTTATAAAAAGCAAACCTAGGATAGAATATAACATATTCTGGTACTACAAATCTAGATGAAGAACTGTCTAAATTCATAATACTAAGATATATCACATCATGTTCTAGATTTGTTTTTTTATGAGACGAATGTGTTATTTCTGTTGCTGATGAACCTGCCAATGTCCCATGATAATGTCCTATCTTGATCCATAAATCCTCTGGAATCTGAATGCTCAAAAATAGGATTGGCATTTGGGTACGTCAGTACGGTATGACTGAATTTATTGCCACCGGCTGCATTCACCAGCCGCGTTTGGCCCATAAAATCCAGCACGGTGGAGTGGGTTCTCTATTAAGAAATCTGTACTACGAAGCCTGTATACAAGAGTGGCTTTACCAAACGGCAATGTAGTACAACTGTTCATCAACCAGTTTTTCAGCAGCTAACTGGTCCTCGTAAGCAATTTATCTGGTAAGCGTATCGACCAATGTTTGTTAGTAGTGTCAGGTTCAGCACTACACCTCCTACATCATGGTCTTTCCCCAACAGTGATGAGCCTGTAACAAGCTGACTCATGGTTGCTGGAATGCTGGTAATTGCAAAAGAGAAGAAACTGTCATGGTAATGAGCATATATGTACTTGGAATTTCACACTAGGAGTTCAATGTGGAACACAAGGTTTTTCCTCACTAATTTTTTTACACTGCAAATTACAAATCTGTACAAGCATTTACAACATCTGACCACAGCATTGGATCTAGTCAGAATTCACAAGTTCTCTTGTCAAAGTTCAGTCTGCTCCTGGGGTTAGCCACATCCTACGACAAGGAACATCCTCTGCATGAATGAATAAGACATGCGTCACTCTCCGAAAACAATTATGAGTAGGTCATTATGAGTAGCTCTGGTTATTTTACATGAGAATCATAGGCATAGAAGATGTTGTCCGGAGCAACAAGAGGCAGCTTCTCAATGTACATAAACAGGCGCCTAAGGTTCTCTCTAGTAATCGTTGCCATGTCAATGACATCTCGGTCATCTGTGAGCATCCACAGATCACCAGAATTTACTCTTTTGAGGCTGTCACGGCAGAAGGGGCAGGACTGGGATCTTGAGCGCCTGCAACAAGGATAGCACATGGTTCAAAGAATGCAGCAATATCTTAAGAGAGTTCGTAACCAGTGACCACATAGTTATTCATATAGCAGAGAAGCTATTTTTAAGTTCATGTACTGAAGATATAAATTGATATGTATGTCCTTTGAATTCCTTATGTTCATGTAACTGGTAAGGTATTTTATACATAAACATTAGTACTGTCATTTACGTGCGGTACTACATGCTTTGGTGGCAGAGTTTTTGCAGAGCTATGTATTGACATAAGTTTGGGAAATTATGAAACTGAACTGATGTTCTTAAGGCTGTTTTTCCCTTTGCAAGGGATCATTTGCTTAGTGGGGTTATGCCATAGAAGGGATTTCACAGGAGCTAAATTATAGTGTCAAAGAAAAAGTGATCTCTGAAAGACCAGTAAGAGTTAAGCACAAAGCTGACAACCTTGCTGCAATGACTGAAAAATATGCAATGTCTTGCTGTAATAATCAGGTACAGATCTATTAATGAGGTTGCAGCATAGCACCATCTTATTTATTGTGCAGAGCCATTCATACAGAGTAAAACAGCGTGCTGCTATTAACCTCTCAGAACCAAAATGGTCCACTATATCTGGACAGAGTTTTACTCGTGTTTTGACTAAACTAACTTTGAATTGAAGAACTAAACACATCTCAGACTGTTACCAAGGACCAATACGGCATCGATTAACCATTAGTGATGAACATGACAAACAATTTTTGGGATGGAAGGATTTGATTCTCACCATTGACGGTAACACTTCATGCACATAGCATGGCTGCAGTTGGGCAAGACAACCTTGTTATTCATCTCCATGCAAATCCCGCACTCTTCCTCTCTCTCGACATCAATCTCAGAAACATGCCTCTTGCTCTCATCCTCATCTCTTCTTCTGTATCTCTCAGTACAGATTGCTTCTGCCTCCGGTCATCGACATCGCTGATACCCTTGTGGAGTTGCATGAGTGAGGGAAATATAACAGCTGAAAACAATGCAGGCTAATGTTAACACTTTAGACAGTAAACACCTCTCAATTGTGAACCAAGAAAAAGAAAAAGAAAATCTCAGCTCAACATTTTAGAGCATTTACCATAGAATTCCCTAATGCTCGCTTTCCTTTCATGAGTTGACAAGGTGGTCGTTCCATCTACATAAACCTGATGAACAAACGAAGCCGAACAAAAAAATCGTTAGATTAAAAAAAAGTCACTGACAATATGCAAACTTGAATTCTGAACTCGCACCACGCACGCATACACGCAACCTTATAAATGAGAATCCTGAGGAGGCCAAGAGCACCGGCAAGGCTACAATCCGTCCACTGCACCAGGAAGAGGAAGAACTGCGCGGCGGGGCTGTACGACATCCGCATCTGGAGGCAAGCCCCGTCATAATCCCTCGAGAAATCCGAGGCCCTGTCGAATCCAACCACTTTCACTGTGAATGGTGTGCATCAACTCACCCCCACCGGATTACTGCTACTACTAACCACCATTCATACACAAAGCATGAATTCCTAACTAACTGTCTCCTACTTCTTCATCATCATCATCGCGCACATCGGATCTATCAGCACGCACGGTACGAGTCTAGAACGAAAACCAAACGGCGAACACTGCGAGAACGAAAATTTGGGGAAAGTTGAACAGAATACGATGAAAAAAAAACAAAAAAACAGAGAGCACACACTCACAGGGTGTTGGCATGCTGGATGTCAGCCTCGAGCACCTTGAGCGAGTCCTTGAACGATTTGCGCATGGAGCACAGGACCATCACTGCCTCCTCCTCCTCCTCCTCCCCTCTTCTCCTTCCTCCTCCTCCTCCTCCTCCTCCACCGCGCGTGCGTACCTTGAGCTAGCTCGCCACCACCATAGCTGCTCCTCGATGGCGACGCGACGCAGCTATCCCACCGAAAGCTTCGCCGCGCTTCCTCCTCCTCCTCGGTGCGGTGCGGTGCCGCCCGCTTCGTCGTCTTCCACTTCGCGGTGTTCTTCGCTTCGCTTCTGCTTCTGCTTCTATTCGTTGCGTGCGCGGAGCGGGAGGAGGGAGAGAGGGGCACGCGTCCCAGGAGAGAGAGAGAGATAAAAAGCTCCAACTGACTGACAGGTGGGGCCCAAGCGTGGAGGGCGACGTAGGTGTGTGGTTACCCCTTCGAATGACAGGTGGGGTCGGGTTAAGGTGGGGCCCACCTGTCGGTGGGGGTTGAGGCGCGAGGTGGGAGTGGATGGCGGTGGGGAAAAGTGGAGTGACCTCGTGGGGCCCACGGTTGGACGCTCGAGGCGGCCACGTGAGCTTGGTCTATACACCCACGACCGGGGGGAGTGGGGGTTTAGGGAATGAGACGGAGAAAATTTGGAGAAAAAAAAGGGTGTTGACGAATTTTGCACGGCGGCTTGAACAGTGAATTTGAAAGTGGAAAAGTCGATTCGTACAATTTTCTTCAAGAAAAAAAAATCTTACAAACGCTGAAGTGGCATGGTACAAGTAAATTTAGATTTTTGTATAACTCCTGCTCCTCATATAGTTCGATTTAACGATTAAGAACTTTTTTGTGATTGTTTTTAAATATCCCTTCTTCTAGATGTGGTTTTTAAAAAGGTTTTTCCAAATCCTTATTGAAAACAGGGAGGTAAAAGCTTCCAATCATTTGCCTCACAGTTTATAAGCCGTTGTTAAAATTTAAATTATAAAACTTTGGTTTTGAGTTAAATTTAGGATTTTTTTTATTCAACACTAACTTTTAAACCGCAGAAAACACAAACAGAAAAGTTTGGTCCATAATTTATGACTTGGTTTCTTATATACCGTTTTTGGTTAGTAGTAGTACACCAGACGATATATATAGTAATAATAGAAAAAAAAACAGAGAATCTAGTTCAAATAGAGGATACGTTTGAAAAACCATTCAGGCATCAATCCATTTATGTTCAACTTCTGTTGATGTACACTTGAGAAATCATCTGCAAAACATACCTATTTGTGGACATTTCTTTCGTCTTGATTGAATACCAAGGCTCCTACCTATAATTAATTAATAAGAATACGACTTTGTGCACCACATGCCGTAGTTGGAAAAAATTGTTTGTAGTCTATTCCAAATTTCTACTACTCCGTATGGTCCAGGTGCACAGAGCGGTTGAACTTGGACGGCGAGAAGAAGGTTGGTGCGGTGTTACGGTCATTTGTCACTCTCGTAATCGGTGGTTATGAACTTGTTTGAGAGCGCAAACTGCCGGATTATAAAAAAATATCCTACTTGTCGTCGTGTAGCCTCCTCTCCATTCATGATTAGTGCATGTATTAGCGAAAGATTTCGCTATTATTAATTCGAATGATTAGATTGAGTGGTTGCAAAACAGCTGTTACGTCATCCCCATTCACCGGCCGGTGTAACTTTGTAAGTCCCCAGTTTTCAAACTAAATAAAGCGTAGTAAGTCCATCTGTTAGAGTACCTGAATTGAAGTAAAGCATTTTTTATTTTTGTCGATGGGTGATTTTGTGTTATCTTTTGCAGTGATGAAGAGATAGAAAAAGGAAGAGTGCAGTGGTGGTGCGAACTCCCGGTTCCTCTAGGCCCATGCAATTATATTCCATGGGCCTTCCTTCCATTTATAGCCTGTTTATCCGGCACGTATATAATGGGCCGCATTTTCGTCTCTGTACAGTTTCAGCCCAGATAAAATGGGCCTGAAGTGACTGGCTAACGTTCTGGCCCAAAAAGTGGCCAGCAGCCAGTTGCGGCCCAAAACTTGTTGCATTCTTCACCCACTCTGGTGTCAGTTAGCATTGATCAATGTTTGTTTTGCGTGCAGGATCCACAGTTATCTCAAAGACTCTCAACCCTACCAATTTTTTGGTATTACCAAAATTTAGTAGGGTAACAAACTAAACAAACTCTTACCATTATCACTTTACCAAATTTTAGTATTACCAACTTTGCAAGCCCTTCACACTACTAAATTTTAATAAGGTTAATTTCGATAACAAACCCTACTGGTTTGCTTTCTAGACTCTGAATTGTGATGAGTACTACTACTAGCTAGCTAGCGTCCATTTTGAGGGGACACGACTCGTGGAAAAGAAAGAAGAGAATGATCGAGAGTGTGGCGACCCTTTTTATTGCTGTTTGTTACCGGGTCGATTAAAGTACATTTGTCTTCTTTAATTATGATGAGTAGGCATAAAGGTCACTCAAGGTGAGAACTGAACCTGCTCGATCGAATTTGGGCCAGCTAGTTTAGTGACGGTCCTTTTCAGGTAGTTGGTCACTGGACTTGGAGGTGAACATCCGTTTCACTACCAATGAATACTCGCACATTTCGAATCGAAAAACGGGTACTATGGCCATGTTTAGTTCCTCTCCACCAACTACAAACTTCTAACTTTTCATCACATCAAAAACTTTCCTACACACATAAACTTCTAACTTTTTTTTCAAACTTTCAACTCTTTTTTTAAACTTTCAACTTTTTTCAAACTTCACTTCACTCCTTTTCCACCACCTAAACAATAGATGAACTTTCATCTCTCCGGAATAATCCTATCATCAGCCCGGCCGTCGTTTTCGTTCTGATCAAACGACAGACACAGGGAAATATGGACCTAAATTAATTATCAGGACACTTGTCCGTAACAGAGAAGGGTTTATACAAGTTTTAGGTCTTGGTCGTCGTACACTGTCTATCTGGAGTACTCCGGTGCGATGCAGGCTGGAAATAAGCACCGATCGATCCACTGCACGCCTGCGCATGTATGGATGCAGCTGTGGCCATCTGCATGTCGCGCACCTGTCCTTCCTCCCACATGACCAACGCATTTCTTTGTTCCCCAACACCATCGATCGAGCACCAGCACGCCACCGGTCCACCGCTTGCTGCTTAATTTGGTCCCGCCTGGCACACAAACCGCTAAGAGGAAGTATTATAACCATACTAGTTAAAACCCCACTCATTTCTGTGAAAATTTAGTATGATAATAATAATAATAAATAACGTGTAAAATAGCTAGATAATATCAGATTAAGTAAATTAATGTGGTTTATGATAATTTAAATTTAAATAGTATGTAGAATGGTGATTCAAACGTAAAAAGTAGGGAGATAGTTTGGACCGTAGATTAATCATCTAAAGGCTAAAAACAATTGATGGGATATGACTTAATTAGAGGAAAAAAAGAGAGAGATAATTTGGACCATAGATTAATCATTTAAGAACTAAGTGAGAATGAACTATATAAGTATATAGGATATCATAAAACATAATAAAGATATACATTGAAACATTATGTAATTATGTTGGATGATAATTTAACATGTTTGTATTTGAAAAGCTCTTAAATTATAAAAACTGTAAAGATATATCATGTTTGTATGATGTTTAAATGTGATGATTGTTAGTGGATGATGATGTAACATCTTGTTAATTAGTGAATGATGATGTGGCATCTTGTTAGTGGATGATGATGTGGCATCTTTGCATGTTAAGCTTAAGAAGTTAGTGGGGGATAACTTTATAGTAAGATAGGATAAACTCTTGTGCTTATGCTTATTTGTAACATCCCGGTCTAGGGCTTAATAGGATTAATAGAATACTCATATCAACAAGTTGCAACTTCTTTTACAGAAGCCAATCTCCAAAGAACTCCAGGGTTAAGCGTGCTTGGCCTGGAGCAATTTGGGATGGGTGACCGACCGGGAAATTCTTCCCGGGTGCACATGAGTGAGGATAAAGTGTGCAGAAAAGATATGTGTTGGTCTGTGAGGACAGTCTATGACCTATGAAAGCTATCAGATGTAAGCGGGCCCGGCCTGGGGGAGGCGGGACGTTACAAAATGGTATCAGAGCCAACTCTCGCGGTTTCACGGGTGCGACAGGCCTGGGGGAGGCGGGACGTTACAAAATGGTATCAGAGCCAACTCTCGCGGTTTCACGGGCGCGTGTATCGCAGTTGCGCAGGCATGGTGGGCATGGCTGGTGTAGACTGGGAGTGGTTACACAGCATGGCACATGCGCTAGCACTGGACACATGGATGTGGCCAAGAGAGGACGTTCCTGGCCTAGGGTTGATCGACGGGGGCGTCGATCTCTCTTAAGGGGGTGAGGGTGTAACATCCCAGTCTAGAACTTAATAGGATTAATAGAATACTCATATCAACAAGTTGCAACTTCTTTTCCGGAAGCCAATCTCCAAAGAACTCCAGGTTAAGCGTGCTTGGCCTGGAGCAATGCAGAAAAGATATGTGTTGGTCTGTGAGGGCAGTCTATGATCTATGAAAGCTATCAGATGTAAGCGGGCCTGGCCTGTGGGAGGCGGGATGACCTATGAAAGCTATCAGATGTAAGCGGGCCCGGCCTAGGGGAGGCGGGACGTTACATTACTCCCTCTGGTTCTATATTAATTGACGTTTTGGACAAGATTGAGATTAAGCTTTTACAACTTTGACCATTAATAACTTTAAAAATATTTAGTTTAAAGAAACTAGAAAAACATATATAGATTTGTCTTTCAACACATTATAATAAAAGTAAACATGCATTTATTTATTGTATATATTATAATAGAAAATTAAGGTCAAATGTATATCTTGTAGAGCGTGTCATTGTCCAAAGCGTCAATTAAAATGAAACCGAAGGGAGTATAATACAGATTGTACTACCTCCGTTTCTAAGGATCGTTCATTTTACTACCATTTTTAACCTTATCTTTTTAGATAAAGTTATAAAAAATAGCTACATTTAATTTATTGTCAAAGTTTAGTAAGTACATATAAAGTCTTACCAAAATTTAGCAACCTTGCTAAAATTTTGGTAACCTTACCAAAATTTGGCAATGCCAAAACTTGATAAGGTTGAAATGGTAGCAAAGTGAACAAACCCTAAATATTTGATACCGTTGAATTTTTAGCACATATTTGATTGTTCGTTTTATTTAAAAACTTTTGTGAAATATATAAAATTGTATGTATACATATAAGTATATTTAACAATGAATCAAATGATAGGAAAGAATTAATAATTTCTTAAATTTTTTTAATAAAACGAACGGTCAAACATATTTAAAAAAGTCAACAACGTCAAATATTTAGAAACGGAGGGAGTATATGACAACCACGCCCTCTAGCTGGTGATCAGTTAAATTCATATATAGTGTGAGAAAGAAATAGGAGAAAAAACAAAGCTAATCTTATATTTAATTTATTATACATGTTAGCTAAAATATAAAATGGTTAAGTATACTATTATAAACATGCTTATTATAAACATGCTGTCATATGCAATCTGTATATTCCTACAACCAAATTGTAAAAAAAAAAGACGCAAATATTATAGAATGATCTAATATCAAATAATTAGAATTGGTGAGACTTCGAATCTATATCATTTAGCCCATTAACTTATGAGGGCATTCCCAACCCAATGACTAGAATGGTGTCCATAGCATTAAATGAGTTGCCACCTAGAAAAAAAATGATGTGACAAGTGAATAAATGAGGAAAGAGAAGGAAACCATGTCTTGCATGAGACATGGTTCCTACACAATATCCAATACATCATGTGAGATAAGTAGCATTAAATTGAAGTTATGGAATAGTGGTGTTTGCATTGAAAGAGTAGTGTCTAGTACTATTTTCTTAATGATGTGGAGTTTATAGAAATCATGTCTAGTGTTATGGGTTGGTACTGTCCTGAAGCTGATACGAAACCTTTAGACGTTTCAATCCAATTGTACAGACTACAAAAAATACACAGCTAGCCCAATTTGTCTTTCGTTGGACGCACTGGCAAGGTAAGCAACTAAAGTAGTAAGCACCCACCACGTATATATGTATGTGAAGCATATGGATTATGAAGTTTATTATTCAAATTCATGCACTTGCCACGTGCAATCCCAACTATACTGTTTTGACATGCTGACGATGATGTAAAGTTATAAACAGCAGATCGATTAAGCTTAGTCGTACTAATTAATTCCTCGCAAAAAAAGGCTAATTAATTAATTAATTAATAGTCGTAATTAAACAAACTAATTATTATCGGTCTCACGCTAGCACGTCATTACTGTTTCTCACCGATCACAAGGGAACCGGGCGATGCGTATCGTTGCCACGTCCAAGTAGGCTAGCTACTTCTTCAGCTTAACAACGCAACAGACGTGTCTACGAATGACGCCGACGTCTCGACCGTTTAAGCATACATAACCGCTTCTGTTGATCGGCTCAATCAACGAAATCCCCGAAAACGAGCGGGTGCACTCCACTTATTACTATTATGCTACCAATATTATTAAGAATAAAATAGTTATTTACTAATAAAATAATTAGGAGTTATTTTGCATTTATATTTTTTCCGGGTTAAATTGATTATGATCATCCATTGTGTGCTAGCACAATTCGTATTTCATACAAAAGCCGAAAAAGAGAGAAAAAAATAAAGTTTATTCACTATGACAAGACAATTATATCCCTCTATACTTATTTTATAATAATACTTTTTAATATTGGTGGTAGTATAAATAAATCCAAACAATTCAATCATTTATGAGATAAACGGTTGTTTTCTACTACTGAACCGTTTGGGCGAAGAAAACGCTGGTAGAGATTTAACTCGATGATGATGTCGCCACGACGCCTTGTATATATTTAGCGCCGCTCGCATATCTCAGACTCCAGTCCTCACCAGCTACAGATGATTCTTGCGCTTTTGATTTTCCCTACGCTTTTTTGACTAAAACCCTCGATTCCTCCTCCAAGATCCTGGAGAGACTAGCAGCAGCCGTCGCTGTACGTGTGTATCGTTGCATGGTGCTGCAATCTCACGATGTATCGGATCTCTGCATCGGCAAGCCGCCGGTGAGGTGGCTGCCGCCGTCCTCCACCGTCGCCGATGCCATCGCCGAGATCGAGGCCGGCGGCGGCCGGGGTCCGGACGCTGCCGTCGCCGTGTGGGACGGGACGAAGGGGGAAGTGGATGGCAGGGTGTGCATGGCCGACGTGCACCTCTTCCTCTGCGGCGGCGACGGCGAGGCGGCCAGCCTGGCTTCCCCGGCCGCCGCGCTTCAGGCCACGCTCTCCGACCTCCTCGCCGCCGGCGCGCCGCCCGTCCGCCGCATCGAGCCCCACGCGAGGTCGCGCGCACGCCACGTGTATCGATCTTGACCGCCGGCGCCACATGCGTTTCGTCTGACGAAATTTGTTGGTTACAGTGTGGTGGAAGCGGTGGACGCCTTCTTGGACGGCGCGCACTGCCTCGTCGTGCCGATCCGGGAGCGGTGGCGGCGCGCGGCGGCGGCGGGGGAGATGTGCATGTGCTGGCTCACGGTGGAGGACGTCGTGCGCTTCTTCGTCGGCTGCATCGGCCTCTTCGCCCCGACGGCCTCGCTCTGCGGTTTCTCAGCTCAGGCATCAGTCCGCGAGGCCACGCTCCCGTCGCCGCCGGCGACAGGGCGCTCTCCGCCGTGCCGCTCCTCAGCGCCGCGCTGGCGACGCACTCCTCCGTCGCCGTCATCACGGGCGCAGGCATCGCCCCCCGCCTCGCCGGCGAGGTGTCGCCGTCGGCGCTCTGCTCCTGCGACGTATCCGTCGCGGCGGCCATCGCCGCGCTCTCGGCTGGCGACCTCACGGCCTTCCTCCACCGCAGCGACCTCCGGTGCCGCCGCAACCTCCCCGGCATGGTCGACCTCCTGTACGCCGGCGACCCTTCGTCGTGGCCCCCCTCCCCCTCCTCCTCTTCCTCCTCCTCGTCGTCATCGTCGTCGTTATCCTCCTTCTCGTCTTCCTCCGACGACGAGGCGGAGGACGGGTACAAACACTATGCGCCAGCGCCGTGCGCGCGGCGAGACAACAACAGGCAGATCATCGCGTGCCACCCGGGGAGCTCGCTGGTGGCGGTGATGGCGCAGGCGGTCGCGCACCGCGTGACGCAGGTGTGGGTGGTGGACTTCGACGACGGCGAGCTGGTCGGCGTCGTCCGCTTCCTCGACGTGCTCTGGGTTCTTCGCGAACACCTCAACCAACCACCCCTGATCTACCCATCGAATTTCTCATCAATTAATCCCAGTACTAAGCTTCGTTGATGTACATACGAGGACAAAAATTGCGACCATGAACTGAACCTTTTGTTCATCTTAAATTTACGCCATGTGTTTCGTCGGCGGATGAACTTGAAACGAAGGAAGAGTCAAAAGATTGATGGAGGACAGAAACCACCTGTCCCGACAAATTTTGCAAAGTTTGTTGGTCGATATGTGACGTCTGGATTGGATGATGCATACATATGGTTTCAGCGAGAGTAAATTCGGGTTGGTGGCCAGGCGAGCTACATACCAGATTAGTCCAAGGTGGATTCTAATATATCGAATAGACATTCACCCGTTTCTTCCGTATTAACTATATAATTATAAAAAATATTAAAAAATATACACAGTAGATTAATATGTATAAATAAATCACTAGTATACGTATATATAAAAATTATTATTTTTATTATAAGTTGTAGAAGTCGAATTTTAATATGTATATTTGTAAAATAATATATTACATAGTATTAATCTACTTTGTCAATTTTTTTAAATAAAAACTGTTTAGTTTCCCAGCTTAGTCAGAGAGATTTTTTGGCGATCGCAACGAGTTTGATCAGATGAGAGCCCGTACACGAATGACATTTCCCGATGTTCTTTTGTATCCATACTGGAGTAGGAGCATATGAAAGAGGGTTTTGTGTTTTGGCGGTAGCAAACTCTGCATATTGCTCCAGCATATGCATGGCTGGCACCAACATAATCTTGTTTTATCTGCCTTCTCGGCAACTCAACGTTTTGTCTCGACGCGCCACAAAAACGCACGAGGCCAACTGAACTGATGCATATGCTGTTGTGGCATTTGCATCTAGCAACACGTCACTAGGCTCTGGATGTTTGTGAATCGTGTGAGACGCAACTGGATCTCCTTGCCTATGGGCTATGGCCCGTGAGGCATGGCCCATATCAGCGACAACTCCGGTTTCACTCTTCAATGGGCCTTACTTGATTGTCACCAGACGTGGGCCACCTATCAGGCCTGATTCCAACTGGCAAGTTAATTTAGGAATAGGCCGCTATCCACAGAACAAATTAGGCATGGGCTTTGGGTCGTTGGGTGTCCTGATAGATAAAAAAAGGAAAATGTCCACTATAGATACCTCAAGTATGAGTCTTAGTTACATTCGGATATCTTGACTGCAAAACCGGATACAGTGTTGGAATTAATAGATGGGCTAAGGCCCATTCGAAGATTAATTCTTTGGAAAATCTCAAAAGCCCACCTCATGGGATGGCATGCATGTGGAGTTTAGTACCACCTTGCTTATTCTAGGAGAGGGGGACCTCCTTAAAAAGGAGGATGCCCTCCTTGCTACTTGAAACATGTGTGGTGGAGAGAAGAGGGGAAACACGCGCGCTCACTTGCCTCGCCACGTAGGGACCCTTGCGCAGATGCAGCCTCCTTTTGCAGTTTTGTTTTGCTGCGGGATTCGGATGTGTTTTGTTTTGGAAACATTCCGAAATGCAGTTTTGTTTTGCTGCGGGATTCGGATGTGTTTTGTTTTGGAAACATTCCGAAAATCCGGTGCGTGAAAATGGCATGGAGTCCGGATAGGTTACGCGCGACTTATCCGGTTCGGTTTACGCGGGCGCCCTGATCAGGCGATCTATCTCTATATAAACCGAGCCGCCACCTTCACGCAACACACGCGAAATCAATCTAGGGTTTGCCTCCTACTCTGTACTGCGCCGTCGCTCGTAGACTACTCCATCCCGCTCGCCGGCGTGCACCGGCGATCGGGAGAGCAGGTCTCCAGAACCTCTGCCTTCGACGTCCTGTACCGGGAGAAGGCGGCAATAAGGTTTTTGGGAAGCGCTTCGCGCGACTGCTCCCTGTTCGTTCGCGACGGCTCGCCTTCCTCTTCGCTCGCGTGCTTTGCGCCTTCGTTGACGCTCGCAACTGCGAGTAGTTCATGCCGAGCAACCGGACTTTCCGCCACCTCGGTACGTATTCGACATATTGCGCATATTTGATTTGTTCATGTTTTATTGCTTAGTTTACATGTGTAGATCTAATGATGCGTTCAATCTAGTTTACATCTGCAATGTCATGATTTATTTATGGAATAAATTAAATCATTATGTGCTTATAATTTCAACAATCCAAAAACCTTATTATAGGCGCTGTGATTTTACTATGGCTGGTTTTGCCGAAGCACTGAGGCCGGATAAATTCACCGGTGTGCACTTTAAGAGATGGCAGATCAGGGTCACTCTGTGGCTGACGTCTATGAAATGCTTCTAGGTGAGTACTGGCAAACCTGAAGGAATTCTTACTGCTGATCAGCAGAAGCAATTCGAGGAAGCCACTACTCTCTTTGTGGGATGCATTCTTAGCGTTCTTGGCGATCGTCCGGTCGAGGTGTATATGCAAATGACCGACGCTAAGGAGTTGTGGGATGCACTGAATACTAAATTCGGTGCTACTGATGTTAGCAATGATCTGTATATCATGGAGCAGTTTCATGACTACAAGATGGCTGGCAACCGTTCTATAGTCGAACAGGCTCATGAGATACAAACCATGGCTAAGGAACTCGAACTCCTTAAGTGTGTCTTACCCGACAAATTTGTGGCCGGGTGTATTATTGCGAAACTACCTCCATCATGGAGAAGTTTCGGTACTGCACTCAAACACAAGAGACAGGAATACTCCGTTGAGGGGTTGATAGCGTCTCTTGATGTTGAGGAGAAAGCTCGGGAAAAAGACGCCGCGTCTAAGGGCGATGGTGGGCAGTCCTGTGCCAATGTTGTGCACAAGGCCCAGAACAAGAGTAAGGGGAAATACAAAGCTCAACAAACCACCAATTTCAAGAAGCAGAAGAAGAAGAAGAAGAAGAACAACAACAATCCTAACTAGGATGAGAGGACTTGCTTTGTGTGTGGGCAACCTGGTCATCTGGCTAGGAAGTGTCCACAGCGCAAGGGGATGAAGGCACCTGCAGCGCAGACTTCTAAGTCTGCTAATGTGACCATTGGCAACACTGGAGATGGAAGTGGGTATGGTAATTTACCTACTGTTTTTTCAGTTAATCAGTCTACTAATTGGTGGGTTGATATTGGGGCCAATGTACATGTTTGTGCTGACATCTCATTGTTTTCTTCTTATCAGGTCGCACGGGGTTCCACCGTCCTAATGGGGAATGGGTCACATGCTTCTGTTCATGGTGTTGGCACGGTAGTTCTGAAGTTTACTTCGGGAAAGATCGTGCAGCTGAAGAACATGCAGCATGTCCCTTCTATCGACAGGAATCTTGTTAGTGGCTCCCGTCTGGGTAGAGATGGATTTAAGTTGGTTTTTGAGTCTAATAAAGTAGTCGTGTCTAAACATGGATATTTTATTGGTAAAGGATATGAGTGCGGAGGCCTGTTCCGCTTTTCCCTTTCTGATTTCTGCAATAATTCTGTGAACCATATTTGTGGCAGTGTGGATGATGAGGCTAATGTTTGGCACTCACGTTTATGTCATATTAATTTTGGCTTGATGTCTCGGCTTTCCAGCATGTGGTTAATTCCTAAGTTTTCCATTGTCAAAGGTTCTAAGTGCCATAGTTGTGTGCAATTGAAGCAACCTCGCAAGCCTCACAAGGCTGCCGAGGAGAGAAACTTGGCACCACTAGAACTCCTACATTCAGATATTTGTGAAATGAATGGGGTGTTGACGAAGGGTGGAAAACGATATTTCATGACGTTGATTGATGATGCTACTAGATTTTGCTATGTGTACTTGTTGAAAATGAAAGACGAGGCTCTAGACTATTTTAAAATTTATAAGGCGGAAGTTGAAAATCAATTTGACAGAAAGATAAAAAGGCTTAGGTCTGATCATGGTGGAGAGTTTTTCTCGAACGAGTTTGACTTATTCTGTGAGGAACATGGCATCATACATGAGAGGACGCCTCCCTATTCTCCCGAGTCTAATGGGATTGCTGAAATGAAGAACCGCATACTGACTGACTTGGTGAATGCCATGTTAGACACCGCGGGACTACCTAAGGCATGGTGGGGGGAGGCATTGTTGACCTCGAATCATGTGTTAAACAGAGTTCCTAACAGAAAGAAGGACAAAACACCATATGAGATATGGATTGGGAGAAAACCATCACTTTCTTATTTGCGCACATGGGGGGTGCTTGGCGAAAGTCAATGTACCAATAACGAAGAAGCGCAAACTTGGACCTAAGACTGTGGACTGTGTCTTTCTGGGATATGCTCATCATAGCATTGCCTATAGATTTTTAATAGTTAAATGCGAGGTACCTGACATGCATGTTGGTACAATTATGGAGTCTCGTGATGCTACCTTCTTTGAGAGCCTTTTTCCCAATGAAGGATACACATAGTGGTTCGAGCCAACCCTCTGAAATAATTCCCAGTTCAATCACACCACCAGAACAAACTGAACATACACCTGAGGAGGATGTCGGTGAAGCTCCTTGAAGGAGTAAGAGATAAAGGACGGCTAAGTCCATTAGTGATGATTTCACTGTGTACCTCGTGGATGACACTCCTAAGTCAATTTCAGAAGCATATGCATCTCCTGATGCAGACTACTAGAAGGAGGCTGTCCGTAGTGAAATGGATTCCATTATCGCTAACGGGACTTGGGAGGTGACAGAGCGACCCTATGGGTGTAAACCTGTGGGGTGCAAGTGGGTGTTCAAGAAGAAGCTTAGGCCTGACGGTACTATTGAAAAGTACAATGCTCGGCTTGTTGCTAAGGGCTATACTCAGAAAGAAGGCGAAGATTTCTTTGACAATTACTCACCTGTTGCTAGATTGACCACAATTCGTGTGCTACTTTCCCTAGCAGGCTCACATGGTCTTTTCGTTCATCAAATGGACGTTAAGACAGTTTTTCTTAATGGAGAGCTGGATGAGGAGATCTATATGGATCAACCTGATGGGTTTGTAGTTGAAGGTCAAGAAGGCAAAGTGTGCAAATTGTTGAAGTCTTTGTATGGTCTGAAACAAGCTCCTAAGCAATGGCATGAGAAATTTGACAAAACATTGACATCTGCAGGCTTTGCAGTCAATGAGGCAGATAAATGTGTGTACTATCGCCATGATGGGGGTGAGGGAGTTATTCTGTGCTTGTATGTTGACGACATACTGATATTTGGGACAAACCTTGAGGTGATAAATGAGGTTAAATCATTCTTGTCTCAAAATTTTGATATGAAGGATTTGGGAGTAGCTGATGTTATCTTAAACATTAAGCTAATTAGAGGTGAGAATGGGATTACACTCTTGCAGTCCCATTATGTGGAGAAGATCTTGAATCGCTTTGGCTACATTGATAGTAAGCCTTCTCCAACACCTTATGATCCTAGCTTGTTGCTTCTCAAGAACAAAAGAATTGCTAAGAATCAACTGGAATACTCCCAAATCATTGGCTCGCTGATGTACCTGGCTAGTACAACTAGGCCTGATATCTCCTTTGCTGTGAGCAAGTTGAGCCGGTTTACCTCTAATCCAAGAGATGATCACTGGCGTGCGCTCGAGCGAGTAATGCGCTATCTAAAACGTACTATGGAATTGGGGCTTCACTATACTGGGTATCCTGCGATACTGGAGGAATATAGTGATTCTAACTGGATCTCTGATGTGGATGAGATCAAAGCCACTAGTGGATATGTCTTCACACTAGGTGGTGGTGCTGTTTCGTGGAGGTCTTGCAAACAAACCATTTTGACGAGGTCAACCATGGAAGCAGAACTGACGGGACTGGATACTTCTACTGTTGAGGCAGAATGGCTACGCGATCTATTAATGGATCTGCCTATTGTTGAAAAACCAGTGCCGGCTATCCTTATGAACTGTGACAATCAAACGGTAATTGTCAAAGTGAATAGTTCTAAGGATAATATGAAATCGTCTAGACATGTGAAAAGACGATTGAAGTCTGTCAAAAAATTGAGAAACTCCGGAGTTATAACGTTGGATTACATCCAAACAGCTAGAAACCTGGCAGATCCATTCACGAAAGGGATTATCACGAAATGTGATAGATAATGCATCGAAGGAGATGGGTTTGAGACCCATATGAGTTATACTATGGTGGTAACCCAGTCTATGTGATCGGAGATCCCGTGAATTAGAACCTGGGAAGAACAAACCATTAGTAAACTAGAGGAGAGTACCAATCTATACCCTCTCTAAGTGAAGATGCATGTACTCTTGTGAGTTGCAAGGCAGGTTGGCTATGCCTTAATGAGTTCTGTTGGCTTTAATTAGTGAAGATGTTGTCCTGCAGAGCAGTCTTGAAAGAACTCACCTTTGTAAGCTTGACTGTTGGTCGCAGTCTATGGAGATTTTGGGTGAATCTTCTAGGAAGCTTACTAAAGACCTAGGAGTATGACTTATACGCTCCACCCGAGGGGTAGTCTACAGACGGTCTAGTACCAGATAAGACTCTGAGTGAAACTTGCTTGCACAAGACTTGCAATTCAAGGCGTAGTCCATTGTTCAAGTTGTGAGTAAGTGTAGCTTGGAGTTCTAGGTGGATATTCAATCTTAATCGGTCTCCATCGAACCGCTGGTATATAAACAGTACATTGGAAAAGGCAAATCTCAGTGGGATTTTGAGATTTGGTTGGGGATTGTTGGAATTAATAGATGGGCTAAGGCCCATTCGAAGATTAATTCTTTGGAAAATCACAAAAGCCCACCTCATGGGATGGCATGCATGTGGAATTTAGTACCACATTGCTTATTCTAGGAGAGGGGGACCTCCTTAAAAGGGAGAATGCCCTACTAGCCACTTGAAGCATGTGTGGTGGAGAGAATAGGGGAAACACGCGCGCGCGCGCTCGCTCGCCTCGCCGGGCAGGGCAGGCGGCGCGCGTGCACGACGTACGCGTCGAATGGTCCGCAAAATTGGCTCCTCACCCTTGCGCAGATGCAGCCTCCTTTTGCAGTTTTGTTTTGCTGCGGAAAATCAATATAGGGTTTGCCTCCTACTCTGTACTGCGCCATCGCTCGTAGACTACTCCATCCCGCTCGCCGGCGTGCACCGGCGATCGGGAGAGCAGGTCTCCGGAACCTCTGACTTCGACGTCCTGCGCCGGGAGAAGGCGGCAATAAGGTTTTTGGGAAGCGCTTCGCGCGACTGCTCCTTGTTCGTTCACGATGGCTCGCCTTCCTCTTCGCTCGCGTGCTTCGCGCCTTCGTCGACGCTCGCAACCACGAGTAGTTCCTGCCGAACAACCGTTTTTTCCGCCACCTCGGTACATGTTCGACATGTTACGCATATTTGATCTGTTCATGTTTTACTGCTTAGTTTACATGTGTAGATCTAATGATGCGTTCAATCTAGTTTATATCTGCAATGTCATGATTTATTTATGGAATAAATTAAATCATTATGTGCTTATAATTTCAACATACAGAGCATCCGCTGACCATCAAAACCAGTATAAATTGAGTATCTTGCTTAACTGCAAGATAGTTTATCTTACGTAACATATTAACTTTGTCTTCATATCCTGTAACGTCTACATAACACTTAGTACATGGCAAATCGAACCGTATCTTGTCAAGATCAACGTCGAGGAACGCAAATGAAAATCATCTCGTCTAAAATTTTCCACCAAAAAGGCCCAAACTACAAAAGCATTGGGTTCTTTACTTGTTAGGGCATGCGCAATGTATCTTACCCAACTAGTAAATAAGATGGGCCCATGACCAGGAGGTAGTAAGCTGCAACTCTTCTCACAATGCTTATATGAGTGTAGTGGTAAACAAGGTGGGGTCCACCTGAAAAAATCCATCCATCCCAACCCTCCATTACCTGGATCCTGTCAGAATCTTCATATTTTATTTGGTTGTTACCGGCAATAGCACAAATATCAGGTATTAACTACTACCTCTTCCCACAATGCTTACTACTGGGTAGTAGGCTTGAAATAAATGCTTGTTACCTGGTTTTTTGCCACATTGTGGTTGCTCTTAGCCGCTCCACATGTTTGAGGTGGTCCCACATGGAAGGGGAGAGATCCCGTGGATGTTGGGACGTTTGGTGCAGATTGAACATGATATACGCACAGTACGCTAATGAATTTTGTAAGTACGCACTAGTAAGTACTCTAGCTAGGTGTTTATCATGCAGGGTACGTACCGATGCTTACCGTTAACTGTAAGAAGCGGTACGCCGTTGAATAAACCAGTCGACGTGGCGATGTGGCAGCTGAACACGCAGCGGTCCACGCGCCCGCCGATGGACGAGTCTCACCACACCTTACGCGCCGCTAGATCTGGCCAAGCCGTGTGCACCACCGCTCCAGTGAAAAGTGACAGTTAATATAAAAGTTAATCTTGATCAAGTTTTCAAACAAAAAGTTAATCTTCATCAGTGCGACTCTGTCCCACACACTCCTTAAACCCTCATCGATTTTTTTTTAGTTTTAACTTAACTAGTGGTGGATTATTGGTGCTATATATGTAAATAAAGGTAATTAATCTGCTGAGTCACATCTCCGTCAGCTGCTCGGACCAATCAGAGCTTGTGAAACGCACGTCTCCGTCGAGTAAAGCAGAACGGAAAGTTGGCAAGTATCAAGAATCCAACGGCGTAGGATAGAAACATGCCAAAGAAATGTACTCCTGGAGCAAAATTAAAATGGCATAATTACAAAGTATGACGACGAAAGCGACCGTTTCTGACTTACTAGCTAGTATTCCTGGAGCTGTCGAGCATGAGATGAGCGTGTGGCAGTAGTAAGCGTGCAAAAGGCTATAGATATAGAATTTCTACAATACCATCGGATAACAATAAATATGTTTTTAATTCCTAACTATTACAACTGGCAACCTGCATGCACTCGATCCCTTAGCAGTACTCCCTCTGTTTCAAGTCATAAGATTTTTTTTTAATTTGATCAAAGTCAAAATACTTTAAATTTAATTAAATTTATAGAAATAATAATAATATTTTCAAGCCAAGACAAATTTATTATGAAAATATATTAAATTATTGACTTAAATCAGTTTGATTTTGGCTAAAGTCAAAATGCCTTATAACATGAAACACAGAGGGAGTAACTTACACTAGTACAACAATTTCATGCGAGTTGTTCCTTGGCTCCTTGCGATGCAGCATCTGTTGACATCTTCCATACTGCTTATGTAAACACACAGTTTGGACTGTCATGATCCGGTAGAGGATACTAGATCTCATCAGCAGGATTCTGTCAGCCGTAAGCTACATCTAAGTAGCAATATAGAGATTATTAACAACTCTGGCCTGGATAAGCGTCTGGCCAATCTACTGGCCATCCAAGATCAGCGCTACCGACCTGGCGACCTGTACTCTAGTCACGCCTCCTGATCCAATGCATGTGCTCAACTGCTCATCGCTCGCCGCTCGATCGACCTGACCAGTTTTTAATCACCATAATTAACACGCGTAACAGCGACCACAAACTTGGGATTACTACTAGTATAAACACGTTCGTTGCCGCCCTGACAAGAGAGAGAAAAGAGAGAAAAAAAAAAGGTGACTCGCTGCCGAGTCGGACACGTGACAACACGTTGGTGCCGCGTCCGGCTCAACCGCTTGCTCGCGCGGACCTTATCGCTCCGGTCCGACGCGCGGGTGACGTGTACCGAGCGACCATACCGTGCCAGCCTTATCCCCAATCCGGGCCCACACTTTTGTCGTCGCTCGGTGTGGGCCCCACCCTGTCAGTGTACGGCTCGGCGCTCACCGGCGTTTACCTCCCCAGCCCACGGGAAGGAGGCGGCGCGCACGTGGCAGTTGCGGTGGGTGAGGCTGTGAGGGCGGTGCGCGAGCCTACGTGGCACGCCGCGTCCACGGAGGCCGTAGAGAGGTGGCCCCCGTGAGCACGCAGTTCGAGTAGGCGATGACGTGTCCGACAGGTGGTTCAGCGAGCAATAATTACGGGGTAATATAATAAACCGCTCCCGCCAAACTAACGGCGGCAGCCCACGGAAAAGGCGTCCCTCGCTGCTGTTTCCTCCGTTTTTCGCTCACCTCCGGTCATCCTACTCGGCTACCCCGGCGGCAAAAACATGAAGTTCTACAGATCTACGACATCAGTTTACTAGTTTGTCTTTTGTTCTACTTTGCTCTTTCTTTCTTGCGAATTTCTTTTTAATCACGTTTTGTGTAGACCATGTACAGCATCCTCACTTGTGCAGGGTAGGAATTTCACAAGAAAACAGTGCTCGTGCAGCGACTCGATAGAAACGGAAGAAAACCGTATCAACAACCAACACGAGGAGGTGTGTAATACTCCTTTCGCCTTGTAATATAAAAGATTTATATAGATGGATAAATTTTAATACTATAAATTTAAACAAATTTTCTATGTAGATTAGTAGTATGTGTTATATCTATTTAATTTTTTTTATATTTTAAAACGGAAGTAGTAAACAATTACTTATGTAGGCTTTGGGTGCAGGGTACCGTAGGGGGTGAGGGCACCGCACGTCACGGTTAAGGTGGCCGGTTACTACTACTGGTGTCACATCGGCAGCGGCAACTGGTATTACGTGATGATCTTATCCTCGTCGTCTCGCCGTCTTTATCCCGTTCGCTGCTTGCTTTGGCTTCTCACATCAGCACTGACTCCAATAACACGCTCATCAAACAGCGCGCGCGAGCGAGGGATGGATAGGATATTTTCGTTCGCGTTCGTGCCATCCTAAATCCCGTCTATAAAGCCGTGCACATCTCTATCCTCACCTCCATTCCATTCCACTCGCCAACCCGACACGTCTCTCATCTTCACGCAACGAACAGCAGCAGCAGCTCAAGCTAAGCTAAGCTAAAGTACTACGTGTTCTTTCGTCTTCGTCGGCGCCGGAGTTTGATTCGTCGGAGCTAGCTAGCAAGAGGAAGAAGAAAATGTTGGCCATATTCCAGAAGCAGGTGGCGCACGCGCCGGCGGAGCTGAACAGCCCGCGGAGCAGCGCGGCGAAGCCCAAGAACCCCGACGAGATCCTCAGGGACTTCCACGCCCTCCACCCCATCGAGGCCTTCTCCACCTCCTTCGGCGGCGGCGCCGCCCTCGCCTGCGTCGCCGGCCACGCCCGCAATGGCCTCTCTGGCTACGAGAGGTAAATTAAATCAATTTAATCGATGAGGCAATGAATCCGAATAATTAAGGTGATTAAAACGTAGGGGATCGATAATAATGGTAAATGGGTGTGTACACAGGATGTTCTGTGGGCTGGATGACATCTACTGCGTGTTCATGGGGAGGCTGGACAACCTGAGCAGCCTGATCCGGCAGTACGGGCTGTGCAGCCGCTCCACCAACGAGGCGCTGCTCGTCATCGAGGCCTACCGCACCCTCCGCGACCGCGGCCCCTACCCCGCCGACCAGGTCGTCAAGGATCTCTCCGGCTCCTTCGCCTTCGTCGTCTTCGACAACAAGTCCGGCGCCGTCTTCGCCGCCCTGGTAATTTAAACCACTACTAGACTGGTTTTCTGAATCGAATTGATGAATTTGTGCTTCAAATTGAACTTCCTGTGAGTGTAGCGTGGCCCTGTCCCCTTCCCGCTGTTAGGAGTTGTGTTTAGCCGCCGTAGTAGTTCCTAAGCTTCAGTTTCTGATTGTTCTGCTTTTCTTTTTCTTATATATTGACGTTCATTCGCTTTGCGCGATGCAGAGTACGGATGGGGAGGTGCCGTTGTATTGGGGGATCGCGGCGGATGGGTCGGTGGTGATCTGCGACGAGAGGGAGATCGTGAAGGGAGGGTGCGGCAAGTCGTACGCGCCGTTCCCGGTGGGGTGCATGTTCCACAGCGAGGGGGGGCTCAAGAGCTTCGAGCACCCGATGAACCGGCTGAAGGCGATGCCGCGGGTGGACAGCGAGGGCGTCATGTGCGGCGCCACCTTCAAGGTCGACACCTTCACCAAGATCAACTCCATGCCCCGCGTCGGCAGCGCCACCAACTGGGCCGCCACCTGGGACGACGCTGCCGCCTGATGATGGCGCTCCGTACGCCGTCGTCTCGTCGCCGTGCGCCTGCCCTCGCCGCCGGCCTCCTCGCCGTTTGCCGCCGCCGCTCATCTCTTCCTCCTCTTCTTCCTCCTCTCTATATCCGATGTGCTTCTCCGTCCGAAGCATGCAGATTATTAGAGCGATATTTGCAGCTAGCGTGGAAGCGCGCCAATCTATTTTTCTGCGGTGTTTTTACTTAATTTTCACCTCTTCTTTTTAAATTTTTATGTCCATCTTTGGGCTCTCGCCTCTCGGCAATGTATATTCTCGGTCGCGGGTGGCATGTCATGGTACATACTATGAATGATGAATAAGAAAGAGTTTGCTTCACTCAATCCAGTTCGGTCTCTTTTTTGGGTTGCTTATAATTGCCCATGATAGTAAATGGTGTTTGGCTATGCACATCTCATTTTTGGGTTGGTTCGTTTTGGCTTATTTGCTAATTGCTGTGTTTAGATCTAAAGTTTGGATTTAAATTTCAGTCTTTTTCCATCGCATCAACCTGTCATACACACATAACTTTTCAGTTACATCATCTATAATTTTAATTAAAATTTAAACTTTGTGCTGAACTAAACACAACCTAAAACGGTTGGAGTGAACACTGATGAGCTCGCGAGTTACATCATCTCTAATTTCAATCAAAATTTAAACTTTGTGCTAAACTAAACACAACCTAAAACGGTTGGAGTGAACACTGATGAGCTCGCTTTGTACTACTCCCTCTGTTTCGAAATGTTTGACGTCGTTGACTTTTTATCACATATTTGACCATTCGTCTAAGTAATTATTAATTATTTTTATATCATTTGATTCATTGTTAAATATATTTTTATGTAGGCATATAATTTTATATATCTCACAAAAGTTTTTAAATAAGACGAACGGTTAAACATGTGCTAAAAATCAAGTGTCAAACATTTCGAAACGGAGGGAGTATCTCCGTCCACACAAGTAAGGCTTGTTTCAAAATAAAATTAGAGATATTTAGACAAGTTTTTTCATACGTAAGAGTACTATTAATGTCAAATTATATATTACCCCTGTTTTAAAATGTTATTATGATACGATATTTTATAATATAATGAATCTACATTTTAAAACAAGGGAAATAGCTTAAAAAAACTTATCCAGATATATAAAATTTATTATGCTTGTGACAAGTACTTCATTCGTCCCAAAAAAAAATGGTGGAGGGGATATGATTTCTTCTAAAACAATGAATCTGTACTACCCTTTTATCCAGATTCATGTAGCTGGGGATGTGATTTTTTCTAAGACAATAAATCTGTACTACCTTTTATCCAGATTCATGTAGCTGGATGTGACTTCTTCCTATGTAGTAGCAGTACGTCAGATTTAGCAGCAGTGCATAGAGATAGGGCAAGATACTGTACGGAGTATTTATTTGTGAGAATCGTAAAAATGGAAGCCACCCGAATCGGCACTTATCCCATAGCTTGACCCTGACGATGCGACTTTACCTACGGTTTGCAGATCTGATCGTGCAGAAGCGCAGTGCCGGGCCCATTGCACACCTGTGAGCTGTGGCGGCTTTCGGCCTTAGATGCTCGGTGGGCCATAGGCCGAGATGAGAAGCTGCGAAGGCCCATCAAGGAACATCCCCCGCCCCGCGTACTAGGCCGTTATCCCAGGCTCCCTTGCGCCGCTGGGCTATTCTCGCACGCGGGCCGTCAGGCCGTGTGGACTGAACAAGTTGGGCCACCCGCGTACACATCATTTCTGGGCCAGTACAAGAATCGAAGATGATCTCTCGCGTTTGTCTGGGATTTTTGGGGTTCTAATTTTGTACATCTGTTGAAGATGCTCTTAAGAAATCTTCTTTTTATCTCTCTCTCTCTCTCTCTGAAGAAATCAACAGCAGCTGCAAGATTTTATCTACCTTATCAGGGTAAACTAACAAAAGAAAGAGACAAAGATTCTTCTCCATTCCAGAGTCAAAGAGAGAAAATGGAACTATTCAAAGAGGAGAAATGGGATGATTTTGACAATGTATCGGTTGAAAACTCTCCAAATAATTGTCATCTCTCCCAGCCTTTTGACCCTAGACTTTTGTGCGCAGCCGCCCACACTAAAACAGCCACAAAAGCTACATGGATTTTTCAGATCAAATGCAGACAAGCCAAGTAATCCTCATCAGAGATTTTACTTTGAAAGCGTGTGCTTCCATTCATACGTTTAAGTATTTCCATCAGAGACTGCTTCTCCAGATGAGAAATGGTCGCTAATACTTTATCCAACTTGTCCTGCATTTAAATATTTGAATCCCAAACAACATTCCAAGAAGCATCTTTTCCGCACGTATCGGTCTATTTAAAACTACTAAATATCTAACTAATTTATAAGATGCGTTGAGTGCGACCATGGATTGGATGGTAGGGTCACAGCTCACCAAATATGCAACGACTCGATCGACACTTCGACGATGCCATATAGTAGTATATTTTTTTTGTCTGAATAATTCTATGCTCAGGTTCAATAATTCGCCAGTATTTTTGGCTTATAGTAGCACTAATTCTTCACCTGCCCAGTTCTAGATTTTTTAATTTACAGGTGATTCGCCCATGTTTTCAGCTTCAATATGTTTTGTCGGAATAATGCTCAGGTCCAATAATAGTTCACCAGTATTTTTGGCCTGTAGTAGCATTTCTTCACCTGACCAGTTCTATATAAATATATTTTTATTTTTTTTGAAGAAGAACAATTCCATTAAGCAGGTAGTCCAGCTGAATCACTAGCTACCAAATTGCAAACATCATCCGGGAATCCTTCAAGCCAAACAAATTGGCTTCGTGGACCCAGAGAAGCACCAATTTTAGCAAGCTCATGCGCAGCACGATTACATTCTCTAGGACAATACATGACTTGATGGACATTAAAATTCATTGCAAGCAAAAATTTGGCCTCTCTAATGATAACAGCGTTTACACTTCTATCATGTGTTTCATCCAACAAAGCCGCTTTCAGAGCTTGAGCATCAGTTTCAACAATAATGTGGCCCATTCCCATATCATTAGCTAATTTCAAAGCTTGGATGCATGCTAAAGCTTCTGCATCCAAGCTTTCCTCACATGTTCTATATAAAGATTAAAAATATATTTATATCAGTTCTATATAAATATATTTTTAATCTGCAGGTTTTCCTCACATGTTTTTTCAGCTTCATTGCACCTTCCACTAGTAATTGGTAGAGTAAAATATGCTGACTTGACATAAAACCGATGAAGATGAAAATTAAGTTGGCGTACGGAAAACGAGAATGCCATTAGCACATGATTAATTAAGTTTTAATTATTACAAACTTGACAAATCCACATATTTGGTATTTTAAAGCAACTTCTATATAGAAAGTTCTCGTACGAAACACACCGTTTAGTAGTTTGAAAAGTGTGCTAACGAAAACTGAGATAAAATATGAATCTTAATTAGAAAAGAACGGGGCAAAATTTTCTTGTATCTAGAAGAAAATGACCGAGCCCTATGTATCAATTCTCTGTCTTTTGTTATGACCAAGCGGAGGAAAAAAAAGGCAATCATATAGTGTTATATTAATTGACCAATCCCATGACCAGCTTTAATTCATCGTACTCATCAGCTTTCTATGGATAATTCCAATGGGCGATCTACTGTTCTTGTCACCTTTAAAAAGTCAGAGACGTTACTCTCTCTATAATATATATATATATATATATATATATATATATATATATATATATATATATATATATATATGCTAACACGTAAAAAAACTTTGCATATTAATATATTAGAAAAAAAAGTGACACGCCGAGACGATCAACCAGCAAAGCTCCTAAGCTATGACCTCTTGCATGTTAATATATTAGAAAAAAAGTGACACGCCTAGACGATCACCCAACAAAGCTCCTAAGCTGAGACCGAGAGAGGAAGAAACTACACTAAACATAACTAAGCTATGTGCCTAACAACTCTCCAACTGGATTGGCAGTTGTCGCCACCCATTGCCTCCCTTCTTCCACAATCTGCTCCACCACCATCAGCACTTGAGATAGAACATCATCAAGGACATGGGCATTCCTCTCCTTCCATAGTTGACAAGGGAGTCGAGACATTTCCTACTCTTATTATGGTGGCGATGCCGCAAAAGCTTGCCACTAATCTTAGAGCACTGAGTGACGGCCTGGTGAGAGAGTAGCTAGTCCATCAAAAATCAATACTCCCTCCGTACTTGTAAAGGAAGTCGTTTTTGACAGTGACACGGTCTCCAAAACACAACTTTGACTTATTGTTTCTATAAAAATATTTATTGAAAAGTGATATATGTATACTTTTATGAAAGTGTTTTCAAGACAAATCTATTCATATAAGTTTTACATTTTCAAACTTAATAACTTGAGAGTTATTCATAATTTATATTTCTAATGTTTGACTTAAACATTATCCTAAACCATTTCCTTTACTAGTACGGAGGGAGTAGATTGCACAAGACTTACCTAGCAAAGACGCAATAGATAAGGATGTGGTTTGTTATCTCCTCTTCCTGCGCACAGAAGGGGCACATCGAGTGGTTCTCCATCCCTTAACTGAGCATACTATCGATCATCCAGCAGCATCGCTGAATCACCAACCAAAGAAAAAGCTTACATTTGGTTGGTCCGCCACTTTGCCAAAGAGTTGAGTAGTCACCGCTGGTCCAACGCCAAATGAACTTGTCCTTGATGGTACTATACATAAATAGTGAAGCTCGTGAAAAATGAATGGCCGCTGCCCTCATGGAATGGCACCTGGTTGCAAGATGGCATCTTTGAAACCTTTTGACTTGGTTTTTTTGAGGCAGAGAAAAAAAATCTTATTTCGTTAGTAAAAGACGCTATAGATTAAAGAAAATTATAGATATCAAATGTCAACGACCCATGACTTAGGCAAAGTGTTGTGGCCTCAGGTACTGCAGGTTGAATCAACATCAGTCCTCTGCTCTTTTTCCTGTAAAACTGAAGCATCCAACTTAGTCGCATAGTGCTCGTTGTTCTGTCAAGTACCTATCATCCGTGGATGCAGGCAAAACCAAACTAAACTGCATCTATCTGCACATCGCGACGAACAATAACGAGTAATTTATCCTAAGAAATGCAGTACTTTTTGACTGAACCGTCGATTTTTTTAAAGATAATGAAATAGATAATCGTTTGATCTAGTCCCATAAACTGTCATTTGTCATGTCGGAGGACATTGCGTGGAAGCTGAACACAAGGTTCATTCTACTCCTACTATTGATACACCTCTCTGAATTTTACCAAACGAACTGTACGTATTACTGCAAGCAACTTGAAGATCGTCAGATCAATTTATGTGAAAAGAAACACATGGGAAAAGAGTTGATGCATGCACCAACATGACGGTCAGCAAATCACATGGTGAAGCAGCTGGAGTCACGGTGATAATAATGGCGAAAAGCAATGGAGATGCCACTGCCTGCCCACTGGATAGCATTACCACTAACCAACAAGTGTACCACTATAATGAGCAACATACGAATGTGCCTCTCTACCGGTAGATTAGATGACCTTCAAGTCAAATACTAAATAACAAGAGTACTATAACACGTCTGATGCAGCGTTGTCTGAATTTTTGGCCACGAACAGGAGGCAGAAATGCAGAGAAAAAAAATCCACGGTCAAATGAGGCAGTATAATGCGCAGTAATTATGGAAGCTAACAGTGTTGCCATTGGCAGCATTAGAGCAAGTTTAATAGTAGAGCTCACTACTTACTATTAGTCAATGTTAAAGCTAACATGTATAGTAAATTGGCTATAAGTTTATCATTATTTTCTTCATCCTCTCTCTTTCTCTCACCATGAATTTAATGCATATTTCTTGGAGTTTGTGTGCAGTTAACTCTTGCATGAGAGCCAATACTCCCTATTTTTTTGTTTATCTTTCTCTTTCAGATAAACATATAGCTTACTTAGGCCAGTCACAATGGCTAGTGTCATTGCACGGCTACCCAAAATATTATACCATCTTCTCTCAAATGAAATCTTTTATGAAACAATCCCCACAGTGGAGGGGTTTCACTTTGACGTTTCCAAGACTAAGCAAAGCATTTAATTGATACAAGTTGCTGGGATCATTTGTACCCAAAATCCGGCGCGGCGCGGGAGAATGCGGAGGTCGCACGGCGGAGGCGGACGCAAGAGATCCGGTGAATGAAACGAATCGGCCTCAACGGGGGTTTCACTCTGTTACCGAGGACTTGGAAACGACGCTGACGAGTTTCACCAGGATGAAACTCTTTCCTTCTCTCTCATCCCCATTTCATGCAAATAATCATTTTTTATTCAGTCTTACCCCTATTAAATGTGCATGACACACCAGTGAAACCCCCATTGTGACTGGCCTTATAGCCCACTATTATCCTTGCTCTTAGCAGGGATGCTCGGGGATATATGGTAAGATATGGTTGGATCGCCATCAACGCTGGGAGGTCAGCAGCGGCGAATCGATCAAAATGTTCAACGAATCACCATTGCCGGCCTCCGTGGGAAGGCGGCCGGCCGGCTACGTTACCGCAAGATGATTCGTTGGTTATACGTCTCATTCCACTGATGATTATTGATTGGGGCTATCCAAATCTGACAACAGTTTTCTTTTTTAAGAAAAAAGAAAATCTTTAGAGCATAACTATAGTATGGTTACAGTAACTTTTATTTAACTTATAAAAACAGCGTGTGACACAGTTGACCTGTAGACACGTGTTTGTGTCTTGCAGATCGTGCATTCTATACCCACCTTCCATGCGCATCGTACATTTTTTTCCCCTTCTCCCTGAACAAATTTTGATGCAATATGATACTCTAGAAATAGAAAATCTTTTCGACGAACAATTGGCGATAGAGTTCTAGCAATTTCATTCCAAATTTTGATGTAATCTAGCAGTTCAGAAATCAAATGTTTTTTTAATAAACAATTGGTGACAATACTTCTAGCATTTTCATTCTAAATTTCCAACAATTCATATGTTTAGGAGTTATTTTTGAACATAGGAATTTTACAGGATTTTTATAGAAATTAGTTCATTTCATAAACAAAATCCCATTGTATTCATTTTAGATGAGGCTTAATTGAGGGTTTGTAAAAGTTTTCGCTCTCGCGCGTGCTGTACCAATGGATGTAATGACAAAGGTAGTGATCACCCTCACTTAAACTGAGTAGTAGTAAATAAAAAAAACGTTAATTTCAGACTTTAAGATACGATTGATTTATGAGAAGGATCAATGACATGCATTATCATTTCGTGCTCGTGGCTGGTGACAACCTGTGACGAAAGGATTAGGTCACGCTGAAAAGTAGTAGTTTGGCACAACACAACAAAAACACAACAGGAGAGAACACATAATACTATTTTTATACGATGCCGTCAGAGATATGGAGCTCTTCGCTTCTGACGAGTCACATTAGTCTTATACAGTAACAACAACAATAGGGCAATTGGATGATCGTGGCGTAGACTCCTTCAAAACAAATCAGATCACACCAGATGGACGTGTGAACATCAACAGTAACAGAGCATAATTGGTTGACAAGAAGGCAGCAATCATCCAAAACCAAAACAGGAAATAGCAGCGGATGTCAGTCGTTGACTCGTCACCAGTCCACCTAAGCCAACAGCAAGAAAACACAGGAGCTCACTTAAAACGAGGAGTTAAATCATGTAGTAGTATTAATTAACTTGCGTTAATTAACTCTAATTAGGGCTTGATTTTTGTTCGGGTTAGATGAATGATTTTGTGACCACATAGAGTTAAAATATAAATTTAAAGCAGTTTACTTTCTTTTCATGTGTACAACTGTTTGGATTTAGAGGTCAGGTATTAATCCATTTTTTTCAGAAAATTTCTTTGTGAAAACTACACCGTCTAATAACTCATGCATTCCATTCTTCAATTCCTTAAAAACAACATGCCCTAGCTTTGATACGTACAACCTTATCATTTCACTTATAGTGAAACCTATAAGACAAAATTTAAATTTTAAAAGCTGATTTCATGATTTGTTCATCGTAGTTTATTTTACAATATTTAATTCTGAATCATCAAGTACACACATAAAATAATTACTTAAATTATTTTTTGATTGCTAACAAGTAATACGAATAAGAATAACTATAAGCGTGAGCGAAACGACAGGACCGTAGAAAATTATTTCTCAAGCACGTAAATATCTCTCCTCTTTCGTGTACTGTTAACATACGTAGGCTACACGTAGTGACAAGAGCGATGAAAACACCAAGTTTTTTCTACTGACTCCTCGTTCGTTGGCAGCCGCTGGTCCAGATGATCAAGCTAGGGTGTTTTAGTTCACGAAAAAAAAATTTTGGGTGCCACATCAAACGTTTTATCAGTATCAGAAGGGGTTTACGGACACGAATAAAAAACTAATTTCATAACTCGTCTGAAAACCACGAGACTAATTTATTAAGCCTAATTAATCTATCATTAGCACAGGTGAGTTATTGTAGCACTTATAGTTAATTATAGACTAATTAGGCTAAAAAAATTGTATTACGATTAACTGTGCAATTAGTTTATATATATATATATATATATATATATATATATATATATATATATATATATATATATATATATATAATGTTTCATGTATATGTCTAAAGATTCGATGTGATATTTTTGGGAAAAATATTTTGGTAACTAAACAAGTCCCTAGTTCCACAGACAATCCCCAGTGTGGAAGTGGCCGGCGTGCGATCGATCGAGCTGCGGTCGGCGTACGCGACGACCCTGATGGATATGATTCATCAGGTTAGGCGCCAATACAGGCTCAGGGCAGCGAGCAATGTCCCTGGCTGGCACCGGCAGGTTGGTTGGGATACAATACCAGCAGTAGTAGCACCTAATTATACTCTAAAATAATCTTGGTCTCGCAATAATTAGGGAGAATGATCGGGCAGGGCTTAATGCTAATTATCTGTGCTGATGGCGGCAGCGATTGCGTCGCGCGCTGGTAATTAGCAGGATACTAGCTATTGAGTGTTCTTGTGACAGGTGACAGCTCCACGCCTGGCGGCAGGTGGCAACATCCAGGCAAGCTCCACAGAATTATCTCTCTTCCGAAATATAAAAAAAATTTGAGGTTAGAAAAAGTAGTGTGAACAACAGACAAAATTAAAAGAAAAAAATAGTTGAGAAAATTAATTAAGAAGGACCAAAGCTTAAAAAAGAATATGATTAGTTGAGAAAATTAATTAGGTGAAGAAATTAAAAGATAAGTTGCTTTAACTGGTTGAAAATAGAATACTGATGAAGAAACTATTATATTTTAGGAGATAGATAGAATATTTTCAGGAACAAGAAAACTAAAATAATTTATTATTATATTTTATAACGGAGTAAGTAGTGATTTTTTTAATTTTTTTTATCAAAGGGACTTCAGTGGGAGTAGCAATTACTTAGTAGGAGGTAGGAATAGCAATTAGCATCAGCAAGAAGACCTCTTCTTCTTCCTCCTCCTCTTCCTCATTCCCAGCCGGCTGCTATCTCTCACCTACATCTTCTTGATAGTAGTATTATTTTGTTCCAACTTTTTATTTAGGTTTTGTGGCGTGCTGGTAGCTCCTTCTTCCCTCGTACCATTTTCGCTGTTGGTCTTTATTGCAGCAGCTGCTGCTGTTGCTCGTGCTGAGCTGAGCTGAACCTGCCAATCTGCAACACTGCAATCGTTAGCAAGTTCGCTCAACTGGCCAGCTGCTACAGATATATCTGCTGATAATTGAGCCCCAACCACCTTTCTCTTCCCCCTTTAAACTTCCCTGGTCTCCGTCCTCTTCGATCTCCTCTGCCGTCGATCTCATCGGAAGAGAGCGCCAAGCAAGAAAGGTAACCATAGTGTTCAACGTTTTGTTTTTCTTTGGTACTTTTCTGCTGCTTTCTCGAAGCATTTCTTGCCTCTTGTTGTTTTTATCCCCTCGTGTTCTTGATTTCCTAGTTCTTGGGCTTTCTCGCACACTAGTTTTAGCCTAGAGTTTCTCCACCTGATTTCTGATGATGCGTCTGGAGTCCTGACCTGTGATGTGGTGATGCTCTGGGAGTTTGTGTTCATCAGATGACGATCTGTCAAGAGTTTTTCTTGAGTGGCAAAGCATCATTCGGACAGAGATTCTGAAAATAAGTGATGCCGTCGAATCATCCGCTGGGATGCGAACAAAAGAATTCTTGGAATTGTGGTCTGAATAAACAAGTTGGATGATCCGTTACTTATGAGGTGTTTGAATTGATTGGGGAAAAGAAGTGGATGATAATGGTTTAAGACATGCTGATACTCCCATGAAAATATGCATATGTACAAGCATACAGATTGAGGCGAGTGGACCATGGTGTTAGAAGAAATCACCAAACTTCAGCTTGCTTTGGTGATTGTTCTTGGCAGCTATGCCATCTGGCCGTTTGCTTTGCAAATCATGTGAACTGTTCAGTGGATGAGGTGCTAACCTAGTATTTACATGTGCCATACATGGCCATTGGATCCAGTGGAACATCTGGTATATTCACCTGAGATTGGAGCTATGTGGTCCAAATGCACCTGGCATCCCCAAAATTTTGGGTCATGTTTCTTTTCATCATGAGAATCGCAAGTTCACAATCATGGCACCGATTAATCAGTTATCATTGAAAGCTTGCCAGTATGAGGTTCTTTTGTGCTTTAATCATGAGGAATGATGGATTTAAGATCTAATTGTACTCGGTTTCAAAAAGGAGATTTAATTGTACTCCAGTTCCTGACCTACTCTAGTACAGGCTAATGTGGGTGGATCTGCATCTACCTATCAGTTCTAACAAGAAGTTTTGCGCAGACTTCTGTCTAAAGAGAGTCATGTCCTACTTTTTATTTTCCCTTTTCTGTACTATATATCCAAAATATATAAAATGTACAAATGAACTCAATTTGCAACTCTCTAAGTGGTTGTTTCGCAATGAATTCCTGCAGAATAATTATTCCTGAAGATTCCTCTTCTGCATGTTGAAGTGTACAAGACAGCCACAACAACTGAGGATATGAGCTGGTGGTGTTGCATTCCAAAATCCAAGAAAGGAGAGAATCCTTACTCTCATGGCGTTAGCGGTACGAACTGTATTTGCTTGCAAAATTTATGCTGAATTTGCATAGCAGCCAACAGAGTTTATGAAATAGAAACATGTATATTGTCCCTATCACAGATTCGATCATATTAGGCTAGAGAATGCCAGTACTGAAGCTCCATTTTAAGATTCCATGCTTTACTTAACTAAATGTAACTAACTTTCAGGTATTCCGCCTGAGAAAAACATAAGGCTTTTCTCTTATTCTGAGTTGAGATCAGCAACAGAAAACTTCAACCGCAGTAATAAAATTGGCCGAGGTGGCTTTGGGACAGTATACAAGGTAATGTTTGTTTTTCTTTATATGTGGAAGGGAGGAGTCCATTGAGGGTTATATCCCTTTCAAATCTGAAGCCATCAGTCCTTGCATTCTTACCAATGCTTTGATGTTTCAGGGAACTATTAGAAATGGGCGAGATGTTGCGGTGAAAGTTCTTTCTGCTGAATCCAGGCAGGGCGTTCGAGAATTTTTGACAGAAATTGATGTTATTACCAATGTGAAGCATCCCAACCTTGTTGAATTAATTGGCTGTTGTGTTGAAGGAAACAATCGAATTTTGGTATACGAGTATTTAGAAAACAGCAGCCTTGACCGTGCATTGTTGGGTATGAATATTGATATGTTACAATGACTATTTTTCTATATAAGTGCATTGATTTCGTTTGTTGCTTAACCTTTTATCTTGTGTTCTGTAGGTTCTAATAGCGAACCTGCAAATTTTACTTGGAGCATAAGATCTGCTATATGCATAGGAATCGCCAAAGGACTTGCATACCTGCATGAAGAGATTGCGTCACCGATTGTGCACAGAGATATCAAGGCTAGCAATATACTTCTTGACAAGCTTTACAACCCCAAGATCGGGGACTTCGGTTTAGCCAAGTTATTCCCTGATAATATCACCCACATCAGTACCCGTGTTGCTGGAACGACGTGAGTATTTCAGCATTTAGCAGTTTGTTTGAGTAGAAAGTAACCTTGCAGTTGCAGTAACTGAACTGATCTATTTGTTCAATGCAGAGGCTACCTTGCACCGGAATATGCATGGCATGGCCAATTGACGAAGAGAGCCGATATATACAGTTTTGGCGTCCTTGTACTTGAGATCGTAAGTGGCAAGAGTAGTTCAAGGAGTCTCCTGGCTGACGATAAGATTCTCCTAGAGAAGGTCAGTCTTACTATCATCTTTACTATCCAAAATTCAGAGATTTGCTTTCACCTTCAGACATTTGCTCTAGAGACATTCCAATTAAGCCGTAATCGCTGGACTCTCCATCTAAATCTTTTATTAGAGAATGGAAGTATAATTCCAGCCTCTGCATCAATTAAGGCCGTGTTAATTACGCAGCTATATTTCCCAACTCATCTCTATCGTTTTCCACGCGCATGTCTTTTAAACTGTTAAACGCTATTTTTTTTTTGCAAAAGAGAAGTTGTTTTTAAAAAGAACATATTAATCCATATTTTGAAAAAAAAAAAGTTAGTTAATTATGTACTAATGAGTCGCTCCGTTTTACGTGCGTGTGGGGGATGAGTTACCAACTCTTGCTGCCAAACTCAGCCTAGCTTTCACAATTAACAGGCATGGGAGCTACATGAGGTAGGGAAGCTCAAGGAGCTGGTGGATTCAGAAATGGGAGATTACCCTGAAGAGGAGGTCCTCCGGTACATCAAGACGGCCCTCTTCTGCACGCAGGCGGCGGCGGCGCGGCGGCCGTCGATGCCGCAGGTGGTGACGATGCTGTCCAAGCCCATCCGCATCAACGAGCGCGAGCTCACGGCGCCGGGCTACATCCACGACTACAATGGCACGGTCTCCAAGGCCACCAACTCCAGCAACTCGAGGTTCAAGCACTCGGCGTCCGACACCTCCGACATGTTCAGCACGGTGGTGCCACCCACGGTGTCCGAGATCAGCCCAAGGTGAAAATGGAAGGAAAACATCACCAGGCTGATTGATGCTGATGCTGGGTCTATGTTTCTTGTCTTACCTTTGCATGTTGAGTTGAGTGACAGTGCATAGAGGGCACACGTTTAGATGTGTGCCAATTGTGAATCGTGTTGTTTCTTTCCATTCCTTGTGCAAATTGCGGCATCTAGATCTTGTAAATAGTAGTAGGTTGATCCTGACTTGTTTACGTCAGAGCAATTCAAGATCGCTGCTTGTTGGACATTAATTTTGGGGGCAATTGAACAGAACAGCTTCTGTAGACATGGCACAGGAGAGAGAAATCGTGTATAATCCATCACTCAGTTGCGCTTTCAGTTCTGAACTTATGATCACAGAGTATCCACAGGGAAGAAATCGTGTCTGATATCCATCATTCAGTTACGCTTTCAGTTCTGAACTTATGATCACAAAGTATCCACTGAAGCTACTTGTACCAGGTGAAAACAAGTAAAGAGTACAATTGCTGTGATACTAAGCTGAATGTTCTGAGAGCTGATACATAGCCATCCTGACGCAAATCTCCATAAAAAGATAAATACAGGATAGACAGATCCAGGGATTAGAAATAAAATGCATTTCCATATCTGCAGTCAAGGTTCGGGCGTTCCTGTAGAGCTACCATAAGTTACTCCGATGCTGCAGGCTGCTCCTTCTCTGCTTCCGCAGGCGATCCGTTGGCAGGTTTCTCTTTGCTCTCTGCAGGCTTCTTGGTTCCATTTGCTGGGGCTGGTGTGCCGTCTTTAGCACCATCCTTTGCGCCGTCTTTAGCAGCAGACGCTGGTGGAGGTTGCATCATGTGCGGTGGAGGAGCGTGCTTCAGCTTCACTAAGATCTGGCGCATTCGTGAGAGGTCTGTCGGCTTGCCAGGCTTAGGGCCCTGAATGACTGTGATGGATGGCTTCTTGTCCTTGTCCTTCTTTCCCCGCTTCTCAATGGTAGCTATTTCATGTGGGATGAGCTCCGATATCGACTTCCAGTACTGCTTGTCTGCTTCGGCATGGAATTTCTCCTGGCCAGCTACGAAAATCTGCAGCACACAATAAGTTGTCACTCATGAGAACTTAATGGACATGCTATGAACATTGACATATAATAACTAAAGAAGTTGCTCTGAGCCCCATACCTTCTCTCTTTCTCTGTTATGGACCTTGTTTGTCTCACAGTTCTGTATCCTCTTCTCATAGAAAGCCTTCTTAAACTCTTCGGCTTCAGCAAGTATCTGGGCCCGTAGCTCCTTCTCCTTCCGCTCTTTTTCCTCAAGAACTATAGCATTTTGCCTGAAACAATAGTGATGCTGTTCAAAAGATAGATCATGAACATAATATAATTCTACATGATAAGGAAAACAGTTACTAGAGAACAGCCAAAGCAAAAACATTATAGCAAGATGTATAATATTGTGATTACAATGTTCAGATCATACCAAGCACAGGATAAATTAGGCATAACACGATTCCACTGGTAGTAAAATTGCTAATTACCACCTTACAAACTTTTGAGCTGAGAATGGATATACGAGAAACTAACAAAAAATCTGGATAGGCTGGTGCAGAAGAGTGTGCAAGTGCAGAATATAAGATCATGCCAGACAAAGTGCTCATTACAGAAGCACAAACAAGTAGACAGCTTGCTCATGCTGGCATACACCTTTGGCCAACCATAGCGCTAAAAGCAGTGACTTATGTTCTGGCACTACAAACTCATTTTAAGATCACATAAAGCATCTGATACATTAGAGGACATAAATATCCAAAGGAGTAAGTTCTGGATAAATATTAGGATTCACCAAGATATCCAACTGGAAGAAAACAGATAATGTAGCTCAAGACAAACTAGCCTTACAAGCCTGTGATCATAAATCACAAAACTGTTAGCCTACTGCAGTGCTGCTTAAGCTTTAGGCTTATCTTGAGAGTTGAAACATGTAATAGACCATACATGTATTGTAAAATGACACTGGCCTCACACTAATTTCCATGCCAGGCTGAAAAAAGAAATCGGTGCATGTACTTAGGTTTTCTTCACTAAACAAATCAACATAAGCCTTTTATTGCACATGGAAAGACATCAGCCCCCCTTTGGAGTGTGCGCATAATGAATCAAGCACCTTGTTGTTCCATCGGTAAAAGTTAAGTAATGATTATTTTGTACGTATACCAGAGCTAGAAAACTTTCCTCACAAGCAAAGGCAGTTAAACAGCAGCTCTTGAAGAACGATACTGCAGGGGCATGAGAACCAGATCAGAATTGGTTGTACCTTCAAACTAATCGATCACTTGCCATTTCCTTAACGACAATTTCACTACAACTGTATGACGCCCTCCCTAGCTGAAAATTAGGGAAGATAGCAGATCTAAGCGTTGGATCTCGCTTGAAGGGGTGGAACCCTAGCTCCCACGGAAGCAAACAAACAATAGCAGAAATGGCATAGCCGAAACAGATCAGATGTGGCTCACCTGCGCTATATACTAATGCAAAATATACTGTTGCAATTGTAATGACCAGATTATACCAAGCACAGGATAAATTAGGCACAAAAACACATACCACTGGTAGTAAAACTGCTAACATTACCACCTTACAAAATTTGAGCTGAGAATGGATATACATGAAACTACTAAAAATTTGACAGGTGCAGAAGAGCGTGCAAGTGCAGAATATAAGATCATGACAGACAAAATGCAAATTTCAGAAGCACAAACAAGTAGCCAGTTTGCTCCTGTTGGCACACACCTTTGCCGAGCACGTTCCATGCCCATGTGGCATAGCACTAAAAATGGTGATTTATGTTCTGGCAAATCAAGCTGATTTTAAGATCAATTAAAGCATCCTAAGACAAGCATCAAAAGGAGTAAGGGTGCGAACCATCATCATGGTAAGACCTAGGATTAATATCACCATTCACCAAGAAACATGTAAGATAGCTCAAGATAAACTAAGCATTTGCTCATTAACTCAGAAAACTGTTACGTGTACTGCATTATTGCTTAAGCCTGAGGCTTATCTTGAAAGTTGAAACATGTAACAGACCATGGGTGAATTGCAAAATGAGATTGGCCTTATGCTCATTTCCACACCATGATGATAGAGAAGAATGGTTCAAGTACTTAAAGTGTTTTAACTTCACTAAACAAGAAACATGAGCCTTTTAATGCACATGCAAAGACATCAATTCCCCTTTGGAGTGTGTGCAACACTGATCAAGCATCTTGTTGTTCTATGAGTAGAAGCTAACTAGCGATTATTTTGTACATATACCAGTACCAGAGCTAACAAACTTTCCTCACAAGCAAAGGCATTTAACAACAGCTCCTGCCAAACCAGATTCAATTGCACTAACTAAATTCAGTACCACTAGCTAAGAATTCAGAACCAGTTGAAGCCTCAGCCTAATCAATCACTGCAATTCCTAAACAACAAGTTCAAGTTTCATCCTAACTAAAATCGACATATAATACGATAATACAGCCTCACTACAAACTCTATTCCGCCCCACCTAGCTGAAAATTAGGCGAAATATCAGATCTAAGCGTTAGATCTCGCTCGATGCGTCGGAACCCTAGCACCAGCGAAAGCAAGCAAGCAGTAGCCGAAACGGCAAAGGCCCGGACAGATCAGATGCGGTGCTCACCTGCGCCACTCGCGGAGGAGGATCCCCTCCTCCGCCCCCATCTGGGCCGGCGGCGGGAGGATAGGGCCGTCGCCGCCGTCCAGCTCCGGGTCGGGGGAGAAGGGCGAGGGCGAGAACCCTCCGGAGACGTGGCCGATCGGGACCCCCTCGGACTCCACGGCGATCTCCTCCTCCTCCTCCTCCACATCCTCTACGCCGCCGTCGACGAAGGAGGCGTAGCCGCCGTATCCGGTGTCGTCGGCGGCGGCGCCTCCTGATGCATCGGGCGCGGCGTCGTCGTCGGCGTCGAAGGGGTGGGAGGCGGTGCGGGGGAGCTCGTCGGCGCCGTCGTCGGCGAAGAAGGAGGCCATGGTCGGCGGCGGTGGTGGTGGTGCGAAACGCGGCGGAGGTTTTGGGCGGCGCGTGGTGTGGGGAGGGGACTGGGTGGTGTCCGTGACGCGCGTGTGTAGTATTATTTGCGTGGTTCGCTTCGCTTAATCCGTCACGCGCTCTCTTAATTAATGGTCGCTAATCCGTTCGTAATAGAACTGATCGGTCCCTTTTGGGCTTAATTTTAGGTGCTACTAGAGAGCATGGGCCTCATATACGTTAGGCCCAATACGGAGAATTATTTTTCCCTTTTTTTCTTTTTACTGGAAAAGATGTCCGTGTGTTACAACGGGTGAAGGCTATTTTAATTTTATTATTGTTATATAGTTTAATTAAGGTGAAATTTACTACTCCCTCCGAGCTGATAATACTTGTCGTTTTGGACAAGGGTGAAGTCAAACTTTACAATCTTTGATTATGAATCATTTTTAAAATATTTGTCTTTCAAATATGATGACTACATGTATAGATTAGTCTTAAAAAATACTTTAATATGATCATATATTTGTTAACAATTTAAATAATGATCAAAGTTGTTTTTTTAGAGACCATGTCCTTGTCCAAAACGACAAGGTATTATCAATCCGGAGGGAGTATGAGTTACAAATCGCTTAGGAGCGTATTATTAGAGACGTAACGGAACAACTTTCAGCAAGCAAAAAGAAAGCAGACAAACGATAGGAGGTAGACTGCAATAGAGAAAGAAAGAAAGCAGTAGAGCAGACTTCATCAAGGAGGCTGAAAAACAAACTCATTTTCTTGAATGTCTTCCCCGATCTGCTGGGCCGCTTGTTGTGCATATGGCTCTTGTTGCTTGAAGACCTTAGCATTTATTTGTAGCCAAACGTGTCACCAGGTTTTGATCAGAATTCCCACTCTTCGTTTTGATTCAGCCTTATTGGTTCCATGAGCTAAAGCCATCATCCATTCAGCGGTGGAGTTTGAATTTATCGCAGTTTGCATGCCCTGAGCTACCGCCACTAGGCTCCAAGTGGTTCTAATGAAATCACACTCCCTAAAAAGATGGTCAGTGTCTTCACAGGCGCTTCTACAAAGGGGATATATCCAATCACATTCCCAATGGTGGATTAGCAGATTTTCAGCTGTTAGAGCTCTTTTGTGCAGGATGAGCCAGCCGAAGAACCTTTGCTTGGGTAATGCCTGGGCTCTCCAGTTGGCTTTGAAGGTCTGATCATGTTGACAGGTAATGAATTGGAATTGATATGCACTTTGGGCTGAATATATACCTTTGCTATTTCTCTTCTAGATTATGTAGTCTTCATTTTCTGACGTTAGTTGTGTTTGAGTAAGAAGGCTGCCGAGATGCACAAGCTCTTGGATTACTTCACCATTGTCAATTTCTCTGAATGAGTAGACCCAATGGTTGTGATCAAGTTCAGTTATTAAATTTTTGTTCTTCCTTCTTGCAAGTTGAAAGAGGTTTGGGGCCATATCTTTAGGGCACATTCCTTGTAGCCAGTTGTCTTTCCAGAATAGGATTTTCTTTTCGTTTCCAATAACAATTTCAGTGCAAGCCTAGAATAGTTGTACATCTTTTGCGTTGCGAGGTAGTTCCATCTCATTCCAAGGCCTGTTGTGATCATGCCAGCGCATCCATAGCCATCTCAGTCACAAAGCCAATGAAAATCTTTCCAAATCAAGGATCCCCAGTCCTCCCAAATCTCTCGGCATGCACACGGTCTGCCAGTTTACTAGACTCGTCCCCGGTTTGACGTTCTCCGGTTCCTCTCCCTTCCAGAGGAAAGTCCTTCTCATTTTGTCAATCATTTTGATCACCCACTTTGGGGCCGGCAGGGCAGTGAGATAGTGCACCGGCATTGCCGTGAACACTGACTTAACGAGAGTCTCCCTTCCAACTGATGAGTAATATCTCCCCTTCCAACCCGGGATTTTAGATCCAATTTTATCAAGCAGTGGGACGTAATCGATTTTCCTCGACTTGCGCAGATGAAGGGGCAGACCTAGGTATGTTGTTGGAAAGGATGATAAGGTACTCGGGAAGTGCTGGATTACATTGGGGGCATTCAAATGCGAACATGCAATAGGAAGAATCTGAGTCTTTTGTAGAAATATGGTCTTTAAGTGGTGTTCATTAACTAAGAAATCATATCGAACTCTATCTTTGTTTATGCCTAAAGTTTGTGTTAAAAAAAATCTAAGTAGTACTAGTCAGATTTCTATTTGTGTTTTAAATTTATCCAAAATCACTATAGAAAAACTCAATAAAACTGGCAGAAAAACGTCTCGTGCAGCAAGCAAAAATGGCCCAATGCCCCAATCCGATTCGTGGTGCGACCTTGAAAAATTTTGCTGGTGGGCCGTCGGAAAATGTTCGCACGCAAAGAAACGAGCGCACGCCCATTTTCTGGTGTGGAAGTGGAACAGATGCTGCTTCCTCTGTGTAGTGTACTGTCTGTTGTGCCAGGCTGCTCCCTTCGTTTGCGTAATCCGTTCGTAATTTCATTTATTGGCGTCTAAGAAAAGAGAACGAGCTTTTCTCCTTGCTGTTATCTACGCCCAATACACTCATACGTATCGTAAGCAGGTTTTACCAAACCGTGTGGTTATCATGTTTTCGTGGTTACCATGGTAACCGCCGAACCGCGGGGTGCGTGGTGAAGAGTCATGGCAGAGTTTGCAAGTTGATATCCCGTGTTTACTGCTTAGTAATCAGTAATCACAACTATGACCAAGAAGCTCATAAGAGTGAGATGCTACTTCGTTGGCATGCTACTTATCAGCTCATTTCTTTCCCTTGTACCAGATGTTCCGCGTCACCGAGCTCCACCTCGCCGGCGCCGGCGCCGGCGCCGAACAGGGACTCGATCTGCTCCAGCGACTTGCCGCTCATCTCCGGCACGAACACGTGGACGAACACCACGGACAGCGCCGAGATGGCGGCGAACGCGGCGAAGGCACCCGCGACGGACACGGCGCCGCAGATGGACAGGAACGACATGGCCACCGCGCCGCTGGTCAGCCTGTTCACGGCGAAGCCGAGCGCCACCGCCTGCGCGCGCAGCCGCAGCGGGTAGATCTCCGAGCTCAGCACCATGTTGATCGGCCCGATCCCCACCGAGAAGAACGCCACGAAGCCGCACACCGTCAGGATGGCCGCCCCGATCGCCGCCGCCCGCGGCAGCGCGCCGTGCGCGAGCAGGGAGAGCGACGCGGCGAGCGCGGCCAGGCACGCGGTGATCCCGGCCGTGCTGACGTACAGCAGCGGCTTCCGCCCGACGCGGTCGACGAGGACGATGGCGATCACGATGAACACCGTCTTGGAGAGCCCCACGCCGACGGTGGCGGCGAGCAGCTGGCTCTCGGTGGTGATGCCGGCGTCCCGGAATATCGTCGGGCTGTAGTAGACCAGCGCGTCGATGCCGGTGATCTGCTGGAAGAGCTGCACGCCGATGCCGGTCACCAGCATGCGGCGGATCACCGGCGACGGCCTCAGGAGCTCGCGCCACACGGCCTTGCCGTTGCCGGTGGCCGTGACGCGCGCCGCCTCCTCGATCTCGGCGAGCCTCTCCTGCGCCTCGTCCTCGCCATCGGTGACCTTGAGAAGCACCGCGCGCGCCTCGGCGGCCCGGCCCTGCATGACGAGCCACCGCGGCGACTCCGGGATCACCAGCAGCACGAACGCGACGGAGATGGAAGGGACGATGCCGGCGGCGAGCATGACTCGCCAGTTGATGTGGTCGGGGAGACCGGAGAAGGCGAGGTTGGAGACGTAGCCGAGGAGGATGCCGAGGCTGATGAAGATCTCCGGGAACGAGGCGTACGACCCCCGCAGCGTGGCCGGCGTGATCTCCGATATGTACACCGGCGCCACCATGATCCCGATCCCGATGCCGATGCCGGCCAGCAGCCGGCCCATCATGAGCACGGCGAAGGACGGCGCGAGCGTCATGACGGCCGCGCCGGCCTGGAACACGGCAGCGGCGAGCCCGATGGTCCATTTCCGGCCGACGGCGTCGGACGTCCTCCCGGCGGCGAGGCTGCCGAGGAGGGAGATGAAGCTGAGGCACCCGACGAGCACTTCTTGCTGCACTTCACTGATGTGGAGGTCCTTCTGGATGAATATGATGCAGCCACTCATCACACCAACATCTGAAAATTAACAGCCACGATGTAACACAGGATTTGACAATTTGTGCAAAGATATTTCATCCATTTGAAAGTTTGATCGATTGTTCACGAGACAAACAATGTCAATGGCTGTCTGAGAGAGAGACTCAGATAAAGATTAACAACCATAACAAGTATCTGAACCAAATTACCGGTCAAAATTTACATTTCATCTGAATCTGAAGCAGAGTGGGCTGTCAGTGATGATAACTTTTCAAACACTTCATCTTCTAAAAGCATATTAACATGACATACAATCCCCATATTTTACTAGCTGCAAATCTTGCTTTAATCAGAAAATAAACCCCTGATTATGTGTAATACAACCAAATCTGAATCAAGAACAGTCAAATTCAGGAGAGGGGCTCACCGTAGCCGAGCAGGACATGGTTGAGGGAGGCGAAGACAGAGCAGGCAAAGACGTATCTCCCGCTGCCGCCGCCGCCGCGGACACGAACGACGCCGCCGCCGCCGCCGCCATCTCCCTGCTCATCCGGGAGCACGTCGTCCATGCGCACGTACTTGCTCTTCCTCCCCAAGAAATCCGGAAGGCTCCTCATGCCGCCGCCGTTGCCCGTCGCCGCCTCGGTGGCACGAAGCCCCATTCTCACCGTCTTTCTTGTGCTGTGCTCTGGCTATGGTTGGCTCATCCTCTTCTCTCCTCTTGCAAGCTCCAAGAATGTGGCTTGTGAATGGGAAAAGGACTAGCAATTGGATCTGGAGGAAGGAGGAGACTGTAGGAGGAGGAAGAAACAAGGAGGGAACCATTTGTTTAAGACTAATGAGGCGTTTTTATATGTTTGGTAACCTGATGACTACCTGTTCAGCTTAAAAGAGTTGGAGTCAGGAATCCACAAATTTTGACAATTTGACTCTTTGCAAAAACTATTTTTACAAATGAATCGTTGCCAAAACTTATTTCAAATCTGACTCTTTTGCTCAACGCCAAATTGTGTAGCGTTGAATTTAGACACCTCAGCGCCAAATAGCATGACGCTGAATGTACGTTGGCACGCTGACTTAGTCTCCCATCCGTCGTGGCACCGCATTCAGCGCCAGCTAACGTGGCGCTGAGATGTCTAAGTTCAGCGCCACATGATTTGGCATTGAGCAAAAGGGTCAGATTTGAAATAAGTTTTGGCAGCGGTTCATTTGTAAAAATAGTTTTTGCAAAAAGTCAAATTGTCAAAATTTGTATCAGGAATCTGCCCACATTTTCATGGTTGTGTTATTGTGTATTCAGTAGTAAGGCTTAGAGTGAAATTTTGGAGCTGTGGTCAGTCATTTTGGCATGAACTTGCACAATTGCTGAATTGCAGAGTATTAAACTTGAGGTATCACCTTGTTCTGAATATTCACTCGAGATAATTGCTCTTATACCATGTGGTTAGATGTCAAACTTCCATTTGGCATAAAATTTCTTCTATTTGCTAAAATATCATATAACTCACTGGAAATTCGCTCTTTTTCAATGAATTTGAATAATTCAGTTCAGAATCTATTTACATTCACTGTAATGGTTTCATGGATGTGCAAGTGTAGCTTACTAGCATTACCAACTGTGACTGATTGACTGGCACAGTGGCACCAACATTTACACTGTATGATTCGTTGATGCTACAGAGGATTCTGAAGTTGGAAAAGAGTATGAGATATTTTCTTTCCTATTAGTGCTCTAAAACAAAACAATTTGGTTTGCAATTTGCATTCACCGCAACACCAGTATCTAGTAATACTGTTAAAACCCACCTAAAAAAATGGCCAAGTTCACATTGATCCATTTGGTCAATAACTCAAGATCCTCATCCCTTGTGCACCAGGTGCTCGCCGTCACCGAGCTCCACCTCTCCCCGCGCCGCCTCGCCGTCGCCGCCGCCGCCGCCGAAGAGCAGCTCGATCTCTTCCAGCGTCTTGCCGCTCGTCTCCGGCACGTACCGGTAGACGAACACGACGGACAGGGCGGATATGACGGCGAAGACGGAGAAGGCGCCGGCAACCGAGATGGCGCGGCAGACGGACAGGAAGGACATGGCCACGGCGCCGCTGGTCACCCTGTTCATCACCGCGCCGAGCGCCGCCGCCTGAGACCGCAGCCGGAGCGGGAAGATCTCCGAGCTCATCACCCAGCAGATGGGCCCTATCCCGACGGAGAAGAACGCGACGTCGCCGCACACGGTCAGGATGGCGACGGCGATGCCAGCGCTCCTGGACGCCGACCCGTGCGCGAGCGCGGCGAGCGTCGCCGCGAGCACGACGAGGCAGGCCGTCATGCCGACCGTGCTGACGTACAGCAGCGGCTTCCTCCCGACGCGGTCGATGAGCACGATGGCAAGCGCGATGAACGCCGTCTTGAAGAACCCGACGGCGACGGTGGCGACGAGGAGCTGGCTCTCGGTGGTGATCCCGGCGTCCCGGAATATCGTCGGGCTGTAGTAGACGAGCGCGTCGATGCCGGTGATCTGCTGGAAGCACTGGATGCCTAGCCCGGTGATGAGCATCCGCCGGATCACCGGAGACGGCCTCGTCAGCTCCTGCCACACCGTCTTGTCGCCGTACTTGCCGGCGCTCGCGACGGCGGCGGCGGCCTCGATCTCGGCAAGCCTCTCCTTCGCCTCGTCCTCGCTGTCGGTGACCTTGAGAAGCACCTCGCGCGCCTCGTCGGCCCTGTTCTTCATGACCAGCCACCGCGGCGACTCTGGGATCACCAGCAGTGCAAAGGCGATGGACACCGACGGGAGGATGCCGACGGCGAGCATGACGCGCCAGCTGACGTGGTCCGGGAGGCCGGAGAAGGCGTAGTTGGAGATGTACCCGAGGAGGATGCCGAGGTTGATGAAGATCTCCGGGAAGGAGGTGAAGGAGCCCCGCGACGCCGCCGGGGAGATCTCGGCGATGTACACCGGCGCGATCATGACGCCGAACCCGATGCCGACGCCGGCCAGCAGCCTCCCGACCATGAGCACCTCGAACGACGGGGCGAGCGTCATGACGGCCGCGCCGGCCTGGAACACGATGGCGGCGAGGCCGATCGTCCATTTCCGGCCGACGGCGTCCGACGTCCTTCCGCCGGCGAGGCTGCCGAGGAGGGAGATGAAGCTGAGGCACCCGACGAGCACTTCTTGCTGCACTTCATTGATGTGGAGGTCTCTCTGGATGAAGAGAATGCAGCCGCTCATCACACCAACATCTGGGAACAAAAGGTTTATTACCACACAGAAATTGAATTATATATGCATTTTGTGTGTAATTATCTTAAACTTAATTTTTGCCCGGGTGCAATTTCATCTTAATGAAATCAATTCCATTATCTTAAAAGAAAAAGTTAGTTCTAGTCAAATTTTTAGTGTGTTGCTAAAATGCTGTCGAAAAAAAAAAAGCTACTACGAGCTAGCTGCCGTTGACTGAAATTAGCATCGCGATGATTCCAAATAAGTGGACTATTCGATATCAGTAGTGAATAGAAATCCATCTGAACAAAACATTGTGATACTAGTTACTACTGATTCTTGATTATGAAGAAACTGCATTGCTAATTACTAACCAGTTAACTAGTAACCGTAGTTTAGACTACTCAACAACTCCTACTAAACGCCACAAGGTAACAGACATGGAATAAGCTGGAGAGTCGCCATCAAAGACCGAAGACTAATGAAGAAGAAATAGTCAACGCGATTGGCCAAAACATTTCCTACTCCTTGTGCAGGATCACCAAGAACTTGCCAAGATCCAAGCACGCGTATCGAAATTCTCCATCGATTCAGCCAACACGAACACATATACGTGCGAGAGAGATTCATGTGGAAACGGAGGAGATTAGTTACCGTAGCCGAGGAGGACGGAGTTGAGGGAGGCGAAGACAGAGCAGGCGAAGACGTAGCGCCTGCTGCTGTGGCTCCGGCGGACGCGGACGCCTCCGCCTCCGCCGCCGACGCCGTCCTCCTCCTGCTCCTGCGGCAGCACGTCGTCCATGCGGACGTACTTGCTCTTGCCGCCGAAGAATCCAGGGAGGCCGCCGCCGCTGGCCGCCGGCGGCTCGGCGCCGGGGAGCCCCATGCCTTCTGCTTATCTGATGCGCTCCCTTTGCTCCGTCTTCCTCCTCTCCGGCGAGTAGAGGGCGGCGCTTCGAATGGTACTAATGGTGGTATCGCGGATTGCTGGATCTGAGGAGGAGGAGGAGGAAGAAGAAGTGGAGGCAGCGAGAGAGATTTTATAAGTTTCTAATTCTGTCCGCTTTTGAGTTTTGACACGCGATTTGCTGTTCAACGCCAAAGCGGAGGAGGTCGAATTTTCAAATGGGTCATTTTGTGTTCAAGCCCTTGTACTACTCGTGATTTCTGACAAGGGTACTGTGGGCTCTTGGGGCATTGGGCTGGGCAGTACTTGCACTTCATGGATGAACAGATGGTTCTGAACAACCTTGCACGCCGGCCTCTGTTCTTTTGATATTACGTATTACTCACCGGATTATTGAAACAGATTATTTACTTCACACTTCAAAAAAAAAAATCTTCTATGCATTGCTTAGACCACTTGTTATAGAAGTCTTAATTTATCTCTATAATTAAGTAAGTAGATAATCTGTGACAAAAATCCAATCAGTCATCTAAATCACAGGGCCCGAGATTGTGTACTCCTGCCGGCACAAAAAGGTAGGTCTCGTTTGCAAAGGCATTAGTTTCACAGGAAAAAAAATGCTACGGAGGAGTAGCTTATATCTTTCAGGAGTAAAATGGTACCGCTCTTCTTGATCAAAACTCAAATTCTCAATCTACAATTGTAGTAGTTAGCAATCAAGTCCATAAAGCTCAAAAAGAAGACAAAATTGTCTGGCTTGAATACAGCTTGAGCGACAGCATAGTAATATCAGTTCATCAGTTACCTTGTGTAACACTGCAATATAGATTGATCGTCCAACAACGGCAATAACTCTTCAAGCAAGAGAAACTAGCTGAGGATACAGAGGTCCAATCTAACTCTATGAACACAATCGATGGCCTACAACACAAGTATAAAGGGCATATAATCACAAAGGTTCCTAAACTGTTGCATTTCATCATCACATTTCAGTATCTTTCGAATTCCTGATCCAATGTCAACATTGTTGTCTTTCTTCAGAGAAGCTTCCCGCTTACACTCTGGCACTCTGCATGTACAGGCATTTGACAATCTGAGCCGGAAGGTGCTTGCTTTGGCACGACAACAAACTTCAAATTTTTTGGAGCACATTTATGTATGTGTAGCTTGAGAATAGGACAAACAATCTCCTGAACCTATAAACACAAGCAAAATGTCAGTTTCCTGAATATATTGTAAAACACACAAGTTTTGAGAATTTTGAGCCCCTTAAATGCTTCATTTCTTTCCCATCATGCAGTATCACACAAAAAACAAGTCTAACAATGAGTTCTCAAAAATACAAACAACCAGTCTTACAGTAGTCAAAGAAACAATTGAGATTGTATATGTTGGCCATGACTTTTTTTGGGTGTCAAAGGGATGATTCTTATGAGGTACTACGTCTATATTGCAAGGTAGAAACTTCTTTTTAAGTGATAATTTTGAACCACACAATATATATAGTACTTCCTAGAAGTAGACAACATTTAAGTAGTGAAAACAAAATTTTCAACTTACCAAACCCACTGGCTTTTGTGTGAAGCCATTGCCTCAAAGCTTCTGGAAGGGCTATTATTAACAAGAGTATAAGTTGGTTGTTTTGAGCTTGAGGAGAGGGTGGAAGATAGCCAAATGTCAACTGGACCACTGTACTTGCGAAAAATGTTCAAGCTTACCTATCCAAATAAACAGGCATAATCCAGGTTAGCTTCTTCAAATTAATGTATTCACAGGGAATTGTTTAGAGGTTAACTAGCCTAGTGCCAATAAAAATCATAGAAATTAGCCATCAAATGAGATAGACACATCAAGCAATTCAAATCTATGCAGAGAAGGCATGTGTAGTGTTATTGTTTTCTGTCTTTACTTCCAACGAAAATGATGATATCAATGCATTTAAGCACGCAATTCATAAATTCAAGAAAGCAATGCACAGGCTCTTTTAGACTCTGGAATAAGTAGAGTATATGGCAACGTGAAGAAAATAAAGCTAGGATATCAGGGAAGAATTTTACAAGCTCCCATGCTTCAATGTGTCCTTGCCCGTTGTCACGCAGAAGCTTGCTGTTCATAGAAAAATAGATTTATTAAGACTCCAAAGAAAAATGCTAGAAACACCCTGCAGAAATATGCTACATATGTGTAATCTAGACTGTCATAAGTGAAAGAAATGTAAGCAAATCCGGCATTAAATAGATGGAATAAGTGCACATCACCAACCAAGAGCTACAGGCCATAGTCATGACATACATGAATTAGCCAAACTGTTCAATTAAAGTGTGACCCCAAAACAACTTATATTATATATGCATGAAAGGGATGAGATCATGGGAGAGAAAGAGAGAACCCTTACAAAGGGGTGTGGTGATGGGAAAGGGGAGGCCACAGTTATGTTGAAGTTAGGTAATACACTTTCTTTCGGCAGAACATGTTGTGACTTGACAAGATATGTAACTTAACAACTATGTAGATATTATAGAAGCTTGTGCGGACAAGCTAACAATATAAAATACATCAGTACCAGAAAATTTTTCTTACAAGAGGGCATCAAACTCAAACAGTTGTTATTCTAAAAATGCTAAACAACAAAGTTGAACTAACCAGATTCCATGATGAACATCGCAATGATTTGGATGGCCTGATACTCCTCGGGAATCGAAGGCAACAATCTAAAATGACAACAAATATTGCAGGAGTAAATAGGGGAATCGGAATGAACAAAATGCAAAATTTCCATATTTTGAGGTCTAGAAAATCAGGACGAAAAAGGCATTTCACTTGCACAATCATATGATGTACTCAACCTGGGTACCTGTTTGCAGCAACACCGCACTGAGATTTGGAACAGATTAACTAATACAGTTTTAAATGGCATATAATACAGATAGGCGCACTTGATGCTCCTGTTTCTTCACTATATTTTTTATTTTTAAAGTTGTTCAGAACAGTAAAGCTCGAAGCGAAACATAATACAGGAAAGCACCAAAGTTGATAGAGTATAGATATGAATTATTATTACTGGGAGATCATCTGAATCTTGACATGGAATCATTACCGTGTCGATATTCCATAACTGGGATTGTGCCAGGGTAAGTTCTGCTATTAGTCCATGATCCCAATTTTTATGAAATCCATCCTACAAGGTACATTGTGTAAACTTAAGTATATATTTGGAACAGTACCTACATACAAGCAGGTCGGCAAAAATGAGCTCATAATAAAGCACCTGCAGTTCTGAGTGGTCCAAGACTTTAACTTGCTCAGCTGGAATCTGTAAATACATGATCCATTTCAACACATTTTTCAATGGACAACCGAGGTCAAAAGACCCTCTCCAAGGGGTATAATGGAGCAGAGTAGGACTTATTACCTTAAGAGTGACACAGGCAAGGTAGAGTTCCTCTTTGCGGATATTTCCAAGGCCATCAGCATTGCCTAATATGGGGATTAAATTGACAATCAGAACGACCGACTCAGATGAGGTTTCTTATCCAAATAATGGCGCCCTTAAAGAGTAGAAATACATATGATTGAGCTGAGACATACTGGAAAAGCGAAATACGCACATAGGATCAGAGTGTAGACGTCTTTTACCTTGAGACAAGCACAAGATATGAATGCTGTGACCTTTTGACTTGAGGAAAAGAATAGTCGGAGCAAAAAACCTGTATCAGCAACATGACAATCAATCAGAATCAACCAAAACAAATACTATAAACAAGATTTCCCCTAAACAGTTCCACAAAATAATAAAAAGTTCAGCTGTTCACTTAGTTTCATTTCTGTAATCATCCTGCTTTTGTAAGAACTTTGTTTCATTTCTGTTAAATGGAAATGGAGGGAGAATGCTCCCTTAGCTCAAAAAAAAAAAAACTGTTCACTTGTTCAGGAATTTCATCGAGCAGGTACCGTGCACAGGAGTTAGCCTATTAAGCTTCATTGTTAGCGGTTACTGGAACTGTAGCCCCACGATTTACACAGCGAGGCTCGCAAACGATAAGAGACATGAGGAGGAAGAAGCAGTACATGGATTCGTCGTCGGGGTGGGCGAGAACGAGGAGGACATTCCGGCTCATCCTGTCGCCGCGAGGAGGGGAGAGGAAGGTGGAGTTGGCAGGCAGACACGCCGGCGAGGAGGAGGAGAGCACCCGCCCCAGAGAAACCGCCCACAGGAGCACGGCCCCCGCCGCCATGAGCATCCAGATCCACGCCATAGCCTTCTCCGGCGGCCGCGCGCGCCACTCTTCCCCGTGCCTGTGTGGCTGCGCGGTGGTGGACTGGCCTCTCGTCGGTCTCCTCGAGTTCTCGCCGACGCCCAGCTCGCCGCCTTCCTCCCCCGTGGCGCCACCGCTCGCCGGTGGGCTCCTCGTCCCCTCGACGTCGACGACTTCCGGCGACGAATACGGTGTGACAGCGCTCATGGCGTGAGAAGTGGCTTAATGGGCCAGTGCTGGTCGGCCCATTTAAATGAAGAAACGGGCCGGTTGGATTGGGTACTGGGCCTTGCATCCGGCCTGGAGCCCACCATCCTGTTTCTAATTTTCGTATGGATTAATTAAGGATCGTATTAATGTCATTTCAAACCATACTATTTTCTTAAGTAAAGTTAACAAAGATACGCATTCATTTAGTTTTTTAACCAAACTTTGGTAAATATAAAATAAATCATGTCAAAACTTGACAATATTATCAAATTGCCAAAATTTGGTAAGGTTTATTTTGGCTCCCCTAAACAAGTGGTTAATTACTTAATTTAGGTGGACAAATCGATAATGTAAGCCTGTGGTTTTATTGCATGATTTGTCGGGTAAAAAAAAATTACTAATTGTACATCACTTGACAGGCCTCTCTCACTGAAAGCTGAAACCCCCTAAACCCCGAAGAAATTAACAGTTGAAACGAATGGGTAAATAATAAACTCAGACGAGGCCGACGAGCTTCTCGCTGAGGTCCCAGAGCTTCCTGGCCTTCTCCGGGTCGCTGGCCTCCTGCGAGAGCTGGTTCTCGAACGACGCCGAGTCCTTGTTCCAGCTCCAGTACACGCCGGACTTGGTCAGGCTCGGGTCGCCCACCACCTGCGCCAGCCGCTTCCCGGACTCCGCCTCCGACACGAACCCCTTCGTCACGAACCGCTGGAACGGCGGGAACAGCAGCCGGAACAGCGGGATGTGCTCGCGGAACAAGCCCGTCGTCGCGATGCACCCCGGGTACAGCGACGCGAACGTGATCCCGGTCTCCTCGTGGAATCTCCGGTGGAACTCCTGCATCGTCAGCATGTTACAGATCTTGCTGTCCTTGTACGCCTTGGCGCCGTCGAAGCTCTCCGCGCCGTCGATCATCGCCGACCCGTTCTGCCCGCGGAGCCCGCCGGCGAGCCCCCGGAGGTCGCCTAGCCCGGCCTTGGGAGGGACGTTGCCGGCGAGGGTGTTGGTGTTGCCGGTGATGGAGCCGAGGATGATGAGCCGCCGCGACGGGTAGTCGGATTTCTTGAGGTCGTCGAGCATGAGGCGGGCGAGGAGGAAGTGGCCCAGGTGGTTCACCCCGACGCTCATCTCGTACCCGTCGGCGGTGAACGTCGGCTGCCGCGCCGTCGGCCGGTAGATGGCGGCGTTGCACACCAGCGCGTCGAGCGGCATGCCGGAGCGCCGGAAGTTGTCCACGAACTGGCGGACGCTGTCGAGGGAGGCGAGGTCCAGGTGCATGACGGTGTAGCTCCCCGCCGCCATCCCCGCCGCCTTCGCCGCCGTCGCCGCCTTCAGGAAGTCGCGGCACGCCATCACCACGTGCCACTTCCCCGTCTCCGCCAGCGCCTTCGCCGCCGCGAGCCCGAGCCCCGACGACGCGCCGGTGATCACCACCACCCCCTGCCGCAGCGTCTTCTTCCCGTCCGCCTTCGACGTGCCCGCGCCGGGGCTCGCCACCGGCGCCGCCGGCGTCGCCACCGCCCTCACCACCAGCGACGGCTTCTTGGCCTTCTGGCTCACGCTAAGGAACCCCGGCTCCTTCACCACCGCGCTCAAGTTACCCTGATCAGTCGTCACACATAATCCAATCAAAAACTTGTTCAAAATGCACAAACTTCACACAAATAAATCCATTTTTGACAGAATTCAACAATGCAGATGATTTTTGGGTGCGCATTGTTACCTTCTTGGGGACAGAGAGAGCAGAGGGCAGGAGTGCGGCCTGAACTTGGAGAGCCATTGGTGTGAGTGTTTGAGTTTGGAGTGAGCTCAAGTGTACTATGTTTCTGGTGTCCTTTTGCTTCGTGTTGGTGACCAGCAAGAGTGAGTTCCGGAGGGTATTTATACACGGACCCGAGGAGCGAGGAGCGCCACGGGCTAAGGATAAGGGGGTGGGCCCCCCACCACGCTGGACGCCTCCCAGCCAATCGCAGCTCGTGCCTCGGATTTTCCGCTACGATTTTTTTCCTTCGAGATATTGTCCTGTGAAAGCGACACGTGGTGGGATATTTTTTCGTAACCGACACGGGGGACAGCGACGTCGCGGGATCTTCTGCGCATGGCTGCCCGTAACATATGGTGACGTGGCGTTGTGTGATTGGGTCGTGGCTATCGCGACCCGTGTGCGGTGTTTGGGCGTGGAGGACGGGATGGGAGTCGCAAATAATGCAGCATGGGAGGTGTGGGCCACTGATGGGTGGGACCAGATAGGGCAGATCTGTCGTTTTGCGTGGGAAGATGACGCGAGTTCGTGCCCATGTGAACGTGCGGTAAACGACTGGCTGTGGCCGAGACACGTAGGAAAGGCCCATTGGGTCTGTGCTGACTTGGCAACCGACGTGGCACGATATCCGTTGCACTTTTCATCGCCTCTTCTTGGTGTCAGCATCGCAGCATTGGTAAGATTTTCTTTTCATTGACAAATACAGTACAAAAGTAGGTGTTCATAAGGCGCGTAGACTCATCCCTATAAACACACATATGCACACTCTATCCTATAAATATATTGAAAAACTAAGTTGGGAGATTGACGAAATCACCACCGACGGAATAAGATTTAAATCAGCTGAGGATAGTGTAGTACTCCCTCCATTACTAAAAGACCATCTTTCAACTTTAACCAGTTACTGGTTAATCTGACCAGTAACTTGACCCAAATTTCAACTTTTTACGCTAACGCATAAAAGAATTACACGTCAATATATTAGCAAGGAACAAATTTCACTTTTCAAGTTGCAACTTGCAGGTAGTACGAAACTATTTCTAATCTCTGTCCAAAATGTCAGGTAAAGTGGTAATGGCTTGCATGAAATGCGTACACCAGTCTCAGTTCTGAAATGTCTTACTAGCAGTTAAGCCAAGTATACTTTTTTCTAGGTGAAGTTAAGGGCATGCTCAGCTTACTTGGTCACAACTGCAAACACAAGAGAGTTTTTGCTGATGGTTATCGCTGTTGCATTTGTGTTGCGCTGCAGCTGCGACCAACTCAATCATGCAAGGCCTAGCAAGTACTTGATGCGGTTGTGCGGAATAGTGCATTGTCTTTTTGGTTATGCTTATCCGCATAGTTTATTAACAACCAAATAGTATATATTATAAGTAAAAATTTATACATGTGTCTATAGCAATTTAAAAGCAAACGCCATAAAATAAAAATACGATGAAAAATCATAAAATCATATCAAATTAAAAATTTAAATTTAAATTTTAGCTTACAAATATAAGCATAAGCAAAAATGATAAGGCTATTCGATCCAGAAGCTGTCTCTCGGCGAACAAAATGAACACCTGAGAGACAAAATGAACAAAATGAAGCAAATCTTCTAATTAAGCCCAATACGTTTCATTTCCAGGAGGCCCATTGCTATGGGCCCCATCACTTCCTCATGCAGGCCACAAAAACCTGGGCTAATTACCCACAACAAATAAAGCCCAATTGCCCATGAGGCCATTCAACCCAGAGATTCAACCAAGATGCATGACGAGTTGCCCTCTGGTCGTTATCGTCCTAATCAGACGGTGCCTATTTTAGCTTCCTTCTCCATCAGGATCTCGCTGGAAAGTCCAACTTACCTACATCAGTATATGACATTTTTCATTCACATCAATCTTAGCAAGCATGACATAATTTACTATATGATATTATAGACCGTCGTACGCTCATACTAATGTGATTATCTGCTGATGATGGACATCGACCAGCACACTCGTCCTTATCGTTTGACCAAAATGACCTGATCCAACTAATCATATACATGCGAGATCCTGTGTACTATAGTAATGTATTGTAGCGCTAATTAAATTGAGATGATGGGCGAAGAGGCGTGCTTGGTCGAGAGAGGTAGGATGCGTGTGTCCACGAACAATAGACCAGGGTTCAGCTTAAAATGTTTAACTAGACGCATGCAGATGCAGAAGCTTGCGAGTTGTTCATATGATAATTATTAATTCAGAATATATTACAGCTGATCGATCGAGCTGGTAGCTACTGTAGCTAGCATGCGGCCGCGATTCCGATCGATCCATCAGCTGGGCGTCGCCGTCGCCGGTAACATTGGTCGGTAGGACACCGGATTTTAAAAATGTTGATGGTTTCTGAAGCAACACCCAAGTGTTAATTATTGGAGTATATTGTGTGTAAGAGTGACAGGTGCTACCAAAAAAAACGCTGTTCAATCTCCCGTAGGAGCATATTACTAATTGCTAGCTGATGATCTATGATTAAGCTCTGACTGACTTCTCGGGGGTCAGCAATGCTCGAAGCTACTAGAATACAATTCCGTTCCCAGCAACTTGTGAACTTTTAGCTAGCGATCGAGGAATAAAAGCTAGATGATCGAGCAAGTTCTGAACATTGTTGGGTTGGTGTGTGCATGACATGTGCTAATCCTAACTGATGTAATTGGGATCGGACTATGTGCATTCGTGGCCAGTAGAATTGGAAGGCTCCACGGCGCTCGAGTCAAGGCGCACGCGCGGGCATGGTATGGTGGTCAGGCATCGGCAAACGACAGACAAGGCAGCCAGGCAGAGCACGTTGTGCGTACTCTATATCCACCGAAAGCTAGTGCGTGCCGTCTATGTTCTGTATTGACACAAGTACTATCTTTCTATTCTAAATATATATATTTATCTTTCTATTTTAAATATATTGTATATATCGTTGTTAAATTTTTTATAAATGTTTAACCATTTATTATATTTATTTTTCAAAAAATATAAAAGATATACTCCCTCCGTCCCAAGAAAAGGCAAACCCTGGGTTTCCATGTTCAACTTTGACTGTCCGTCTTATATAAAATTTTTTTATAATTCGTATTTTTATTCTTGTTAAATGATAAAACATGATTAATATTTTATGCGTGACTTGTCTTTTTAATTTTTTTTATAATTTTTTCAAATAAGACGGACGGTCAAACGTTGGGCACGGAAACCAGAGTTTGTCTTTTTTTGGACGGAGAGAGTAAGTTGCTTCATCCGTTACACAATGTAAATTATTTTAGTATTTTTCATATTTATATTGATGTTAATGAATCTAAAAATACTGGAATGACTTAGATTGTAAAACGGAGGAAGTATGTTTGAAGAGCCTTCAGTATGTAATGAATTAAGTCATAAGAACTTAAATAAAAAATATCAGCCGCACGCGCACGCTCACGCACCACCTTGTTTCGCGGGCCGAGCGTCATACAAGGGAGAGCGTGATGCGTGTCTCTCGCATAACGACATCGTTACGTTCACACGAATAAGCAGCATTCACAATAGGCGATGGCAATCACAGGATAAAAAACACAATTATATATCAGTCCAATTGTTCGGGCTCGTATGGAGAAACCGCGCTCTCAGTAAACAAACCAAGCCAAAAAAAAAATAAGATTCTAATTTGAAACTAACATCCTCTAGTAATTTACTATGGGCTACATACGGCGGCCGAAGTATCAAAGTAGACTCATATCAGTTGACGGGGTGTTGACAGGTTAATTATTTTCCAAGTTTAGTCGCTTCATGGTTGCCGATAATTGATCAACCCACCCGGTCAGAAATCCCAGCCGCAGAGAATTCAGATTCCAATTTACTGCTTTTCACGAGCTACAGGGCGGCAGCGCGCTGATGACAAACCAAACCACGGATGCATGCGCCGATCCGACGAGATGCACTGCACGTATGCACGCACCGTGGCTGCGTCGGCCGACAGGTCGCGGTGCGCGTGTGCCCCGCGCGGCGAGCAGCGGGCAGCCCGAGCTGGGGCCAGCAGCCGACGCGCTGCACTGCACTGCACTGCAGAGAAGCGAGCGAGCGAGCAACGCATTCGATTCGATTCGAGAGTAGGAGAAGCAATGCAAGGCGGGGGGCGACGGTGACAGCGCAATATTTCGCGGAGGCGGGGCCCGTCCCGTGGAAAAGCCGCCACCGACCAAGACCCCACACCCGCATCCGTCCTTTTTCCCCAACTCCACCGCCCGCCAACCCAGCCACGCACACCCGTCCTCCTCCTCCGCCCGCGTCCCCATCCATCCATCCATTGCGCCGAGAGATCGATCGATCGATCGAGCGAGCGCTAGAACCTGCCGAACATGAGGATTAAGATGTAAATTAAGTGTTTTTATATAAAACGAGATGATAATAATGTGTGATTAATTAAGTTGTAATTATTATAAACTTAAAAAATGGTTTAATCTAATATTTTAGAACAACTTTCATGTAAAAAGTTTTTACACGAAACGCACCGTTTAGCAGTTTGAAAAGTATTACTTTTATCTAAAAATTTATCCAGCTTTAGTTGGAGATTCGAACAGGGCCGTAGTAGGAGATGAGCGAACCTGGCTGGCTGCCACGCACGCAGACGCAGGAATGCGTGACACGGGCGTGCCCACCGTATAGTGTGCTGCTGACCGATCGAGCTGGCTGGTCATCCAGCCGGGATGGATCCACGCCAGCCAATCCCAGTGGCCAAGATCACTGTACGATTTACACTGTATTCTGCATGACTACTAGAGGCAGGAGCAGTACGTCCACGGTCCACGTACTTCGTACACTAGGAGCATGCATGCATGCTGGTAGACTGGTTTGTTGGTACCTAGTAGTACATGTAGATTGCTCGGGTGAAAATGATAGACGATCAAAATCCCCACCAATCGTGTATCTCGTTAAGTTAAAAGTAGTACTGTAACGTTTTCTTTATCGTTTTGTTCTAGCTATGTGTAAATTCTGTTTTTTTCTCCAGTTTTTTTTAGTGTCGTATTGCGCTAACCAATAGCTAAACGATTTTGCTAGATATTTATCATCAAATTTCTCCCCCTAATATTTGTCAGATGTAATTACAGTACAATTGTAGTGTAACTTGCATGTAATTACAGTACAATCGTAGTGTAATTACACTGTACCTATAATGTAACTTCGAAGAATCTCTCGATAACATGTTATTTCAGTAAAATAGAGGTCGTGGGAACAAATCCTTTCACATATGTGTGTGCTGTGATTTTTTTCTTCCTCACTAGAACAAATCTTGTAACAGATCTAACGATTCAAAATTACGTGAAACTTACATACAAGTTACACTGTAGTTACATACAAGTTACAGTGTAATTACATACAAGTTACAGTGTAATTACATTACGATTGTACTATAATTACATCTGTCAAATTTTTAGTAGAAAATTTGTCGACAAATGTATAGTTGGTCCCATAGCTAAATCGGATATGAAAATTTTCAACTGACCGAGAATTGTTGAGTTTTTTTTCGAACGCGCAAAAGAATTGCATGCCAATATATTAGTAGAAAAAAAGAGTGCTACGCACTCAGGCCCCGTTTAGTTCTCCAATTTTTTTTTCTAAAAACATCACATCGAATCTTTGGACACATGCATAAAACATTAAATATGGATAAATGAAAAAACTAATTGCACAATTAGGAGAAAAATCGCGAGACGAATCTTTTGAGTCTAATAAGTCCATGATTAGCTGTAAGTGCTACAGTAACCCACATATACTAATGACGGATTAATTAGGCTCAAAAGATTCGTCTTGCGGTTTTCAAGCGAGTTCTGAAATTAATTTTTTCATTCGTGTCCGAAAAATCCTTCCAACATCCGGTCAAATATCTGATGTGATACCTAAAAATTTTCTTTTCACAAACTAAACATACTCAGTCAATTGTTGAGTAGAAATGCTATCCTTCCGACCGTTTTCATCCCTGAACGCATGTACGTCTGGTGCGGTGCGTTGCTCTGCTCGTGTGGCCAGAGGCAAGAGGCACGCATCGCGAACCGTGTGTACAGGGCTAGCTAGCTTAGCGAGGTGGTACAAGTTGAGGAAAGCTTAACGCACAAGGAGAGTATATCTCGCTGCGTCAGGCGCGGGCTCCACCGGCGGCCGCCCGCCACCTTCCATTCCTTCCTTCCTCGCGCCTCCGTCTATATATAGCAGCTATGCCAAGCTCGCTCGCCTAGCCTAGCCGGTCCACGACGAAAACCAACACATCACCAACTGCTCAGGCATAATTGCTTTGCCGCCCTCCAGGTCGGACTGACTGCTACGTCTCTGTCTACGTATACCCCAGCCTCCTCGTCGTCGTCTCGTACTAGGATCTTGCTACAAATAGCCGGCTGCTTGCTAGCTTTAGCTTCTTCCTTCTCCCGAGAGAGACGATCGAGATCACGCGCCCACAGAAACTGCAGATTAAGCGGCAGAGATTGTAGATAGCGCGAGGTTATTAAGGCCAGCAGTCTGACCGCGCGCGGCATGCCCTTCTGCTGCTGCAACCGACCAAATGGCTCCTGCGGTTGCCTCCTCCCCGTCACTCGTGCTCTCCGCCGCCGCCGCCACCGCCTCCAACAAGCGCCCGGCCGATTCCGACGCCTCGCCGCCGCACCAGGTCAGTTAATTACTCGGTTACATACTTAATTACACTTGCAGATGCAGTTGCATATTAGCTGTGGAAGTGTGTAGGGATATACGTGGTTTTTAGCTAGTGTTGCTGTTTCTGGAGATTTGTTGAGAATGTAGCGTGGCTCGCTCTTTCTACTTTCTAGAGTTTGTGTTTAGCCGTTCTCTGGCATAAGTCGGTCTGACTGATTGTGTTGTGTAACTACAATTTTTTTATTCTAATATACTACGTGTAATCTTTTTTGCGTGTTCACGAAAAAAATGAAGTGCGTAGGGATCGGCCAGTGATGTGGATGTGGTTTTTGATTTGCAGGGAGATCGCACGGGGCAGCAGGAGAAGAAGCAGCAGCAGCTGGAGTGCCCGCGCTGCCGATCCACCAACACCAAGTTCTGCTACTACAACAACTACAGCACGTCGCAGCCGCGCCACTTCTGCCGCGCCTGCCGCCGCTACTGGACGCACGGGGGCACGCTCCGCGACGTGCCGGTGGGCGGCGCCTCTCGCCGCGGCGGCGGCGGCAAGCGCCGCAGGGTCTCCGCCGACGCCGACCCTTCCTCGGCGTCGCCGCCGCCACCCACGACTTCCACCACGGACGCGTACGCCGACCTCCCAGCCGGCTTCCCGTTCCTCAGTGACGGCGCCTTCCTGCCGCAGTTCGGCCTCGCCGGCGTTGCGCCGGCCGCGTTCTCTTGGGCATCGGCTGTCCCTGACTTGTACAACTGCGGGATCGCGCCGTGGGACGATGGAACGGCGGTCACCGGCGCGGCGTGGGACAACTTCGCCGACATCGCCGGCCTTGATCTCAGCTGGCCGCCGCCGGGTAACTGACGAACAGTACACAGCTGGTCGCTCGTGTTTTGGGGGGCTCCGGTTTTAGCAAAGCAGCCTCAAGTAGTGCGTTCTTCGATCGGTATGCAGGTAGTGTGTTCTTCGATCGGTATGAAGTATATTTTGCTGAGCTAGGGATTATGATATAATTATTGGGAATGTAATTAAGCAGCTCAATTATCCAACGTGGTGTTTGCAGTTTTCTTCTCTCACCAATTTCATACGCTTGCACAATGATGTGGTGATTATCATTGGGATCAGTGAATCGTGATCTGTAGCTGGAAGATGTGTTTACGTATGTGCAGTGTTAATGACAATAATAAGAGTTTGTTGCCATCAAGATTCTAGCATGTGCTCCTAGTAATTAAATGAACTGTAGAATGCTGAACAGTGTAGTTCAATAAAAGCCATACTGGGAGGGAAGATTGCACAATGGATTATCATGGAGTTAGAAATTATCTTCATATATCAATCAGTGTATAACCAAGAAACAATATATGAACAAACAAATCGATGTATTGGTTGTTAACCATACAATTACACAAAGCCTTGTATCAACAGAGGGTAAAAAATAGTGTGGTGCTTAGCAAGTTGGATTGAGCTACTGGGGCTCCCAACCTGACAGCGAAACAGGGAAATCTTTTAGCTAGTAAAAGAACTAGGTGAAATGGAGAAAAAACTAACGATATCTATACAGTAAACAAACGGACATCTCTGAATATTCTCACACTAGCTTTACACTTGAACCGGGAAGCCGAAATTCTGGAACACCCTAATTTCACCACCCCTTCCTGCAGTGACAATCACCAATCCCCAAGCTGACCGGCGCTGAACATCCAAAGCTCCAATGCAAAGGTCGGATGAGCAGTGACCAGGACTGCTCTTGGCAGACGATTGTTTCTCGTCAGGCCAGGACGTTGATACTCCATCCGCTGGAGGATTGCTTGTGCTTGCAACACCTTCACAAACTGGGCGCTTGGTGCATCTATTGACAGTGCCATTCAGATCATGCTCACTGTTCTCTACAGGGGCATCCCGACCCGTGTTCATCACTGCATCGTCTGAATCACTGTTTCTGCTGCTACGGGACCCGAATGAGCCACGGGATTCAGCGCCGGGCCATGTGATAGCCACAGTGACATCATGGCAATGGAAATGCTCATATGAGTTGGTTACATCAACTGCACTCCTGCTTCTGCTCGGATGGGAAGTATTGTCATGCCTCCAGACATACACGTGGGAGTCCTCACTGGCACAGACCACATATTTCCCGTTTGGAGCTACAGAAGCGGATATTTGGCTACTTGTATTTCGGAACCCTGGTGAAAAGATCAAATAAAATGTAAGTGAAACAGTATAAATACTGGCCTACTGAGTGAGCTAATGCACCAATCAAGTGCACAGTTCTTGTGATTAGGGCCTGGTTTAGTTCCCAACTTTTCCATCACATCAAAACTTTCCTACACACACAAACTTCCAACTTTTCCGTCACATCGTTCCAATTTCAATCAAACTTCCAATTTTGGCGTGAACTAAACACACCCATCGGGGGAAATTGGGGAAATGGAACCTATGATTTGATCTGTGAACATGTTAGGAACTGAGGTAAATAGGTGGGATGTGGGGGTTTTCCAAAGTATGAATCACTTGAATTTGGGTTACTTACTACTTTAAATCGGCCAGGTTCCTTCTAGGTGTTCTACATCCGTCAACGTCTAGAGGATACACAAGTACAGTGAATGAAGCATTACCTTTAAATTTGTGAACGAGTTCATCACCATTAACAACACGGATTCTTGAATCTGCAGAGGTAATCAGGACTTCCGACGAGCTTCCAGGAGCAAACTGTATGAAGTAGAGATATTTAGCATGTACAAGAGGCATCAGGCTAACATCTAACTATTAGAGTACAGACCACTCTTTCTTAACAAATGTCCGCCACGCAATTATGCACTACCTGGAAGCCAGTTATCTTCTTCTGGCCAGACTTCTTCTTCCTGATTCTTAGTTCTATCTGACTTTTGTACTGAAGCTTCTTTTCTGAAAAGACAAAATAAATGTGCAAGCTCATTATTGAGGGAAGGCAAACTCTAAAGTCTCTACTCTTGTTTCCTTTGAGATCATGCTATTTTATAGCTACACAAATAGGAACTCTTAGCTAGAACCTAAGATTAGATTGGGGAATAACTGCACTGAGAGACATACCAGTTGTATCAAATAAATGACAGCTTCCCTTGTGTGATCCCACCAGTGCAACCTTCAAAGGCACAAAGAAATATAGAGTAAGCACATTGTGTTTTATGGCCAATAGATAATCATTCACTAGAAACTAGGTCAACCTGTCCATCAGGGGAGTAACACGCAGCAGTGACCATCTCATGAAGATCATTCCAATCCTCAATCTTACGATCATGTACATTCCAAATGCGTACTTTTTCATCCAGTGATCCACTAATGAAGAAGTTATCATCCACGGGATTGAACTGGATGCAAGTCACTGAAACAAATTTGAGTGCAGCGGAGTAATTAATTGTCAGGCTGCTCCAAACATATACATGGTTACTGAAGAAAGGTGTTCATACATAGAAAATGACCCTGTAGCTAGACTTACCATAGTCTGTGTGTGAAAATGTTTTCAGACAGGTACTAGTAGTAATGTCCCATAGTTTAACAGTTTTGTCCATTGAGGATGAAAGCAAGTACTGCATGATAAAAAACCAAACAACCAGTTAGCACCTCCATATAGTTGTATTCAGTTTAAACTGGTTTTCTTTCAAACTTCAAAGACATCAATTTACAATGGGCTTGTTTTACAAACTTCAGATGTGAAGTCCATGTTCATTGATTAGCAACTAATGGTTTCATTGTTATATATTCCATTCAGTGAGTAAGTGAATTAGGTTAAGGAATGAGTGAAATTCTTTCAATTACAGATTAGAATAGTTAACAAGTTTGAATGCAGCTCGTAATAAAAAAAGTGTCATAAAAGCCAATCAAAAAGCAGGGGCAAAAGCTAAATATGCATATTTTGTATAGTATTTATGTGTCAAACCTAAGTGACCTTAGAACAACAGAAAAGACACAAAAGAGATTGCAGAAGTACAAGATGGATAATACAGATTTGCTGCTCATGTATTTGAATTTGACCACTACATAGATCCCGCAGATTAAGTGTATAGGTGATATTTGCAAATTCGTGGGAGTGCAGATGAATTATACGTGATAATGTCAGATGCAAACAAAACAATTATTTCCAATGAGGATTATCACCACATCATTTACGACTATGCTTTACGCTTTTCCTGTCAAAGTACAAATCACAATCGCACTGTACATGGCATTTACGAATAGGGATTTGTAAACCATAGTCCATATATGAAGTATATACCGTCAAGACAAACAATTATCATGGAATATCAGTAGGGCCTATTTCAAGCATATGCAAGAGTGTTGACAAAACCACATTTTGAGTACCCGTCAGCTCAGTGGCCAATGGAACACCACTGATTAGGCAGCAAAATCTGATTAGAATTTCTTCGGGCCTATCAAGAAAATGAGTGGACTATGATGACTGTTTTCAACAGTTTGTATATTTTGGTCATTGACTATCCGATCCCCCCCCCACCCCCCCCCCCCAAAAAAAAAAATCCAACCAACATACGAAGGCAATTAAACAACAGATTTGTTCCTTAATGTTGCAGTTGCATTGACAACAGATCAATCAGGATGACAAAAAAGTAAGGGAAAAAACAGATAGATCACGATTCAATTATACTATCTCAGTAAAATCTTCCGAGTAAATCACAATAACAGTCCTATAATTATAAAGGCTGAGTAGAAAAATCATAACAACCAAACTAAGTTATGCAAAACAATTCCACATACAGATCTTTATAGCTGAAGTGTGAAAAGATTAGGATCAAGTAAGAGTGCTGTTTCCCAGGTTACGAGGCATGGCAATGATACATATTTCACAGACAGGCCAATGAAGTCAAAGAATAGACCATCCTAGCAAGTTGAAACAAATTCACGCCTAGTGCAAGAATCTTTCACCAGTGCAAAACTGTAGTGCTCAACAACCACTCAACCAATTTCACTTTTCTATCAGCAAGATGTAGCCAAATGTTGCATGCTGAAGCCTACGCTCAATTACTATGGCAAAATGACAAAATGCATTGTTTTCCAAATAGCCCGTTGATTTGATCTTTAGCCTTTTTAACAATGCGGGCCTTACTGCCGTACTAAACATCATCAAAACAACAAACGACTTCTTTTCTGTCCTACTATCTAGACAACACTAAAACGAAACATAACTTTTTCCTTGTTGCCCTGAAGAACAAGGCAGTGTGATGGTTTATTATTGTGATTTTTTAGAACATATGCCAGAGTGCCAAAAGTTATGATTTAACAGTTTAACATTCAATCGAAAGATCACAAAGTTCGCACCTGAGATTTGGACCATGATAGATCAAGAACATCGGCGGCGTGACCCAATAGAGAGCATACTGGTTTATCTCTGAACCCAAACACACATTCAGGCACAACTAGATGATCAGAGCCAACAGACTTCCGGCTGCTTTGCATCCTTGGCCTCCTCTTCTTCTCCACAAAACCCCCGTCAGCACAGCTCAATGACAATGTTGCCAGCTCCGGCGATCCATTCCCAACAGCTGCAAGAAACGGGCTGCAGCCACCACCGTTCTCCCTTGCCACCGTACCTTCCCCGAGCAATTCTCCCTTTCTTTCTCCCTCTGATACCTCCCACACATGGATGACACGGTCCTCGCCAGCGCTTGCAAGGTATCGTCCATCCAAGCTGAAGTTGATACACCAGATTGAGCCCGAATGGGCAGCCAATTCTTGTGTCATGAACAGCCCGGTGAGCTCCTTGCACGCCTTCCCATACTGCCGCACCCTGACCCTCCCTGCATTGCGCGAGCCGTTGCCGTCAAGGCTGTCATCGGTGGCGGAGCTCAGGCGCCGCGCTTCCCTCTCCTTCTTCTCCTTCTCCTTCTCCTTGTCCCTCTCATCGGTGCTGCTGCGCCCGTATGCAACGCTTCCCGCCAGGTGCCGGATGCCACGCAGCCAGCCTCCAGGCTTCCTCCGTGGCTTGGATGCTGGGGCGGCGTGGTCGGAGGTGGAGGATGATGCGGCTGTGGTGGCCCGGCGCATGAGCTCTTGGACGATCGGGGAGCGGCCAATGCAGAGCTCGAACTCCTCGAAGGTGAGCTGCCGGCCAGTGCCGACCTCCCGGACCACCTCATCGTGAACCTCCCCGACCTCGAACTCCGTACCGTCGTCCAGGTTCCGGATCCGGCATTGCTCCGCGCCGCCGCTCGGGTTCCTCGCAAGCGGCGGCTTCCCGTGGCCGCTGGATCTGGGCTCCTCCGCGGCGGCCACCACGGGAGCCGGCCGAGGCGGCGACGAGGACGGGGGGGAAGGGGTCGGCGAACGAGGGGAGGAGGATGATACGCGTGGGGACGGGTGCGGCAGGGGCTCGGAGTCGTGGGCGAGGCCGAGCCGACGCAGCAGCACGCGGCGGCGCTCCTCGACGGATGTCGGCTCGGAGATCCAGACCTCGTACGCGGAGAACGTCGCGGACGACGACAGCTGCTGCGGCTGCGGGTGGTGCCGCCGCCTCCGCCGGTGCTGCTGGTCGTCGTCGTCGGAGGCGGACGTGGACGAGCACGACGACGACAGGATCCGATCCAGCGACTCGTAGAACTCCTCATCCTCCTCCTCCTCCTCCTCCTCCTCCTCCTTCTCCTCCATCTCCCTCCTCTCCGCCGCCTCGTCGCCAACCGGATCCATGTGGCCCGCCGCCGCCGCCGCAGCCTCCGGCATTGCGACACCCTCCCCTCCGGCGAGGCGGCCGCGCGCAAATGGGGATTTATATGTGGCGAGGAGGTTTTGGTTTTGGATTATGGTGTGGGTGTTTGTCTAGTTCGTGCGGGGTGCGACGTCGTCGGCGTGCAGTTGGAGTTGGGAAGACAACAACGAGGGCGCCATTTGGATCAACAAGTCTCCTCTCTCATCTCCCTCGACTTTGGACTTTGCAGACGACTCGACTCGACTCGATGATGATGGAGGCGCCGCCGTGGCAAAATTGCTGCTGATCCCTAGTATCAGGGGGATCGGAGGGTATATCCTTGCCGGGGGCTGGGGACAATGACAGGTGGGGCCCCCGGGGAGGTATCGGGCCAAAATTAGCCGGACCGCTCGATTAGATAATGCGAAATGTGCATGCGTCATTTTGAGGCATGGAACATAGGATACATATCCTGCCTAGGATCAAGATGTCTTGGTTTATGACATTATTAATTTTGTGATGCTAATAATGTTTCATGCTAAGAATTTGTTCGTGGTTAGGTTAACTCTTGTGTAGTATCAATGGAGTAGTAGTATCGCTCTTTGTGTGGTTGCCAGTAATTTTCCCCTCTCCAACAACCAATCACATCGTTTCTACTGTGCACTTAGGCCTCTCACAGTGCCGCACGTTTTGTACCACTAGCAATTTCATTTTTCAGATGAAGGTCCAGTTTAGATAAAAACATCACATCGAATCTTTGGACACATGTATAGAGCATTAAATATAAATTAAAAAAACTAATTGTACAGTTAGGAAGAAAATCGCGAGACGGATCTTTTAAGCCTAATTAATCCATGATTAGCCATAAGTGTTAGAGTAACCCACATGTTCTAATGACGGATTAAATAGGCTCAAAAGATTCTTCTTGCGGTTTCCAAACGAGTTATGAAATTAGTTTTTTTTATTCGTGTCCGAAAACCCCTTCCGACATCCGGTCAAACATTTGATGTGATACCTAAAAATTTTCTTTTCGCGAACTAAACACACCCGACGGGTTTTGATGGGAGGGTTTTGTACTCCCCACATTAAATGAACTTATTGGGAAAACTTCAATCAAATCTTATCCTAAACGTTGATCGGAAAGAGTAGCATATTTCCGTGGTGGAGTTGAAAAGAAAAAAAAAACTTAGGTGCTGTACCTGTGAAGATTGAAATCAGAGTTTTTCTTTAAAAGAAAAATCAGAGTATATATAATAGTTACAGTGAATCAGAGTTATGATACTGTAGTATGGATTAGGCAAAATAATTGCATTGCGTGCAGCTAGCAGCGGATGTCGGAGAAATCGAAGGCGCAAAGGTTCATGGTAGGGGTGTTATGTTAAGGCTTGTTTATATCCCCTCGCAAAATTTTACACCATGTTATGTCGAATGTTTGGACGCATGCATAAAGTATTAAAAATAAAAAATAAATAATTAATTACACAAATTGTATGTAAATTGCAAGACGAATATTTTAAGCCTAATTATGCCATGATTTGACAATGTAGTGCTCCAGTACACATTATTAACGACGGATTAATTAGGTTTAATAAATTCGTCTAGCGGATTATGTAATTTGTTTTGTTATTAGATTATATTTAATACTTTAAATATGTGTCCGTATACCCGATATGACACACCAAAACTTTATACCCCTGTCTAAATACAGCCTTAGGCCATGTTTACATCCCACCCTAAAATTTTTCACCCTATCATATCGAACGTTTGAATACATGTATGAAATATTAAATATAGACTAAAAAAATAACTAATTGCACAGATTGCAACTAATTTGCAAGACAAATCTTTTAAGCCTAATTCCTCCATGATTTGATAATGTTGTGTTACAGTAAACATCTGCTAATAACGGATTAATTAGGTTAATAAATTCATCTCGTGGTTTAATGATGGACTATGTAATTAGTTTTTTTATTAGTGCTTAAACACCTCATACGACACCCTATGTAAGACACCTTAAAACTTTATATCCCTATATCTAAACACCTCCTTTGTTAGTTTTTTTTTTAAGAACATTATATTAGCTGTATGCTGCACTCCGGTGCTGTGCCCGCACGTAGGACGAGATCGACGGATGGAATTACGTGGAGAGCAGTTCACTTCACGCGTTACCTAGAAACCAGCAGAGATTCAGATTTCAGAGGAATCAATCAATCATGGTGTTGGCCGGAGTTGGAGCCACGTTTGCGACGACGACGATTTCAACAAGTCAATTTGCAACTGTGCGATCCTCGCCGGCTAGCCGCGCCGACCGCGATGAACCCCAATGCACATTGGATCTGAGCCAATGGAGAATCAAAAGGAAAAAAAGGGTAAAATTAACAGAGATGATTAAAGCTAAGTAGCTAGCTAGAGACCGACCTGCAGTCCAGCTTGATTATTCTTTCGTCAGATTAATTAATCGTGCTTAGCTAATACGGAGTACTAGAGTAAGGCGCCGCGTCAGGCTCTTTCTTCTTCTTCTTCTTCCTGTGAATAAACATGCACATTCGTCAGTAGCCACCACCAACCTTGCACTGGATTAAAGAAACAGGGACTGCACGTTCTGGCTACCTTAGCTAGCTACGATTCGATCCTCTATCTGCACTCTGTTTGGGTTAATATATTTCTTCATTGGAGAGAAGACCACCTTAGTTCGCACTGATTAGATTCCAGCCTAGATCATTAGCGTTCGTGCGTGCGTGCATGCTTCTGTTCTTCCGTGGATCGATCGGAGGTTGGGTGGGTTAGTTGCTAGTACTTGCTACTACTACTTGCTGCTGAAAAGGTGGAAGGAATCCAAAGAGGATCATATCGCTGCTAGTTCATTCGTGCACAGGCACGCGGCTTAGTTAACCACTTAACCACCTCCTAATTAGATGTATCACTGTATGCTAGCTTTGACTATCTTTTAATTTCTTCAGTATTGACACATGCTGGTTAATGTCCACCCTAATAATTCCTAAGTTTATATGTATGTGCAACCACTAACCACCCCTTTGCATGTAGTGGCATATATTTCTGCAAGTTGAAGCTTTCTTTTGTAAGAAACAGGTGGCATACATATTATACATACATCCAGTTAGGTTAGCGTGGAAGCAAAGCAAAACACACGACACTGATTACCTAATTTCTTGTTATAAATACAACCCGTATGTATACGCAGAAAACAAAATTTGATGCAAAGAGCAACGGAAGGAATATTTGCAGGTTTCGGAATATCAACTATTCCTGATTACCTGTAAAGAAAAGTGGAGGCAGAATGCCCTGATTGCGGATTTTACACCAGTACTGATTCGATTATTAGCACAGTAGTCAAATAAGCAGCTAAGGTATGGGTTAGATTGCTCCCTAGGAGCAGTACAGATCCAAGATCTTTCAGTTGTTGTTCAGAGGTGGTAGCTCCTCTAGATTCTAGAAAGGCAGGGGCCAGCGGGAGCAGTTGTTCTTCAGGCCTACCACCACTCAACAATCTCCATGCATGATTCAGTATAGTCCTCGGCTTTTCAGACTAATAATCAGAGCGTGGTCACAGCAAGAAAGCAAGCATGTTGCTTGTCTTGTTCCTGGACCTACGTTTACCTACGCCCTGTTCGATCGAACGAACGATCGATCGATGCCATGGTGGTGAAAAATCATCATGTGCCAGCCACAGTGACAGAGACGCGATATGCAGCAAGCTAGGCGAGCCATCCATGGACGGATGGACCACGTAGGCGTGCAATGCAGTACTCCGATGCAGGTCCAGTCCCTTCACTAGTTAGTCCCATGGCCTTTTCTTCTCAAGCATGTTCATGGCTGGGGTCATGTATATAGGGTCTGTTTGGGATAGCTACTAGCTGCTGTAGCTTCTCATAAAATCTCCAGCTTCCCCCAAACAGTCCATATTGTCATCCATATTCTAAGAATATATAGTTGTGGAATCCAGAAAATGAACTAGAACTCAGAAGCTGGAAAACCCAGCTTCTCTAGATTCTCAGAAGCTGGCTATTAACCAGCAGATTCTCAGAATTTTAAGCTCTATGAGTTTGAGACAAAAAATTTAAGCTCTGTGTCCATGGGATAATCCATCGCCTATAGCTAGCACTAGCAGATCGTCTCGACGTGCCTTCCATATGAGCATATACAGTCATAACATACTGCTACTGCAAATTCAATCGACGACCATGACCGGGATTATTCAGAGTTTCAGACCAATCGATATCGATACAATGCCGGGATTTGCTGAGCACAAGGTCTTCGATCCACAAAGGAGACAAGCGGCATAATCGCATAATCTCAGGGAGGATTATTGGCTATTGCAGAACGAGACGAGAGGAAGTCGTCGTTCATCATGTGCGATTTACTCCGTAGCCGCCAACCTATGAAGATTATCATAATAGTAGCTTTTCTGCTCGACCACGACCATGCAGATTGGCAGATATGCAGACAGATCGATCCTCCGGTCACGTCAGATCGAGACCAAAACAAACAAGAAAAAGCCTACTGCTAGTAATTTAGTGCCAGGTAAAAGAAACATCCCGGCGTACGGCCGCATCCATGACAGTATGCACACTACACTATTCTGTTCTCCTCCATCTTGCCGGCCGGCCGGCCGCAACTGCCGCCGTTGTCGCCGGCAGAAAAAGTACTGAATTCTGTGTAATTGTACCACCCTCTTCTTCTACTACTACACATGTGTTACCTGAAGGGTGAGTAGCAGCAGTAGATTGGATTACTTAAAGGGCAAAGCGACAATGGCTTGCCGGATTGTGCAGGGACAGGCAAAGATGCGGCCTTCCGTGGCAGGGACAGCCAAGGATAACATCATAAACCAACCCTGTTTTTTATAACTGAACTTGAGCTCTGAAACACTGAACATAGAGAGGATGTGAGAAGCTTTTTGTTGTTGTGCCTGACGAACGGCGAGGCCGAAGGCATGCACCGACCACATCTCGGTCTCCTGGCTCCCGAACCGCACGCAGAGGGCTATCCTGCGTCTGCCTCCTGCTCGCGTCGCGGTTTCGCCATAAACAAAGCTGTGGTTTCGCCGGGAGGAGGCAAAGCATGGCGAGCCTGAAAGTTCTTGATTCCGTACGGGTCGAATCGTGTTGCCGGCAGAGTAGTATATGTTACGTTTACAGGTCTTTGTGTCGCAGGATCAACACAACACGATGAAGAACAGATCCAGATCAGTCTCTGAATTATGAACAGAAAGTAAGGAAAAAAAGTTAAGGTACGTGCGTATGTTCCGTTTCTGAATTCTGACACAAGAACAGGGAAAGGATTCACAAGGCTCACAAGACAAACAACACATCGATCCCCAAATTACACAGAAAAACTTCATGTCAATGTGGCCGATCTCACACAGAAACTTCAGGTCAGGTGGCCGATCAATTAATGACCATGAACGCACTCAACTAGAATACCAAAATACAGAGACATGAGCCACGCAGTTACAGATATACTCCATATACTACAGATACTGAGCAATGAGAATGAAATGTACAGAGTAGAGCAATCGAGGTATCAACGCGGGCGTCGAAGTCAGGGGGGATGCAAATGGCAAATGGATTGAGAACCAAGGTGCTGTCTGTCACTCTGTCTACATGCGGGTCATGCCGATGCCGCCGACAATGGGCGGGGGCACGGCGGCGGCGTGGCGGGCCTTGGCGAAGAAGAGGTAGTGGAGCTCGGCGAAGAGCGCGGTGAGGAAGGTGAAGGCGGCGCCGGCGGCGAACACGCCCTTGCGCAGCATCGCGCAGCGCGGTGGCCCGCTAATCACCAGCGTGCTGTACTTGGTGTGGTACGCGTTCCGCACCGACCCCGCCAGCAGGCACAGCTCCGCGATCACGAACGTGAACCTGTCCATAAATCCACCCACCATCATCAGCTCATCAATTCAATAAAAGCAATTTTACTATCCAACATTTGATATCTCAAGATACCACAATTTTTCGATATCTCAAGATACATTGTAGTGTAAAATTTGATGAAATTTTAACATCTAACATTTCCAACATTTGGTATCTCAAGTTATCATGTACCAAATTTTATATTAGAAATATCAAATTTAACACTAGAAAATATTTCGAGATACCAAACATTCGTAGTAACTCGAGATACCAAATGTTGGACGATAAAATTACTTAAATTTGATAGGTACCCAAATTTCGTGTATAAAATATGGTAAATATGGTACTTCGAGGTACCAAATATTGGATGATAAAATTGCTCATTCATTAATCCATTGCAGATTAGTACTAGTAATTTACTGAAACCAAGTCTCGTACTAATAACAAATTGGTTGATCATCCTAGGGACGCGACTGCAGAAAAACCTAAATTCTAAGGGCTTAATTGCAAACGGGCTAGTTAATCCAAGCTACGGAGGCAACGAAGAAGGGGAGCTAGCTAGCTAGCGTGATATGCTTAATTGCTGATTAAATTACCAGCAGACGATGAAGCAGAATCCGGAGAAGGCGCGCCACCGGCCGGGGGACAGCGCGCGGCCGCAGCAGAAGCAGCGGGTGACCACCATGACGACGGCCTGCCCGGCGAGCAGCAGCAGCAGCGCCCCGATGCCGTACCCCGTCGCCGCGTCGGAGCTGTACACGCAGTACTGCCTGCCGCTCGTGTCCTCGCTAAAGGTGGCCTGCATCGTTCCCAACCAGCTCCCTCTCGTCAGACGACGACGACGACGACGACCCATAGTATGGATTTCGCTAGCTATAGCTCACCGTGCTCCGGCGCTTCTCGGCGCCGATGGCGAGGACGAAGGCGAGGGCGTCGAGGACGAACACGACCACCACGAGGATTATGGACGCCATGGATGGATTCGAACTAATTTACGTACCTCCCTTAATTAATCCAACTTGGACTACTGATTCGTGCAGCGAGCGAGCCAAGAGGAGCTCTCACTTTCCTCTTGTTGCAGAAAGAGAGGAGGATTAGGACAAGCGAGCTAGGGAAAGATGGGGGCGTCAAAGACGAGAGGAAAGCTTAGCAGCAAGTCGAGGGAGATGAGGCGATGCACCACGTACACTGCTGCTTTGGTAGCCGGTGAAGGTGACATGTTTCACTCTAACCATTCTCGCGACTTTGGTGGTTCTGTTCCACTGGCACCTGCCTCCGGCCTCTAGCTGAGGCTGACGCGTGGGCCCCCCCGGCTCGCCACCAAAGTATTCGGCGTGGATGATTGGAAACGGTAGGCCAGTGGGAGTGGGATTTGGATGTGCTATCATATGCTCATGTACTCGCATTTTGGCTTTTATTAAAGCAGGTGTGGAAAATATTTTTCCCCTTTAATGTGGGTTAGTAATTAATTTGTTTTGCACCAAGGTCAGTAAAGGAAGCTTGGTGGCGCAGGAGGAATATTTTGTTTTTCCTTTAACTGGACCAGTTATTTCTAGGCACCTATGTTTTTTTATTATCGAAACCTAGGGTTTGTTCGCTTTATTACCAAATTCAGCCTGATTTTATTAGATTTTAGTAGCGTTGATGCATTTTCAAAATTTGGTAGCGTTTTTATAAGATAATGGTTTTGAAACTACTAGAATTTGATTATATGGTGTTGGTGAGGTAGCGTTTAGTTTATTACCATACCAAATTTGAAAAAAGTGGCGATAAAGTGAAACGGCCAATAGAATTCGTTCCGATCGTATGGCCTGCAGCTGATAATTGCTGTAAAATTGCACGTCCGAATAATTTTGGCTGAAAAGCAGGTACAGGAAATATTTTTCATTCCATCTACGTGGGCGAGTAATTAATTTGTGTTTCACCAAGGTCAGTAAAGGTAGCTTAGTGGGGAGGAATATTTGTTTTACCTCTACCTGCGATCGGACATTAACCAGTTACTCCTAAGCACTGCCTCCTCCGTTCCAAAATACTTGTCGCTTTAAGTTTTTGTTTGTAATTTTTATCATTTGTCTTATTCTAAAAAATATGAAATTATTATTTATTTTGTTTATGATTTGCTTTATTATCTAAAGTACTTTAAGTATGACTTATCATTTTTTATATTTACATAAATTTTTCAAATAAGACGAATGGTCAAACGTTACAAGAAAAATGTTAAAGCAACCACTAATTTGGGACGGAGGCAGTAGCATTGTAGGAGTACGTTTTTTTTTCCTTAAAAAAAATCGAAACCAGTACTGTGTGTTCGACCGTCACAACGTCTAAGTCCCTATCGTCTGGCTTCATAGTTAAAACTTTTTTATATATGCTATTTGCAGTTTAAAAGCCAATTTTAAAAGATAAACCATAGTAAAAACCTCAGATCAACACTAATATCAAGTTTTAAAATTCAGATTTTAACGGTGGTCGAAAGGCAAATGATGAGCTTATGCTAGCAAAGCAAAGGTAGTTCCAACTACACGCATAAGAAAGGGTGTAACCACAGATGCAAAGCTGAGCGCTCCTATTGCTAAGAAGGGCAATTAACTAGTAGTGCTTTGCTTTCATCGGGCAATTAACTACTAGTGTTTGCGTTCATCGGCCAACTAACAAGAGGTTGATTGAAACCAGGGATAACATAATTAAAAAGTTCATCACCAAAAATAAAGCGTAATTAAAGAAAGTAAGAGCAACACAGGGACAGCTGACCGCACCGGACAACCAAACATCCACCTCGTTTCAGCTTTTCTTACCGCGAAAAAAGGATGCCGGTGGTAGTGCTTGCTAGTTGCTACTATACTTTGTTTCGTACCGAAGAAAAGCTCAGAGCATAATGTTATAATTGATTGGGCCTTCTTTGTAGCTTCTTCTACTTAATGGGCCAGAAGAGAGTCTATATTCTTTAGATTGGGCTGAAAACTCGGCCCATTATCTCAGGAAGCATCTAGAAGATGGGCTGCATCCAAAGAGCCGACCCGTCCTCTTTCCAGTGGCATCGATCTCGAGGTATGTTTGGTGCAGCTTCAGCTTCGTCGCTCAACCAAACAATTTTAACTTCATTTAAAATTGGAGCGGAGCTGGGTGAAGATCTATCACAAAATAAACCAGAGGTGGAGCTGAATTTATACAGTTTCAAAGCTCCACTTCAGACCCAACTTCTAAAGCTAAATTTAGGAGTAGGAGTTTTACCAAATGCCTATTTGGTACAGCTCCAACTCCTAAATTTAGCTCCAAGAGTTGAGTCTGGAGTGGAGTTCTGGAGCTGTCTAAACCCAGCTCCACAACTCTAGTATATTTTGTGACAAAAAAGGCTCCAAATAGGCCATACATATTGGTCTTCAGTATACAGCACTACAGCACAGCTAGTCAGCCACTGTATACAGCCTACTTACGTATGGTCTTATCCAAATGTACATATATGCAAATGCAATTGGCTTTGAAGCCTATCATGATTCAGTCCAAGTTGCACTAATAATTGGTCATCTCTGTGCAGGTTAATTATGCGAAAGAGAATCTTAATCCCAGGGGCTTTGGTTGCAGTATTGCACACGGAAGCAATTGTACCAGCGCGGAAGAATCAGATGCATCCATGGATGGGATTATGGAAGGAGAAAGTGATGCTAGCTACTTACCAGCAGGTGATGAAGCAGAAGCCGGCGAAGGCGCGCCACCGCCCCGGCGAGAGCGCGCGGCCGCAGCAGAAGCACCGAGTCGCCACCATGATCATCGCCTGCCCTGCCGCCAGCAGCACCAGCGCCCCGATGCCGTACCCCGTCGCCGCGTCGGAGCCGTAGACGCAGTACGGCCGCGCGTTCTGGTCGACGTTCACGTACGCCGCCTGCATCATCCAATCAACACACACCTCCTCGATCGTCAGCACGCAGCAGATGATCGATCGGCTTCGTCTCCGGCGACGGCGATGGCGACGACACATGTATGCATCAACGCGTTCGAGAGCTCTCACCGTGTTCCGGCGTTTCTCGGCGCCGATGGCGAGGACGAAGGCGAGGACGTCGAGGACGAACACGACGGCCAGGATGATTATGGACGCCATGGACATCGAATCGCAGCAAGAATCAGTCACCTAGCTAAGCTTCGAATATAGTTCAATTTGCAGGTTTTGTGGTGCAAGCAAAGCTCACTTTCCTGTGGTTAATCGGCAGCACAAAATGTGGATTAGGACGAGAGAATCAAATGATCAGAGCTAGCTGGAGGCGATGCTGCTGCTACTGCTAAGCAGCTATCCGTGAGGTTGACATTTGAAGACGTGACATGTTTCACTTCACCCCGTTCCCGCGGCTTTGTATTTTGTTAAGTTTTCCTCCTGTGGTTGACGAGTGGGCCCCTCCATGATGAACTGATGATTAACCCTGCGATATTCGGTGTCCATGATTGGAACTTACAGATGGACCGACGAATACTCGAATCTCAGCTTTAAAATATGGAAATAATTTATATATCTTCATTGTGGACGAAGAATTTGATTCATTTTGATTAAATTGCACTGGGATGATGTGCCATGTAACAACAAAGAAAACAGAGCAACACAGTGACATCTGACCGGACACAAGCCTGGGAAATATATTACTGGGCCTTGTATGGGCTGTTCATCTACCAATATGGGCCAACCTGGGAAGTGGGCCGTGCTCTATACTGAGCTGGGCCAACAAACCAACCAACATGTAGAAGTCTAGAAGAGGGCGAGAGACATGGAAGGCGAATTTTTTTTATTTATAATTTTTTTTATTAAAAGTTTTACAAAAATAATTTTCCATTTTGAAAATTGACGGAAATAGTCGCCTACCGCCCTCTGGGAGGGCGATTTATAAAAATCGCCCTCCCAGAGGGCGGCGAAAATGACGTGGCAGACGGCCGTTCGCTCTCGGGCGACGGCCGTCAACGAAATTTGCAGGCGGCCCCCTTGCCGCCCTCCGCGAGGGCGATTTTGTACTGTGCGGGGGGCCGCCTGCAAATGGGCGGCGAGGGGGGGCATGGAAATTTGCAGGCGGCCCCCTTGCCGCCCTCCGCGAGGGCGATTTTGCACTGTGCGGGGGCCCGCCTGCAAATGGGCGGCGAGGGGGCATGGAATTTTGCAGGCGGCCCCCTTGCCGCCCTGGGGGAGGGCGATTTTGTACTGTGCTCTATATTTTTTTTATATAAATATCAATAGTTATCAAATCTTTTTATATTGAAAACTATACAAGATTAAAATCTCCAAGATTGGTAAAATACAATTTTATTATTTTTTAGGGCATATTTGGAATGTTACCGTACAAATATTTTGTTAATGCCAAAATATAAGCAAGTTTTGGCACTACCAAATATTTGGTAAGGTAAAATTGCATTTGATCATATTTGGTTTGCTGCCAAAATGTAAAATTGTAGTGAAGAATGTTGTACATAATCTCAATTCTAGATTACGTATTACCAATTAATAGGCTTCTATTTTCGTGTGTGGTGTGGTAGTGGGAAAGAAGATATGAAGAGGTTGCCTTCAGATTGTCAATTATATAGCGTCGTTTTCACTGCAATATATGTGAACTCAATGAGATACATTATTCATTAGATGTGACAAGACGATCACGCGTGGGCGTGATTCACTTTATGTCAACAGGCAGCGCCGAAAGTTGATAGTGATAACTCGAGCTGCCGCTTTTCATGTGTGCTGTTGTGGACTGTGCGCGCTACTGGATATGGCACTACCGTGAAGCGCCGAAAGTGTGTTGTTGTGAGCATAAGTTGTTCAAGCACCATACGAATGAAAAGAACTACGTAGACGAGACAAACACAAGTAGTACTGCAGTAGTAATAGCAAAAGTAGTACTGCTTTACAAGTTTGTAAGCCAAAAGAAACGGTCACATAAGGACTGAAGAGGTAGAACACTACTGACGAGGCCTCTTACCCCTGTCCCTCCTACCCTGCGCCCTAATGTGCCCCTGGGAGTACGTGAGTCGGTCCGGGGGTACGGCACGGCCAACCCGTCCTGCCTGTACAGGTGTGACCTCTGGCTGCTCCTGAGTGTGCGCCTCTGGAGCTCCTCCAAGCTGAGAGGAGCCTAGTACGTCCTGGTGGTCTGCACCGTGCAAGTCGTCGTCGTAGAACTGGCTAGTAGGACCAGTCCTACCGGCGTGAGACGAAGAGGCCCCAGTACCGAAGATCCCGGCTGCAAATCCTGCTGGACAAGGACCATCAGTTTCGTATAGGTATTTAACAGTATTAATAAAAAGTAAAGTACCGTGTGGGCGAGGGATCGACGCTCCGTGAGAGGAAGAGCTGGCGAACGCGCCTGAAGAGGTGGCGAACGCCCCTGCGGAGCTCGCGGAAGCGCCGGTCGTGCCTGCGAACGCGCTCGAAGGCATACGAGGTCCTGCGATGAGGAAACGTGCAGTTAAAACATGGTGACACATTCGTGCAAAAGCTGAAACAAAAATGAACTAATATCTGGGCTGAACTGTACCGTGCGAAACCGGTGCTGTAGGTCGCACTGCTCCGAAGCTAGGGGCGCTCGAAGACAAACGAGGTCCTGCTCCGACGGTAGGACCGCGAGGCCGTGGGTGTACCGGACCAGCTGGAGGTACGACGTCCACGGCGCTGCGACAGGAGAAGACGCGCATGACCGCACGCATCTTCTCCTGCATCCGGTCGAAGGTCGACCTCTGCTCAACGTCAGTCAAGTGCAAACCTCTGTTCAACCTCACCTGGACTGCGGTGATATCGGCACTGATATCCCGTGCCGCATCAGCCTATGCAAGATGGAAATAAAAAATTCAGTAGTTGTCCTATATTATGCAAGATAAATGACATAATTGTTGGAAGTAATACAAATTGGACGTACCGCCACGAAGTAGTCTCGGTCACGGTGCGTGGGATACGCGTCCGTGACAGCGGCAACGTGCGGCTCTGGGGCGTCTGGAGTGAAGGTCACACGCGCACGAGTGCGAGGAAGGTACCAGTGAAGGTAGTCACGGTAGTTCTCCTCCGTGTGTGGGAAGAGCTCGTTGATCACCTCCTCTGTAGCTAACACCCAGTCGTCAACGTACTGCTGTACACGTGGAGCCCAAAGTGCGCCTGCTAGCTGTCCCCGTCGAGTCAACCTGTGAAGAGAGGTAAATTGTATGGCTCGATGATGTAATTATCATAAAAATTTAGAAATGAACAATCCGAACTCACGAGTGGTCGGCAGGGGGGACGGTCGGCTGCACGTTGCCGGGAAACACCTGCCTAAGTCCGAACTGTCTCATCACACGCTGCGGCCAGTGAGGCTCAACGAAAATGTCGAACACCATCGGCAGGATGGTGAGCCAGTAAGCCTGGTCGCGTGTGCACAAGGACGAAAGTCCTAGCGGTGCTCTCGCAGCGACGGCCTCTTCTGTGTACGGCTCCCAGATGACGTCGCTCGGCTGGAGACGGTCAAACTCGAACACGAAGTCCGGGTAACCACGTCTCACCTGGACGTGAGCGTAACGACGCTGCAATAAACATGATCGGAATTAGACATGTTATGTGAAGGAAAAAAAAAGAAGAGGACTGATAAACTTATAACGCAGCGAAGTTGCACTAACCCCACGTCGACACCAGTAAGTCCCCATCGTGGGACCGTCCTCTGGCCACTGCGCGCTGCGACCAACCCCGTAGGGTGCGCTGTCCACCACTGGTCGCCCTATGGCAAACCTCTCGGCTGCCCAAAGCTGAAGCAACATAGGACAGCCAGCGATGATCGCTCCCGCGTCAGTCTTCGTGCACGCCTCACAGAGGGCACGGTACGTGGCTGCTAGCACGGCAGAACCCCAGCTCCACTGCGGCACGTCCTGTGGCTGAGCATCCGCGATGGACCGTGCGTAGTGGACCAGCCGGAAGTCCACAGCGTGCCCGTGGGTGCTAGTGAACATCACCCACCCGAACAACCACAACAGGTACGCCTCAAGGGAGCGTCGGACCGAGTAATCATCAGCGTCAGGGTGCAGAAGGTCCGCCTACAGTTAAGAATGAAATGTTAGTACAAAACACTGATCCGGTCGCAAATAAGCACGTATGATAATAACAACTTATTTACTTACAGTGAACTGGAGCAACCAAGCCTTGCTAGGCCCGACTGTAGAGTACGGAGGAAGGGTGGTGGTCGGTCCTAGGTGTGGAAGGCGCATCACCTGCTAGAAGCGCGCAGTGATATCCTCCTTCCACCCAAAAACACCGTCGACGGGACCAACTGGTGCTCCCGCCAGCGGTAGCCCGAGCAGGTACGACACGTCCTGCAGTGTCGGAGCCATCTCCCCACAGGGAAGGTGGAACGTGTGCGTCTCAGGTCTCCAGCGGTCTACAAGAGCGGCAAGGAGTGACCGGTCTGCATCCCACCGCTTCGCTGGGTCACGGTCGTCCGCCGCCGCCTCAACAAGCCTACAAAGTGGTAGAAGGCCTGCCGCACGCAACCTGTATAGAGCAAACTTCAAACATAAGTATAAAACAAAGCAAAGTTGAGTTGAAATGTGAACATACGCGTACCAAGGAACGTGACGGGGGTCGACACGCAACCACTCGCGCGACGTGCGTGGACGGAAGGTGCCGAGCTGTGCACCCTCGACTGCTGACAGGAACGAGCGGTGGTTCCTGTCAATCCCACGGTTCAACAGCGCCGGTGTGTCGTACGCCATACCTGCATCAAATAGGTTGATCAGAAACATATAAATAATTAGTTCAACATAAGTAATAAATGTTCATAAGCGAATTACTAACACATATTAAACAAGAGTACAAACAAACAAAAGTGTTTAGTCCGAACACTCATCACGATAACATTATGATACAACACCGAATAGTTCGCAATACTACTAGTACAACAATAGTCGGAGGTACTCATTACAACAAGATTGAATTGAAATTACACGATAGAAGTATTTAGTCCGAACACTCATTACATCATTTTATTTCCTAAATCGAAAGCATTGTTACACCATGGAATCGCCTGCTGCGCGACGACGCCTTGGCCTTGCGCGCCTGCTTGTTGTTCCTTCACCAGGTGGTCGCCTACCATCACTTGCCTGTCCAGATGGACTAGCATCTGCGCCGCTTGGAACTTCTGCATTCTTCGGGCATGTCTTGTAAGTATGGCCGCGCAGATCACACTTGCTGCAGCGTAAAGTCCTCCCACCTGCTTCTGACTCATCCATATCATTTCTGATGCGTCTAGTTTGGCGTCGACCCTTTTTCACCCTAAACTTAGATGGATCTGGAATATAAAAAACTTGGGCACTCAGCGTTGTGTAAGATCCTGAGATCCCGAACCCATATATCTCCTCACTCCATGTATGAAAGATTGCTTCTTTCCTGAAATAATTTGAGACGTACACATTGGGAGATATGCCACAATCACCGGCAGCAGCAAGAACGTGTGAGCAAGGAAGGTGATGAAGCTTCGGCTTCATACAACTGCAGGTACATCCACCATCCGCCTTCAAGACACATTCCTGCACGGCTTGCTTGCGATAGATACCACGCCTGCTCCTATCAACACACATTATTTCATACCGATGCACTTGTGTGCCTTGAGCAACAACTCTATGTCTCCGTGCCTTTTTGATTTTATCTTCCATGTACTTTGTCACTACGTTGCCAAACACTATGTTGTTATCGGCCATGGACGGACCAATTTTCTTGTATCGATCCCTAAAGTAGGCTTGCGTGCCGTGAAGGATGAATTCAACAATAGCAACCAATGGAAGTACCCGAACTCCTCGCATTACCCAGTTGTACACCTCTGCCAAATTGGTTGTCATTATGCCATACCGAGATCCATCGGTGTCGAACAATAGAGCCCACTTCTCCTTAGGCTCATTCTCAATCCACTGAGAGAAATTTCTGATGGCCGACCCTGACCTCCTTCTCATTGTTGGTGGGTCATCATGTAATGCACCAAGAGGTATGGGAGGCTCGTCACCTTCAACTTGTGGTCTGCGAGATTGCTCATCTGTTTGCTTCGTTGTCAACTCATCCAACTTGTCCCACAACTCATTAAATTTCTTCTCTTGGTTCTGTGCACAGAGCCTCTTAAAGAGCTCCATAAGATGCTTGTTCTTGAATTGCTTGTAGAAATTTGCACCCATGTGACGCATGCACCACCGACTCCGAACATCAGGCCACTTAGCTGGAAGTCCCTTCTCATCCCAACCGTTCTGCAAGTAGTCAATAGCCCGCAACATACCCGCATGACGATCATGTATAAGGCAAACGTTGGGCCTCATACGCACCACTGCAATGTGCACTCTCTCTAGGAACCAGTACCAGCTTTCAGTGTTCTCACTCTCTACAAATGCAAAAGCCATAGGTAGAACCTGGTTGTTCCCATTACACCCAATTGCTGTCAATATCTGACCTCGGTATTTACCTGTCATAAAAGTTCCATTCTATGCATTAGAACAGGTCGACTATGCACGAAAGCATTGATGCAAGCACCCAATGAGAAAAAGGCTCTTTGCAGCACACTCTTTGTTCTATCTTCAACCGATGTAAATGTATGTAGGTCATAGTAAGTATTATTATTCCTCTGGGCAATGGTGGCTAACAAACGAGGCAAATTATCATAAGAAGCTTCAAATGTGCCATACCTCATCTCAATGATCTTTTGTTTGGCTCTCCAGGCCTTTGCATAGCTTATGGTGTACTTGAATTTGTTCTCGATGTGCCTAATAATTGATTTTGGTTCAAAGCCAATGTTACCAACAACACTGCTGTACATCTCACTTGCCACAAAAGCTGAAGTGATGTTTCGGTGATACTTCTCCACCCCTTGTAAGTAGCACTTGTGCTCGGTCACAATGCTAACTTTCCAATAATCATTCCATTTACCCTTATATGCATGGACACGCCACGGACAATCTTCCTTCATGCACCTCACTTCATACACATAATTTGTTGACTTGACCACCCTAAACTCTCTCTGCAATGAAACTGCCCAATGCTTCACCGCCTCCTTCATCTCATCCTTATGAGCATACCTTGCACCCTCAATTACCTCGTACTCCTTATACTCCCAGGGTACATGATCACCCTCTGATATAACAAGACCAGAGAAGTCCTCATTTGCCCAATCAGTGGCCATTACATCACCTTCCTCATCGGATGATGCGTCGTCCTCCGCTTGCTCATTATCCGAATCTTCCCTCTCCATTTCATCAACAATTATACCGACTCTCTCCCCCTCATCCGCCATGCCCATGGCCTGCTCCTCCCTTGGTTGATTTTCCTCATTTTGCATCGATGGTCCAACAACATCCCCTGCATTGCTAGGACCCTCCACATCTTCGGTTTGCATTGAAACATTTGTATCTTTCTCTTGTACCGACACAAATATAACGAGGGGCCATGACCGTTCAAAAGCCATTTCCACATACCGTCTCCAAGCAGCAGTGCTGTCCATCGGCATTAGTTCCCAAAAATAACCTTCTATTGCACGACTCACTACAACAGATACTGACATTGTGTAGACTTCTTGGTCTATTCTAAATCCTCTCAACAACCAACTATAAATTGACTGAAATGTTCTCTCCGCAGGCCTATCGATGCCCTTAGATGTCATTACAAAATCTGACAGATCAACACCATCTGGACCAAATCTAATATTTCCTTCACCGTGAACTATCTGAAATGTGACCTTACTTGACATTGTGCCTGATGAAAACAATAACTGCGTTAACCTCGCATTTCTGTACTACGCCCTAAGTTACATTCTCTACAATATTGTTCTCTAAATTTCTAAAAGTAGGTTACATTCTCCAGATCAAACAAAACTACATCTTACAATTAACACTACTGTCTATGTCTCAATTCATACTATTATATTCTATGCTCTGGATCTACACATATGTGCTGTGTGCTACAGATCTGCTAAAATATATGGAACTAAAACTAAAACGCAACATATGTACTCAAACGTAATATATTAGTACAAATGCAAAAGATGTATGGGAGCATACCTGTGATGAAGTGAGCGAACCAGCAGGGCTTCGCCGCTCCCCTTCTGCTGCCCTCCCCTCTCTCTCTTTCGTTTTTTTTGGATTTTTAGTGAATATAATGAAATTTCATAGGGGAGGGGCTGGGCTTTATAGGGGGGAGGCAAAAATCGCCCTCGCGGAGGGCGGCAAGGGGGCCGCCTGCAAAATTCCATGCCCCCTCGCCGCCCATTTGCAGGCGGCCCCCCGCACAGTGCAAAATCGCCCTCGCGGAGGGCGGCAAGGGGGCCGCCTGCAAATTTCCATGCCCCCCTCGCCGCCCATTTGCAGGCGGCCCCCCGCACAGTGCAAAATCGCCCTCGCGGAGGGCGGCAAGGGGGCCGCCTGCAAATTTCCATGCCCCCCTCGCCGCCCATTTGCAGGCGGCCCCCCGCACAGTACAAAATCGCCCTCGCGGAGGGCGGCAAGGGGGCCGCCTGCAAATTTCGTTGACGGCCGTCGCCCGAGAGCGAACGGCCGTCTGCCACGTCATTTTCGCCGCCCGAGGGCGGTAGGCGACTATTTCCGTCAATTTTCAAAATGGAAAATTATTTTTGTAAAACTTTTAATAAGAAAAATTATAAATAAAAAAAATTCCATGGAAGGCATCGAGATGAACAGAAGCTGCAGAGGCGACGAGAAGAGAGGCAATCGCTCCCCGTCGTCTTCCCCCTTCTCCCCTGCTCGTCGTCGCGGGCGCAATCGGGTAGGTCGCCGGCGGCCGCGGTTGGGTGCGCGAGAGCGGCGGCGGGGTCGCTCTCTTTGGCCTGGAGTATCCTCGGTTGGAATCAGGTAAGCGCGCTCGTCTCTGATGGCTCTCTCATCTCTATTACTGCACGCGATGCGTCGATCCTAGTGTGGAGCTTGGGACTCTGAGACTGTGACTGCCGGCGGCGGGAGCTTGCTGCTCGGAGGAGGTCGGGGGGAAGGAGCGGCGGCGGAGGATCTCGGGCGGAGTCCTCTTATCGCGATTCCGATTCAGAAACGCTCTGAATTTGGTTTCTTCTCCATGTTGAGCTTCATGAGCCCTATTAGTATTTTGTCTTGTTTGGTGGTGAATGGTATAGGTAGGGGAGTTTCCAGTGCTTGCTATCTGCGCCCCCATTACTCTTTTAATGTTGCCTGCTGGTTAATGCCCAATGGAGTTTCCTTCTCTATATATATATTGAGAAAATTCATAGTTCTGAGTTCTGATTGACTGGCTCATATAGCAATAGCAGATCTGTTTTTGACTGCTTGAATGATGGAATTGCATATTATGGTAGGGCTTCTGTTGCATAATCAGGCAGAGTTTAACATGGTTGATATCAACCCAGATTCTGACGGTGCGTGTGGTCTGGTGGCAATCCTAGAGACAGTAAAGTTGATGATCTCATCATAAGAGATGGTGAGTTACTACTAGAGTGCTTTTGCTACCTTTGCCTTCATTGATGGGTGTTTGGATTTACGGAATTTACTTGGTGCTCACTTTTTTTTTCTCAGAATCACAAGTATTTCATGAAAACATCTAGATAGGGTTTGCTTGGTACTAACTCCTCTCTAGTTTATTCCTGAATTAGATAACCGGTCTGATCCTCAGGAGCCATCAAGAAATCCTGGCATTTGGCAATGCACCATTTGCGAACACGGAAATGATGCAAAAAAAAAATCATGTGAGCAATGCGGTGTTCTTCGATATTTCTCGCTGTATTTCAATAATGCCCTTGAAGTTGATGGCAGAGGTATAGTGTATTCCTTGTTGTTCCATTCCCTGGTATGGTTAGTTTTTTGTTGCACTGTTGACTTATGGCTTTGATTAGATATATTTATGTTTTCTAGCCTGTTAATTTATTTATTTTTCTATCATGACATCCAGCTAAACGGAGAGACAAGCATTATGCGGTATCTGTACTGGCAAGAACTCTTTTCTCACCATCCAGTGCCAAGTCAAAAGACGTTGTTCTTTCTGGTGGCTTTAAAGCTAGCAGAAATGCAACAGGAAGTACACGAGCTACGTTGGATGCGCTGCATAAGACATACATGACCCGTAAAGAACGCCACATTAACATAGGTACACTGCATTTGTACATCAAGCGCTTTTGGTAATTTGATTTGTTTAATTTATGGCATTATCCAAATTCTTGTAGTTATATGTACTTGCTGCTATATATAAACCAGATATTTAATGTTGTATGATTCTATATATGCTAGTCATTTGCATAGCTTAACTCTCAATTGCCTCATTGTGCATCTGGTGTGACTACCATTTTGGGTGTAAAATTTTCCTGTTTCAAAACCAAGTGACTGTCTGAACTATAAGCTTAGCTAGCCTGCCATGGTCCTTCTGCAAACAAACAAACTGAAGCACATATGTGGGAGGTAGCTTACAGGTCTTGGGAGTTTACAGGGTTTTATATAATTTGGTTTACCTGAACTTTGAAATATGAAGATAGTCAGTGTAAATTTTAACCTACTTATGAATGTTCAGTTCTTCCCCTGAATTAGGGTAAGCATTCAGTTGACCCGTGTTTTTCCAATGGGAGATCCATATGTTGAACTTATGTTTCATTTATTTATTAGACTTCCTGATGGAGAAATCTGTAATATGACTGCATATCTTCATGTTCACAGTGCCTTTCAAGTTTGATACACCATCTCCGGATGACGTGGTCGCTACAGGACTAAAATCGTCGAGAAGTTTTAGAAAAGGTATTATCTCTGCATTCCCCCACTCCCATGTAGTTAGACTAACTCAGACTAGTGAAAAGGATGCATCTTAACAACTTAACATTAACATCTATATGTGAAACCTTTATTTTCTTTTCTATGCGCGAGTCTTTGTGGAACCTTTTCAGTTAATTAGTTTGATTAGAGTTTATGCTGAATGAGTTAGTCTGGTCAGATAGAGAACTACTGTGTGCCAACACACTTGAACATTTGAACTGTTCCTTGTTATAGATATTGTTATTTTCAAAATTTATGTGGTTGGTACCAATGAAAGGTTATGCTAAGATAGTTTTCTAAACAAAGTTTCTTTTCCACACTTGAATAATTTTGGTTGTGCAGTGCGTGCTATAGTTCCATAGTAACTTGATTCACATCAGTTGACACAGATGCTCCCCATGTCACTGAAAAGAGGGTGATGGATAATGATAGTTCTACACCTGAGAAGGATACAACTGCAGACTCAAATTTGCCTGTAAAGTCGAATGAATTCGGTGAAAGTAGTGAGAGTGTTTCTGTTGGTAGTCAAAATGAAACACTTTGCTTGGACCATGAGCTACAGCATTTGAGTTTGGAGAGGAAGTCACAAAAAAGTAAAGCCAATATTAAAAAGCCAGTTTCTTCATCCCTGTACAAGCCAGAACCATGGATGCTCCAGCATGAAGATGAAGGCATCCCTAGACAATTAAATCTTGCTATTGTAAGCAACTACATATCTATATATACACGATATATTTGATGTATCCATCATTTTGCTTATTACTTGTTTGCCTTCTATCTGCCTATCTTTATGAATAACTCAAACCAGAAACATGCTAGGTTGGCCATGTCGATTCTGGGAAATCAACTCTATGTGGTCGTTTGTTACATGCCCTGGGGAGGATTTCAAAAAAGCAAATGCATAAATATGAGAAGGAAGCTAAAGAAAAGGTTCTCTTATTTTAATGATTGATGTTATCTCAGTATGTGCCTTTTATGCATCTTGGGAGCTGTTCATATATAACGTTTCTTCTTCCAGGGGAAAGGATCATTTGCATATGCTTGGGCAATGGATGAGAGTGCTGATGAAAGGGAGCGTGGCATTACAATGACTGTCGGTGTTGCATACTTTGACACCAAAAATTACCATGTTGTTTTGCTGGACTCCCCTGGCCACAAAGATTTTGTTCCTAATATGATATCTGGAGCAACACAATCTGATGCAGCTATCCTAGTTATTGACGCTTCTATAGGATCATTTGAAGCAGGTATGGGCATCAATGGGATTGGACAGACAAAGGAGCACTCGCAGCTTGTTAGAAGCTTTGGCGTGGATAACTTGATAGTTGTTGTTAACAAGATGGACTCGGTGGAATATTCAAAAGAGCGATTTAATTTTATCAAATCACAGCTTGGTGCTTTTCTGCGGTCATGCGGTTACAAAGACTCAGCAGTTGCCTGGGTTCCAATTAGTGCAATGGAGAATGAGAACTTAATGACAACAGCTTCAGATACTCGACTATCATCATGGTAATAGATATTCCCTATGGTAAACCTGCATATCCCTTGACCTTAAAACCTGGTGGTTGTTCGCCAACGTAATTGATGCATGGTGTCAGGTATGATGGAAATTGCCTGTTGAAAGCCATTGACACATTACCGCCTCCTTCTCGTGATGTTTCAAAGCCACTGCGCCTTCCAATTTGTGATGTCTTTTCGTCACATAAGCTGGGGCAAGTTGCAATTGGTGGTAAAGTAGAGGTTGGAGCAACCCGAAGTGGTTCTAAGGTATCACCCTGCTGTTATTCTAAGCACATACTACAATACATTTGTCTTTGTTTCTTATATTGCCTTAGTGCGAGATATTTATGTATGGTTGAACATCACTTGTGTTCTAACTATATCTTTTGCACTGTTTTCGTTGTCCTACCACTTTTCCGTCTAAATAATGTTGTGCTCAATGATTAAATAACTATGCTTTTGCCTGTAAGATGTTCAAGCAGTTTCCTGATTTCATGGTACTCTTGTTTCAGATCCTCGTCATGCCTTTTGGGGAGTTAGCTGTGGTGAAAACTATTGAGCGGAATTCCTCTAGTTGCAATTTAGCAAGAGCTGGGGACAATGTCGCTATTGGTTTGCAAGGGATTGACCCTAGTCATATCATGCCTGGCGGAGTCATATGCCATCCAGATTATCCTGTGTCCGTGGCTTCTTGCTTGGAGCTAAAAATTTTGGTCCTAGATATCACTGTACCAATACTGGTTGGCTTGCAGGTAAGCAAAAGAGGGGAGCATATCTCTTCAACTGTTCATGCTTCATTTATTTTTTAAAGAGAACTTCAGGCCTAATATCGACACCTTACATGGTCGCTACCCATGTTTCTAGTTTGAGCTCCACATCCATCATGCGAAGGTGTCTGCAAGCATGGTGAAAATACTGTCATTGCTGGAGCAGAAGACCGGCAAAGCCTCAAAGAAGATACCACGATTTCTCACCTCGAGACAGACTGCTGTAATCGAGGTAAGCTTACAGCAGATGGATGGGGTAGTTTTGTTGCTGATATCATGTTTGTTGTCTCTGTAACGCTTGGTGTTTTCTTTCAGGTGAAGCTGGAGAAAGAGGTATGCGTGGAAGAATTCTCAAACCTGAAAGCGCTAGGCCGAGTGTTCCTACGATCTCAGGGAAACACCATCGCGGTTGGCATTGTGAGCCGAGTACGAGAGCAGGCTTAGTTCCAGTGGTTTAATCAAACATAACATGTATACAAGTTGTATGTGGTAGATCAGTACGTTATAATCAGTAATACGGAGTAGAAAACGTGCTGGTTATTCACGTCGAGGTGAAAAGGGCCCTGTCATGAAACAATAACAAACTTCATCGTAACTAACTTAACGCTAACTTGGAGGTCCGTTCAATTGTGTCAACTCGAATATAATGCACTTGTTAAGATGTTTATAAACTGTGAAGGGCTAGCCGAGCCCCTGCTTCATTTGCTGTTTCCTGCAGCCTCGTAGCCGCAGCAGCGGCGCTCCCGTGTGGGCATCGCGTCGCGTCGTATCGTACCCCACCGCGGCCGGACGCGTCTGCTCGGGCGCGTTTGGGCGCCGCACCATAAATCGCACGGCGGCCAGGCGGAGCGGGCGAGAAGAATTTACGAACTCCACGCGCGGGATCCCATGAAACGGGGACCGCGCGATCTCCCGTTGGATTTTCCCGGCCGCGTCCGTCCGCGCTCGCGGCTGCAGTTGAGCGATCCAATCCAATCCCCCGTAACAACAACGCCGCGCCAAGCCAAGCCCGAGCACAACGCGGGGGGCTATAGAATCCCACGTCGCGTTGCTCGTGCGGCGCGGTGCACAACACCACCACCAGGTGGTTGATGCGTCTCAATTGAAGGAATCCGATGTGCAGTAGCAGCAGCAGCAGAAGCAGCAGCTATCCCTGTCCGTCTTGTGCCTTGCCTCTCGCTCGGCTGCCTGTACTGAAACGCCGGCCGGGGTCGGTCGGTCGCGTGTTGCGATCCTCGCGTTTACTGCTGAAAATCAGCTATCCGCAAGTACCCTGCACCGACACTTGCCACCCTATAGCTAAGCTGAAAATTTGCTCAGTTCCTCTGCTCCTACTACTCGTTTTAGCTCCAATGCTGACTGCAACCTCTCCAGTACTTGCCTGCACACCAACTGCCCTTTACCTTTCAACGACCGTAACGTCCAGCCTCCAGCCTCGACGACGACATATGCTCATCAAACCAATCCCACAATTCGTACTACTCGTCTACTCCTACTACTTGTAATAATACTACTCCAGATGGTGGATTAAGCTAGCTACCTAATCAATAATTAACTAAGCTTATTCCGGATTCTAATAGCCTAATTTGGTGATGAAAGGCTGAAGAGAGATTGGGGGTAGCGAGGTCCTCCACATGGGTCACGCACACGACAATCATCGGTCGTCGTCGCCGGGCATGTGGCCAGGCGCGACATCACGCAGCTCCATCCATCATCTGTGAAGGAGAGGCCAGGATGATGGTGGCATAATTGTATTACGCTTTGTGCATTATTGGTCCCCTACAATGATCTCCGGGACGTCTCCTCTGCGTGCCTTCCCCTAACCCCATTACTGTTATACTAGCTTTTCAGTTGCAAAGCTCGATTAACTCTTCCATTTGCTGCTAAGATATTTTTTCTGCCTTTAAATTAGGTCCGGATCAGGATCACTAGCTAGTGTTTCGGTTTCACCGGCCGTGGTGGTGTTGCTGAAGCTGGGAAGTTGTATACCTGTCGGTTGAGGCCGTTGGTCCTGCTGCCGGTTAACTTCGCTCATCTATACAGCAGCAGCGGAGGCAGAGCTGTCTGAAAACTCTTCGCTTAGACACAGTTTACAGGACAAGGACGCTTTGTCCGTGCGTTGTGCTAGAGCAGTGGATGACAGGCTTCGATCACCAAACACTCTTTCGACGGCATATATTTTTCACTTTTTTTTCCCAAAACACGGTAAGCACGCGTATGCTCATATTCATACAAGCGTCTCGCTATCAACTAATATGTCAAACATCACTTAAAAAAATAACTAACCGTAAATATAAATAGTCGTACAAAGTCGAGTGCTTAAATCCATCTAAACAAATTTCACCGTAAGGAACCTAACTCGCCGGCTTCTTGGTTTGTATTTTTTTTGGTTAAAAAAAACAACTGCATAGTGGGAATATTAGTAGTAACTTCTAATAGTGAAATTCCGAATTTGCATACATAGTATTTCTTACAAGAGATTTAATGCTCACGTGGCATGTATCCATTCCCCTGATACACGAACAGCTACGGGGTACATGTATGTTATTAGTATGTAGAGCTATACGTGGGTACATGTATGGAGCCCATATTGTGGCAGGAGGTAGTATGCCCGTATGTATGGGTGCGGCACACACAGCGGAAAACGATACAGAGAGGAGGTCGCGGCCACGTCAAAAGGATCCCTTGGTGGTGGGACCCGCAAGGAGGCTGGAGGCCACGTGCTTTTCGTTGATTTGGACGACCCAACCGTACTAGTACACCCAAGTAATCTCGACTCTCAAATTCCGAACTGATGGGCCCGTCTCAACGCACAGGTCCCCCGAAAATACAGGGTACTCGTCGTATGTATACGTTTGTAGTAGTACTTTGTACGGTTCTCCCATACTTTGAAAATGACAAAAAAAATGTAGATAGCAAAATTATATTTTCAGAGGCTTAATTAGGTGATTCTTTATCTAATCACTACGCATACGTCAGGAAAAGGAGAAAACTACTGGGCGGACAATGTTATAAGGGATGGGATCGCTCTACTTGATTATAATACTACGATTTTTTTCCTCTGCGATTAGCCAACTTAACCACTGCTAATCATGAACTCACCAAGCTGCCACGGCCCCGCCCTATTAAAATACGAGCGCACCATGCACACTAATGGAGTCTCTTTTTTCAAGTGTCACACTGTTTCGTTTGTCCTGCTGTACGTATTCGTTTTTATACACATTCATTCTGCGAGGAAATCTACTAGTGAGCTAATTTGAATGTGCTATTATATGTCTACGCAAAATTACAATGCGATTATATAAACCCCCCCCCCCCTGCATTTAGTTATATTCAAGCCACAGATAAACTAAATCTTACCTTGAAGGCTTAAACAACAAATTAAGCGTAACAACCACGAACATAAATGGAGTGTTGGATATGCAACAAGCAAACGTGCACTCCTAGTAACCATGTTGTGTCCAACAAGTGCAAGATATTTTTCTCCCCATAAAACGTTAAACAAATGGTATGACCATTTGCCGTCCCAATTGTACACGCCGGTAGTGTTAACTAGTTTAATCATTCATTCGGTTGTTGAGCTCGATGGCACATACTACTCAACCACTTTTAAAAACCCACTACTACAAAACACAAAGAAACCCAGACAAATTCCAAAACTCAAATTCACCCTTTCAAAAAAACGCAGCTGCTGGTGGTGCGTGAATCCGTGAAACCATCAAACTGTATGGATTTAAAACTGAGATTTTAAAACTTTTGTTCGCGAACCAACCGAGAAGTGGACAAGATCCATCTGGGCTTGCATTTCCCCCAACACTGGCGCTCCATTTTTAATCCGGTATCGCCTCCAACCCCAACCCTTTGTTAATTCAAAATTTTCGAAGCGGAGGAGGGCTGCGTCTTCCTTCTCCACCACCCGGCCCCAACCAGACAGCTCCATTCCCCCCTCCGCCTCCGCCTCCACCACCACCTCGCCCGCGCGCACCAAACCCCAAATCGCCACCGCATTTGCTCCACCTGCCCTCCTCTCGCCGCATCTCCGGGGAGGCGGCGGCGGCGGGAGAGAGGAGGGTGGTTTGGTCCCACGGGGGCGGTGGCGGCGGCGGAGGAGGCGGCGCCGGGTTCGCACAGGGGTGGGAGGGACTGAGGGCGGGGGCGTGTGTGGTGGAGCTGGCCCGGGGGAGGGCGGCGGCGCGAGATCCGGGGGGTAGGGGAGGGGGGACGGGGGAGGGGGGTGGCGCCGTGGCGGCGGCGTGATCTGGAGATGAGATTGGAGCCCGAGGCGCGGTGTTCGGAGACGACCTGCCTGCCATGACGACCAACACCAAGCGCGCCTACAAGCTCCGTATCCTCGCGAATTCGTTTCCAGTATTTTTGACTAGTATTTTTTGTATTTTTTTTCGAGGTACATTGTGTCTGTTTGACCGATCCATCGCCACTGTCGCATTCATTCTGCTAGCTGGGCGATTTAGTTCTTCAAATTTAACCCATCATTTTATTATGCTTTTATCTCGCTTGCCCCTCGTTAAGATAATGGGGGATTTAGTGTTTGCTCGATTTTATCACTTAAGCTGTTGCTGATCACTAGTTAGTAGTGACCGTGGTTATGTCTGATTGTCGGACAAGTGGGATTACTGCTGCTTTGTGCTTATGAACTGCCTGAAGATTGCAACATGATTTATTTGGGGGTGATTTTGTGGGTGAACTTGCGACATTGGAATGCCTTGACTTGCGTTTGGCGTAGAGGAGTTTGTGGCGCATTCATCCAATGTCAACTGCCTCAAGATTGGGAGGAAGACTTCACGAGTTCTCGTGACAGGAGGAGATGACCATAAGGTTAATCTTTGGGCTATTGGGAAGCCCAATTCAATTTTGGTAAGTCTCTATTGTCCTGTTCTGACTAGTATGCCTACTATGTAAAATGTGGTTCTATAGCAAAACAGGCAAGTAAGTCTACCCAATAGTCAATGGGGCATTTAATTAACCACCAGATGAAAATTTCACCATTTTAGCTCTTGTCGACTTCTCCAGCATCACTTTCTGTATGTTGGTGTTTTATTAACTAGGGGCTACTTTTATGTGAAGTGTCAACCTACTACCTTACATGTGTTCGATCACAGTGGGTCTAGCTACTGGAGGTGTCATCTGTGTTGTTTCAGCTGATGGAATACTTTATTTGATTAACTTCTTTTTGTTGTTATACAGAGTTTATCAGGGCACACCAGTGCTGTGGAGTCTGTTAATTTTGATTCCACAGAAGTTTTCGTGGCCGCAGGAGCAGCCAGTGGAACAATAAAACTATGGGATTTAGAGGAGGCAAAAAGTACGTGAATGCGAATGCCTTTTGCTGTTGCATATATACCTGACCACATTCCTTGTCTATATGTGAATGCAAATGCTTTTTACTATCGCATGTATACTGACTACATTCTGTGTCCTATCTTATTTGATTAGCACCACTTGATTTGTTTTGTATGCAGTTGTCCGCACGCTTACTGGACATAGGTCAAACTGCATGTCAGTTGATTTCCATCCTTTTGGAGAATTCTTTGCCTCGGGGTCACTGGACACAAATCTGAAGATATGGGATATAAGAAGGAAGGGCTGTATCCACACGTACAAAGGCCACACAAGAGGTGTAAATGCAATTAGATTCACACCTGATGGCCGCTGGGTTGTGTCTGGTGGTGAAGATAATGTT